CCCCCTATTTCTCAACACACAGGTTTACAGGACACTATGGTGGCACAGGGGGATGTGATTCCCATCTTCATGAAGCGCCCTGTCTCGTGATGATTGGCACAGCTGCCAGGGAAGAGAGAGGCTGGGTAGTCAGGGCCACCAGTGCCCACGTGCTACTGTGACTCTCCGTCTCTGCTGGGGTCACAGCCCTTTGCTGTGGATGCAATTACTGCTCCAGCTTGCTGCCTTCGGTTTTTCCATCTGGAGCATGGGATCGGGCCACGCAGAGGTGAGTCTAATTATCCCTCTTCTTCTGTGGGGTGTTGTGAGTCTAGTGTTCTGGCCTGAACTCAGAGATTAGTGGAAGATGACAGCAAACTGGGAAATGTCACAACAGGTCCCGGACCCCTGGCTCTTCCTGTACAGATGACAGAATTCCCTCAATTTCCCAGAGCACTGTTTGGCCAGGGAGCCCTAGGCTGCCCTGGTCTCTGCACCTGAGCAAAGAAGACAAACCATGTGTGCTGCATTAGCACGTGGCCTGGCTGGACTCCTCACAGCCCATCCTCCACTCTCTGGGAATGCTAATTTTGTTGCAGGGCCAGGAGAAGGTCACCATCTCTGGGCATACTTATAGTAAGAGCTGGTGGTTTCTGTGCTAAGCAAGTCCCTAGTGAAGCTTTACCTCGGAAGGTTCACAGTTAGACACAGAGCAAAGCAGAGAGGAGAGATGGGGCCCTAGGAGGGACATAGAGACCTCCAGCTGCTTTGGCCAGTCTCCGGCTTCCTGCCTGCCTCCTTCCCTTCCTCCACCCCCAGCTGCTGATCCCTGTGCTGGCTCAAAGACCACAATGAAGGAGCAGAAGCCATCCCTGTCCTCCAACAGGCGGGGGCCCTGTGTGTGATCAGAACTGCAATAGAGGGAAAGCAGGGGGTTGAGGGGACATAGTGGGGACTCTAGCCTGAGCTGGCAGCCTGGGAGGTCTTGTGGGACATGTCTCCAGGATGGAATAGAACACACTTGGCCAAGGAGTCAGCACTAGCACAAGCACAGAGGAGCCAATAGAAAGTTTAGGGTCTGGAACCCAGGACGCTGGGGTGCCGGTGGTAGAGAGCCAGAGGGAGATGCAACGCAATGCCTCAGGTTCCAGGATGGGAGCTGGGCTATTGCTCAGAGTCCTGAGGATGATGGCGGTAGAGTTGGTCCAGGGCAGTATGGCTCAAGCTGAAGGAAAGACAGTGAGTTGAAGGGCTGCACCTAGAGGCCAGGGTGACCCAAAAGGATCCCCTGATTGCTCAGAGTGGCTCTGTTTGCTTCCTCTAAAGGTCTCTTAATTGACTGTGTTCCTCCCCCCACCCCTGCCGTCTCCCACCACAGGCTGGTCACCCCCCTAAATAATATATAGACAGAGTAGGGTTATACCTGACAAAGCCTCCTTTGTAACCAGTCCCGGGGGCCATGGTGACATAGTGCTCTGCTGCCCTCTAGTGATGCCCAGAACCAGGCCCTGCAGAGCCTGGCCACTGCTAAAGATGCTCTTGAGTTTCCCAGCATGCCCCCCTCCTGCAAGGAAAAGGTCCAGCTTGCAAACATGGGACCAGCTCCAGGCAGGGTGCAGAGGGGAGGGACATACAGTGGAGCCAGCCCCAGCTGTGGGAGTAGCAGCATCATGCTAGGTGGATTCCATTGGCTGAATGGCTAGCATCCTCAAACCATTCAGCACCAGCTCCAAAGGATGGTGATGGTGGAAAAAAACATCAATGGTGGTAGACAGTGGGATGTGGGTGATGGTGATGATGGTAGGTGCAGTGAATGAACCATCATGGAACTGTTTATTATGTAGGTATTGCTTGTGATGGAGATGGAATTATTGGGTGGTGGTGGTAATGTTAACAAGAATGGAAGGAAAAAACAGTGCTGTGTCCAGGACTCTAAAGCCACTAGAACATTCTTGGGTATGTGATAGTGGGTGAGTGCCTCCTTATTTTTTTTAAAGAAACTAAAACAAAGAGTGGCATGGACTGGGTGAAGTGTCTTACATCTGTGATCCCAGCTACTTAGGAGTGAGGATGATGGCTTGCGGCCAACCAGGGGAAAATGTTAGCAAGACTCCAAACAACCAGCCAGGTGTTATTTCAGAAGTCTGTAATCCCAGCGAAGCTATTATGATCTGAGGCCAGCCTCAGGCAGAAATTCTAGAACTTACCTGAACAATAACTGAAACTTTTTTTTCAAATAAAAAGCACTGGCTGATGGTGGGGTAGTTCAAGTAGTAGAGCACTTGTCCCCAGTACTTCCAAAAAGATAAAAAGAACTGCACTGTATTTATATATGATTTTTATTGTATCAGGTATTGCAAAGAACTACACTGTATTTATATATGATGTTCATTGTACCAGGTATTACAAAGACGATTTGAAGCATGAAGGAAGATGTTGAGAGGCGCAGTGTAAAGACCATGTTATTTTATATGAAGGACCTGAGTATCATGGATTTCAGAATGTGAGGATAACCAACATCCCGAGGTGGTCAAGGAATGAGTGTGCCAATTAATGCAGAAGAAGTTATTGTCATTATAAATAGACTATAATCTAGACTACGATCCGCAGGGTTTTTTTTTAGTAGGCAACCTTTATTAAATTAACGAATTTCTATTGTATTCCTCTTAGTGTTTAAGGGTTTTTATTCTACTTTTTAGCCCAAACCAATGCTAAATTGCATCAAGTCTCTTCAGCTTCCATGGAGCTGACCAATTGATTTTTCCCCCTTCAGTATGTTAAATTACATGGATCAATTTTCAAATACAAAAGCAACTTTCACGTTATCAGAAAAATCACATGTATATTCTTAGTGCTGGGTTTGATAGGTTAATAATAGTTTGGCATCTTCGCATTTGTATTCATTGGCCATAATAGCTGGCAATTTTCTTTTCCTATGATGTCATTGCAAGGACTGGAAATCAGAGTCAGGCTGGCTTTGTTTCACAAAGTGAACTTGGAAATGCTCCCTCTGGCTCCATTGCCAATCAATTGTGTAAGAATGATAATCCTGCTTCCTCTGGGATCTGGAAGATTCCCCAGTAAAGTCATCCAGGCCAAAAAGTTCCTTTGTGAGGAGGTTTTTAATTACAATTCAACATGTCTAATGGCTATATTGAGATATTCTGCTCTATTCTTACCCACTTTAGTAAGTTGAGCTTTTTTAACAGAATTATTCATGGAGTAGTGAACATGGTCAACTTCAAGTTTATTAGCGTGATGGCATTTATGATATCTTCCTATTCTTTTAATGTCTTGGAAGGCAATCCCTCCCCCCCCCCACTTTTTAAACTGGGGTGTGTTTAAACTGGGGTTTGAACTCAGAGCCTGGGCACTGTCCCCAAACTTTATTGCTCAAGGCTAGTACTCTGCTGCTTGAGCCACAGCTCCACATTCAGATTCTTTGGGTAGTTAATTGGAGATAAGAGTGTCATGGACTTTCTTGCCTGGGCTGGCTTTGGACCATGATCCTCAGGTCTCAGCCTCCTGAGTAGCTAGGATTAAAGGCTTGAGCCCCCAGCACCTGGCTCCAGTCTTCTTTTGAAACTGCTGATGTTGGTAGTTCTGCTTTCATCTTTCTTTTGCTTCCTTAAGGTATTTATACGAAAAAGTTGTTAATGCTCCTGTTGGACATCAACTATGTACTTCGTCAGCTCTGTTCTTAGCTAGGCAGTTTTCCTTCTGTCTTTGCAGTTAATGTGCTGTTCTTTTTCTTGCTTACTTATATTTTTAAACCTGATGATTGTTTTTTTTAAACCACCTTTCTTTCCTAATATAAGAATTTAGGGTTCTATATTTCTCTTTAAACACTACTTGATTATGTATTGTGATTGCATCGTGGTTAGTTTTGAGAAACATTTTCTAATCATGTTGTGACTTCTTTGTTGATCCAGAAACAATTCAGAAATATTTGGTTTTTTTGTTTTGTTTTGTTTTGGGGCCGGTTGTGGGGCCTGAACTCTGGGCCTGGGCGCTGTCCCTCAGCTCTTCAGCTCAAGGCTAGCTCTCTACCACTTGAGCCACAGCGCCACTTCTGGCTTTTTTCTTTTTGCTTATATGGTGCTGAGGAATCGAACCCAGGGCCTTGAGCATGCAAGGCAAGCGCTCTACCACTGAGCCACCTTCCCAGCCCCATGACCATCTCTTCTTGCTCCATCTCTGCATCCCATTGTTGGTGTTCTCTGCCTGAGTGACTCACCTATCACCCTCACCTCCCCCTCCCCATTCTCCTGCTCCTATAAGCCTCTGAGGCTCCCCACAGACTCTTGTACACTGGGTCATTCTTTCCTATTTCCTCAGCCAGGCTGTAGGCTAAAAGAGGAAGGTCTGTCCCCAATTGCCCTGTCCTGACTCCCAGCCTGGAGACAGGCACACACAGTATCTGCCTTCCTCCCACCCCCACCACACTCACAGACATTTCTACCTCTCTAGTGAACCAGACCAGGATAGTTGAACACCTGGCTGGCTTTAGATTAGCTTTGGCATGACAGAGGCAGGTGTGCCAATGTTTAACCAGATGCTGGAAATGTGTTCTCATATCCACTTGGAGACCAGCCAGCCAAGTCTTCAAAAAGCTCACCAGGATCTGAGCCTCTCCCCTCCCCTCCCTGGACTAGAGCTGAGAAAAACTCTGAGCTATTGGGAAAAGGGAAGGGTGTGTGAAAGTGCCTGGGTCCATGCTCTGCTCAGGCTCTGGAGCCTGGGCTGAGTCCTTCTCTTCTGACCTTTGTGTCCCTCCCAACTCCTGAGGGAACTTTCCAAAAGCAAGGGATACACAGACTCCAGAACCCCCAGCTAGAAGGCCTTAGTTTGGAACTTTTCCCCCTGCAGTGCTGGGCGCAGGTAAATCTTTAACTAGCTAACAAGCTATGGGCAGGCGGGAGCCTTTCCGGATGGATGGCTGCCTGGAATAGGGGGGTAGATGTGGGCGTGTGAGGTGTGTACAGACAATCCCAGGGTGGTGAAGGGGCGGGAGGGGGGGGGTACCGGTAAGAGAAAGCAACCAGACGCCAGTGGGGCTAACACTGGGTGCAGAGCAAGACATGGAGGAACGTGGGACTCCCGACGGGTAAGCAGTAGTTCCCCGAGATCCTGGAAGCCCTGGGGACAGCGTGTGGGAGCAAGGAGCGTTAACACGAATTGTGTCCACCAGGGACCCAGCACGGAGCCTGGAGCAGGGGCCAGAGGGACCGGAAACGCCCATCCAAGTGGTGCTCAGGTGGGGAATGCAAGGCTGGGAGGCACCTGGCGCGGATGGGGTTGGTGGATGGGGACACTAGGATGGGCCGCCTGGCTTCCTAGGGTGCGGCCGATGAGTGCAGCCGAGCTGCGTAGAGGGGAGCAGAGCGCGCTGCACTGCTCAGGGACCCGGACTCTGCAGGTGAGAAACCTTTTCCAACCTCCGAAAAGAAATCTGTAGGAGGGAACGTCGGGTCCTACACGCAGGGAACGCCGCCCTGACTCCTTCCCCTGTCCCTCCATCCCCAGGGAGCTTCTAAGTCCCAAAGGATGCCCTCCATCCCTGAGGATGTCCCGCCCCATATGGCCACGCCCCCAGAGCCCTTCGCTTCCTGGAGGCCCCGCCTCTATATGTCCACCCCTCCAGTAGGACCTTACCTTCCCGGATGCCCCGCCCCTCCACGAGTCCCCGCCCCTCTCGGAGCCTCCGGCCTCTCTGGCTCCGCCCCTCCAGTATGCTCTGCCCCCTTCCCCCCCTCCGCCGTTCCTTTCCCCCCCAGGTGAGTCCCCCGGGCGGAGGGCCCGACGTGGCGTTCCGTTTCGGTGCCGTGCTGGACGGGGCACGCACGCAGGAGGACGTGTTCCAGGCGTGCCGCGTGCGGCGCCTGGGCGAGCTAGCACTGCGCGGGTGAGTGGGGCAGCGGATTCGGCCGGGTGTCAGTCATGGCGAGGCCCCGCCCCCTCCTGGGTCCAGCCACGCCCCTGTCGCCCACAGCTTCTCCTGTACTGTCTTCACCTTCGGCCAGACCGGCTCTGGGAAGACCTACACGCTGACCGGACCTCCTCCGCAGGTGGGCCGGGCACCCACCCGAGCCCGCGACCTGGGCTGTGGGTGGAAACCCAGCGCAGATGCCAGAAGGGGGTGGGGCTGGGAGGGCGAAGCCCCGCCCCTTCATTTGCATTCAAGGCGATCGTGCCCTGGGTTCAGGGACTATGTTGAGAGGATGGGGGTTCCGTTTGGCTCCCTTAACTACTCTTATCTGTTCACCGGCCAAATGAAGTAGTTGTACAGCCTGTGAGTGCCCTCTGAGAACACGTAGCCCCTACAAAGATCTGGATCCTTAGCGTGCGGCTCCGCTGTGGTTCCCCCCAGGGGGAAGGGATGCCAGTGTCCCCCAGCCTGGCGGGCATCATGCAGAGGACCTTCGCCTGGCTCTTAGAGCGGGTGCAGCACCTGGGTGCCCCCGTCACCCTCCGCGCTTCCTACCTGGAGATTTACAATGAGCAGGTAAGGGAGGAGGCATAGAAAGCCCATCAGGAAACCAAGAGCAGAAGAGGTGGTGGGACTGTGCCCCCCCGGGTGATCTGGGGGCCGATGGGAGACCTTTCCTTCTTCTCTTTTCTTCCCTCCCAGGTTCACGACTTACTGAGCCTGGGGTCTCCTCGGCCCCTCCCAGTACGCTGGAACAAGTCTCGGGGCTTCTATGTGGAACAGCTGCGGGTGGTGGAGTTTGGGAGTCTGGAGGCCTTGATGGAGCTACTTCAGATGGGTGTGTCTGTTTTCAGGAGAGTTTTAGGGGGCGGATTGCCTGTGCCTCAGCTTTCCCTGGGTGTGGGTGGGCTGGGGCTTCAGCAATGATACTTGTGAGGCAGAAGGATCAGTGTGCAAACAATTCATAGACATGATGCAAAGATGCCCCCTCCCCCACTGGCCTTCCAGACTCCTTCCAGGCCCTCCCTTACCTCCCCCAGATCCAGGGCCTTGGCTTGCTGCTTCCAGACTGCTGCCCCACCAGCCCCTTCCCAGGCAGCAAACCTCATGCCTTTTGTCTCCACACTAGCACTGTTTGAGGCCCTGAGGGAGAAGGTCGTATACTTCTTAGCCAAGTCCTGAGGCCTTCCAACTCTAGTCTTATTCATCTGAATGAATATTTATTGGACACTCCTCTTCTGCAGGCACCCGGAATACTGGAATTCTAGATTCCAGCCCCAGCATTGTGCCTCACCTCTTGGATGATCTTTCCCTTCTTCCACAAAGCAATAGGAAAGATGTTTATGAAATGTAAAGGAGATTGTCATTATTTTTGCTCTGTTCTCGCCATTACTCCCCCCCACACACACTATCTGTACTAGTACACTATCCGTACTAGTCCAGCTCCAGGCCTCACCCCCAAACCAACACCACTCTCCAGCCTCCCTTGCCTCCACCAGGCTGGTCTGGTTCCTCCACCCCTTGCTTTTACACCTTTCTCTACACTGGCAGCCATCAGGAACAGCTCCTGATGTGTCTCCTGCAGGTCTCAGCCGTCGACGGAGCTCTGCTCACACCCTGAACCAGGCTTCCAGCAGAAGCCACGCCCTGCTCACGCTCTACATCAGCAGGCCAGCTGTGAGTCTCCCTCTGGGGAAGATGTGGCTCAGAGCCATCCAGCAGGGGTCTGCTTTGCATGGGGAAACCTACCAGGGCCGGCATAGGGAAAGCCCTTAGCCTGGTGACCTTGTGACTTTGATGGAGACTGTCCCACCCAAGTCTCCATCAAGCCTTGTTTCTCCAGTCCCAGAAGGTGCCTCCTGTGGACCCTGGGGAGCCCCCTGTGGGTGGGAAGCTGTGCTTTGTAGACCTGGCAGGCAGTGAGAAGGTGGCAGCCACAGGATCCCGTGGAGAGCTGATGGTAGAGGCCAACAATATCAACCGCAGCCTGCTGGCCCTGGGTAAGACTTGGGCAAGGCTGTGGTGGGCCTGGGGCTCACTGATCTAGCTTCCTGTGCTTCTCTTCTATACCAGGAGTTGGGATGTGTAGGTAAGGCTGGTGAGCCTCTTCTGTGGCCGACTTCCTCCCCACCCCATCCCCCACCTCAGTGGCAGGAGCTCAGCCTCTTAGAACACTGTCAGTCCACACATGCTTTTAGTCTATAAAGCAGGCTTCTAACTTGAGAGGTGGGAACAGCCAGCTGCAGGGTAGGACTCCTCAGAAGTATTACAACCGCCTCTTGTGCAGTTGGAGGGCTGCTGGCACCAGTGGGGGACACAAATGGACCTAGGTCCCCACAGTAGGTATAGGGACCAGGCTGTTGGTGCAACTCCTTTCCTTCAGTCATTTGTAAGAGTGTTTCTGAGCCCCTGCCAAGTGCCAACCCTCTGCTAGGTACTGGGAATGGGGATATCTGTGTCCTGGGGGTCAGGGTGGTGGAGGCTAGTCTGAAGGAGTGGTAAGATCCTGAGGAAAGATGAAAATAGTCACAGGCCTCAATAGAGACCCCATCTGTAGCATCCCTCCTTTGGATGGGCAGTGTAACCTCTCTGCATCTTACTCTCCCCACCAGGGCACTGTATCTCCCTGCTGCTGGACCCACAGCGGAAGCAGAGCCACATTCCTTTCCGAGACAGCAAGCTCACCAAGTTGCTGGCAGACTCACTGGGGGGGCGTGGGGTCACCCTCATGGTAATTGACTGGGGTTGGCAGGGAGGCCAATCCTGAGGCAGGGACTCCTAGAAAGGAATGCTTAGGGGAGGCCCTCCCCAGGTGGCCTGCGTGTCCCCTTCAGCCCAGTGCCTTCCAGAGACTCTCAGCACTCTGCGCTATGCAAGTCGAGCTCAGCGGGTCACCACCCGGCCACAGGGCCCTAAGGTGAACAAAGAGGGGAGGGGAGGGACATCATCTCCCCCTACCAGGCAGCCATCAGAGCCTGCATTGGCATTGTAATTGAAGCTGAGGATGGGGTCAGAATTGGGATTAGAGTCAGAATCCTAGAAATGGGGTCGTGGTTGATTAGGATGGAGTCAGGCTACCGGCCAAGGTCATGGCCAGGGACTGGGTAGATCTAGGTTCATTTGGGAAGTCAGAATTGAGGTCAAATTTGGGACAGATTTGCATTGGGAGTTGGACTTGGGGATCCTACAAGGTGATGCAACTGGACTTCAGATGGATGCGGCCTTATGCCAGGATACCAGGCTGGCAAGTGATGCCCATGCTAACCCGTAGGCTCCACACAGTTTCCCACACCCACAAGCCCTAGTGCCGTGCACAACCTGTTCAGTCACAAAGGGCCTTGGGGGCCTTGGTTCCCTGTAGCCCTCCGGGATGAAGCAACCCCAGAATGTGGAGGCTGAGATCCTGCAGCTCCGGGAGGAGAACCGTTGCCTGCGGCTTCAGCTGGACCAAATGGGCAGCAAGGGTATGAGCTCCGGGGGAGTGAATGGCATGTGGCTAGAGCCTGAAGGTCGGTACATCCAGCCTCCTCCTGCTTCCTTGCAGCCTCAGGGTTCCAGGGAGCCCGAATGGCCTGGGCCCAGCGGAACCTCTATGCCATGCTGCAGGAGTTCATGCTGGAGAATGAGAGGCTCAGGTAGGGCTCAGCTGTCTCCATCCTTCATTGCTTGGCTACGTGGGCCAAGATGTTTTCCCTTCCTGTCCCTGGGCTCTCTGTCCCAACCTGCCTCCAGGCTTGGGGATTCCCCGCCCTGAGGAGGAGACAGCCCTGCCTCTGTGCTCTCCCAAGGAAAGAGGTGAGCCAACTGCATAGTAGCCGGGACCTGGCCCGGGGTGAGCAGCGAGTCCTGGCCCAGCAGGTCCATGAACTGCAGAGGTGAGTACAGATGCCTGTGTGGATAGACAGGGGCTGCAGGGCCACTGGGTAAGGGGGGGGTCTTGTGATATGGGTGCATGTCCAATGTCTGCAGCCCACCAACTGGTTCAGTGTCAGCTCAGTCACCCCCTGGTTGCTGGAGCCTCACTTCTGTGCAGTAGGGACCTAGCTTTCAGGCTGGAGCCTCACTTCTGTGCAGTAGGGACCTAGCTTTCAGGCTGGAGCCTCACTTCTGTGGAGTAGGGACCTAGCTTGCCTAGTTTTCAGGCTTGCTAGAGATGGGGATACAGCAATAGGTGAAGCACTGAGAGTGGGACCAGCCCATAACAGGAGCTCCAGGCATCTCTGAAAGGGGACCTGGGGAAGCTGGGGGCAACAGACACAGGACCACCCCTTTTCTTCCCAGGCGCCTCCTGTCTGTCTGCACACTTCACCAGCCAGCGCCTGCCCCAGCTCCACCATGCCCCTGCTTGGTGATGCCGGCTGCCCCCTGCCGTGTGAGTCTCGCTGCCTCCCCGGGAGGGGGGATGCGCTGAGACATCACAGAGCCACTGATGCACCTTCTTGCAGGCATTGCCTCCTCTCTGCTCCTGCCCCTGCTGTCACCTCTGCCCTGTGTGCCTGGCACCCTTGGCCCGTTGGGCCTGTCCACAACAGGAGTGCCACGTGCCCCAGGTAGGAAGGACCAGAGACAGGGTGCTATGAGAACTGGAGCCCTTGATGGGAGGCTTAGTGATCCCAGAGAGGTGGGGTGGTGGTGAAGGAAGGGCTTAGGGCTCGGAGCCTCTGTCCAGGGTTCAGAACGCCTGTTGGCCTCAACTCCCTCACTCTGCCTTCTTTTAGGAACACACTCTGATTTGCTTGTTCTTTTACTCACGTTCACATCTGCCCATCCGTACATCTCTGTCCTCATGCATTCACTCCTTCACTCCCTGCTTGGAGCACTTGGGCCCCTCTCTGTTTCCAGCTCTGAGGGATCAAAGTAGACCAGACACTGCCCTGCCCTTTGTGCTGACCCAACATTCTTGGTACCCATGGCTGGGGGGTCATGGCCAGCACCAGGGAGTGGGACCCAGAGGAGCAGGCTGAGGTCTTCGAGGATGCTCTCTGCTCCTTCCTACAGGTGCTGGACCCAGAGACCCCTAGAGGTATGCCGCTGTCTTCACAGCCCCCACCCTGGGCACCTCCATGCAGCCCTGGCTCTGCCAAGATCCCAGGAGAGAGGTAGGCCCAGTCCTGAGGCACTGGGAAAGAGGGTGGAAATCTAGGGACACAGAGGGTCACCCCACTCACTCACGCTTGCCTAGGAACCACAGCGACTGGACCCAGACTGGAGTCCTGGCCGAGATGCTGACTGGGGAGGAGGTGGTCCCCTCCGCCCCACCCTTGCCCTCGGGATCCCCAAATGCACCACCAATATTGAGAGGTAAAGCTGTGGGGGAGGGGGAGGGAGGGAGGAGAGAGGGAAGAAAGAAAGGAGGGGTCCCTGTGTTGTCCAGGCCTCAGATCCTGTGTCTGAAATAAGATGGGCTGAAGAGGTTCTGAGATCTTCCCAGGTCCCAGCTTCAGTGTTCTCTCTGGTAGCCCAGACCTCTCTGCTGGAGCTGGGGGTGGGAGGTGGGGGCAGAGAGGGAGCACAAGGCTAGGCTCCCACTGAGGATGCTGGGCGTGGGTGGGCCTAGCGCGGAGGATCCGGGAGCGCAGTCCTCAAGTGTCATCTCTCCTCAGGTGCAGCCAGGATCCCCAACCTGGCCCAGAGACTGGAGGCCCTCAGACACCAGATTGGAAGCTCCCTGCGAAGGGGCCAGAGCCAGCCACCCCCCAGCGAGGGCACGAGTGGCCCAGGCCGAGGCTTCCCTCCCTGCTGAAGGCGAAGTAGAAACACAGAGGCTGCCTGGCTCTGCCCTCTGGGGCCTCAGTGTCCTCGTCTGAAGATGGGGACAGCCAAGTGTGGGTGGATGCCTTTTGTACCTGCTTGGGGAAGAACACATTTCTCCCAATCATTATCGGCCTTAAATGGTAACGTCCAAAGCACTCTGTGATTGCCTTACTAAAAGCAACGGAGGAGCAGCTGGGCTTGTAGGAGAGCACTAGGGGTGGGGACTTGGGGATCACTTGGAGGTTGCTACTGCCACTGCAGGTATAAAAGTAAGCTGGGACTCAAGAGAAACCAGGTGGCAAGTGATAAAGTGTATAAATTAAGAGTGATCCACTCCAGTCACGTCAGCACGGGGGAGACTGTGAGGGAAGGGAGTTTTGGGGGGTCTGAGGAGGAAGGAGGCCCCTGGGCACATGTGCATGTCCCCATCTGATCTGGACTTCCCTAGGCTCTCATCTGCTCCCTTCTCCTCTCCTGTATTGGACAAGTTTTAACCAATGACCATGTACCACTGGTAGGCAGGCATGGGCAGGCATGGCCGGCAGGGGGGAGGGAGGAGGGGAGTAAGCTGAGGATGCTCGGAGAAGGCAGAGCTTGAGGAAGGTTGGGGCAGGATCTTCCCTGGGCCCTGATCCCTGGGCCCTAGGCTTGGGCCTTAGTGATAGGGCTTGGGGAGCATTGGGGAGCAGCTAGAGAGATGCTGGGGAGACTCAGTGAGCAGAAGGTGCTGGAAAGAGGTGGCAGCCTTCTGATCTCTAAATATGTCGGGCCTGGTTAGGGACACAAGGATCCGTTTCCCTCCCCTGGCTTCCAAGCAAAGAAAGCCTCGCTCTTCCTGTCCAGAATTCTGGGAAATCCCCTGGACATATCTCTGCATTTTGACTCCTTACACGGCGGGACTAAGGAGCCAAAGATAAAACCAAGGTACCTCTAGACTGCTCTGAGCATGTGTGACTTGGGATAGGCCATTGTGCTTCTCTTGAGCCTGTCCCACTGTAAGGCCTGTGACTTCTGGAGTCTGTGCAGGGTAAATCTCCAAAGCTGGGGACTCACAGGCACAACCCAGGAGTCAGGTATTCAGAGGCAGGACTTGTGGCTGGATCCATTAGGGATGTCCCTGGAAAGCCAAATCCATTGGAGGCAGAGGCTATGGACAGCAGGTGATGGTCAGACACAGAGAGGCCAAGCAGGCTGCAACTGAGGCCACAGGCTGCCCCACCCACGTTCCAGTCACCCGCCACCACATCGCCCTGAGTAATCAAGTGACTTGGCTGCTCTGAGCCCAGGGTCACTTCAGGGCCACAGTGCACAGAGTCTCTTTGTCATGGGGATGGCAGTCTCATCAATTTGGAAAGAATATTACGCGAGGCTTTGCCTCTTGCAGAGGATTGGGACAAAGACAACATGAAGTGAACAAGATAATTTGATGCAATTTGGTAGCCAGACTCAAAAATGACCCATTCAGCAAGTATCTGCGGAGGACCTGTTTCAGCCAGCATTGGCAGGATCGTATTGTCCTGTGTCTCTGGGAACACAAACAGCATCCAAGCACAATATATGGCAGGCCAGATGGTGATAAATGCTTTCTAGCAAAAGAGCTGGTTTGGGGGGGGGACAATTCAGGCTCTGCCTGGGCAGGGCTACAGCACTAAATTTGGGGTTCAGGAAAGGTCTCAGGGAAGTGATCTGTTGTACAGGGATCCAAGCAGGGATGGGGAGACCAGTGAATGCCACAAAGTTCCTTTTTCTAATATGAAGTTCAGGCCCAGGCTCTTCCCCAGTGCCTCACATCCCTTATCTTTTAGCCTGGGGCCCTGCGTGCTGGGAGGTCCCCAGCCCTCAGCTGAGGGCAGCAAAGGCCTCTGGCACTGAGTGTGAATTTTCCTTAGTCTGGGATGATGGAGTGGGACCACCCAGGGGGACCCTGGCTGGCTCATTACTGCTTGCATGATTCCCACTGGAGCTGGCCAGTTTTCCAGTTTCCTAGTGCCAGCTCCCAGTCAGCACAAACTTCACCCTTTCCTAAGAGACACGGGATAGCAAGGAGGTGCCTGCCGCTGACAGCCTGGTCTCCTGGACCATGTGTTCATCTCTCAGACAGCAGCCTCACTCCAGGAAGCTACTGTCCTGGATCCCTGAGCCCTGTCCTACATCACACCAACACTAGATCCATTCTGCCTTATGGAGAACTATGGACTCAGGAAGGTTCTCCTAAAATCCTGAAAGTCATAAGCCTTCTAGAAGTTGCTACAACTTGTGTGGGGGAGGGTGTGTGTGTGACAGAGCAGGGGGTACTAGACAATAACTCTCAAGAACTCACAGGACCTCAGAACATAGGATGTGAGAGAAACTCTTGGAAATCCTGACACACTAGGAATTTCCCAGAATTCCAAGCCCCTGGAAGATCTCTCTGGAATTTCCAAACCCTATAGAGAAGCTCAAAGAATCCTCTGGAATGTCTGGCTTGGGAAGGGAGGGGGTATAATGGAGAAGGGACATTCACTTGGAGCTGTGAAGGCCATCCGTGGGTGTGTGGAGTATTGAAATCACCAGCGGCCTGGATGTGTAGATATCTGATTGAATTGGGGTCTTCCAGTTTTATGACACATTTACCCCAAATTACTCATCAGTCCCTTGGGAGTGGGTTTCGGCCCTTTATAGGACATTTTGAAATAAGCAGGAGAGCGACTTTTCTATTGCATCACGCGCCCAAGCCATTGCCTTCCCCTGGCAGCAAGGAAAAGCTCTGACAGACAGGTGAGGAGGAATCTTCAAGAACCTGCACACAGCTCTGGGCCTGCATTGTTTCATTCACACGATGACAGACCCTATTGTAAAGACCAGGCCTCCTCTTACTGGGCTTGAGTGGCAGGAAACTTACCTCCAGCCACTTCCCCTTTCTCTAGGATCTTGCAGCTGAATGAAGGGAAAAGGATGTCCAAACAAGCAACAATGATAATTACACCCAGGAGGTGGCAGCAGAGGGATCTGAGCATGCGTATACGGCTTCAATCCTGAGCTGTCACACTGGATTGCCATCCAGTGGGACCACAGTGGGGCAGCAGATAGAGGAGCAATTTACTTTCAGCTTGGAAACTCCTGTGCATGGTAAAAAGACCTCCACACAAAAGCCTTATGCATCCCAGCAAGGATCAGCAAAGACACGGATAAAAGCAGAGCAGGACTTCCTGAGTTCCTCTCTCCCCACAGAGAGTTCCTCTCTCCACCCCAAAGACCAATGAATTCTTTACCAGCTCCCTTGTTCAACTTAAGCTAGAACTTGGAGAATTAGAAGTAGAGCCTGAAACCCAGCCTTTGGTGGGCAGGGCCCTGTAGGGAGGCTGGAGAGCTGGGTTGTCTCTAACTGACCTTATCTTGGGCAGATTCTCCCGGCTTCTTAGCCTCTATCTTCCCAGTTTTCCAGCTGTGGGGTCTTCAGTAAGGTAGATAAGGTTTTTAACTCTCAGGTTTTGTTTTTACCTGAAGAGTAGGGACTGAATTGGTTCACCCTTAGAGGATCTACAGCAAAGATCACAGCCAGGACTGGAAGCCAGGCTGGTGTGACTGATTTAAAGCAAAGCACCGCAGGACCAGGACTTTTTGCTACTGGGTACCCATACATGTATCTATGTACTCACTCATCTGAAGTTATTACTAAGGGACTCTGGGCTTGTTGATTTCCATCTCCAATCTCTCATCTCCAATCTCTTTCATCTGTCTTCGCCCTTCTTGGGGTCTGACCAGAATCCTCCTTCTGGTTTGAAGTCAATCATCATTGTTTACTGAAACATTACTCACTGGTGTGGCAGACCCCAAGTACAGTATTGGCTGAGGAATATATAAACAGGTTCATATGAGTCTGACTCCTGCCATAAGAGGCCCAGTAAAGAGAGAGCCCTAGGATCTCCACTAACCAAAAGAGCATAGCCAAGAGGTCCTGATGGTTAGAAGAGGACTGGGTCCAGGGGAAAGAGATCTGGGAAAATAGCCACTACCACTACCGGGTCACCTGATTTCTTAGCCTTGGTTTCTGTAGAACTGGGATACAAAGTGGTACTACCAGAACAGTAAGATCCTTCGTAAGAGGATCCAGTAGGACTGATCTGCAGAGGGCTCATCAGAGGGCTCAGTAGACAGGAAGAACTTAGCAAAGTGATGATTCAGGTTACAGTATTCCTTGAGATCTATAGCAATTGCTCACAATTCTGTTTTCCCAGCACAAGGCCCAGGGTCCTACCAAGTCTCAGCCTGTCTGGCAGGGGTGGGGATGGTTAAGGGAATGGTGCAGGCTGAATGTTCTACTTTTGTCAGAGGGTTTTTAACAGGCCAAGGATGGCCAGGTTCTATCTCTGGTTTCTTTTACTTCCTCTTTTCTTTTCTCCCTCCCTCCTGCCCTCCTTCCTTTTCTCTTTTTCTCTCCTTTCCTCTTTCTTCTTCATTCTCATTTCTTCTAGTTTTTTTTTTCCCCATTAATGTCTAAGTTAATATTAATAGCCTGGTTTGGGGATGGGCATTTGCTGTAGGCCTCTGAGTCTGTCTGTATAGAACAATCTGAGCGCAAACCGTGGAGGTCTTTCTGGACATTCTCTGCTGCCCCCTTGTGGACTAAAATACCTACACGTGTGCAATTCCTGCCAAGTTTGGAGGAGCACTAAACCCCTGCTGGGCACCACATGTTAGTGACAGGTCTGCACAGCTGTGGAGTATTTGCACAGGACCATCTCTCTGTCCCTATGTCAGCAGTGTCACATTAGTGAGCCTGCTTGGAGGCCCAGATGAATAACCAAGGCCAGTTCGGGTCAGGACTTTCCCTAAGGTTACTTGTGAGTCACAATGACTGACACTGGGGTCTCTGGTGGCTTTGCTCTTTGGGACAGGCTGGAAAGATGGGAAACAGAGCCTGGGAATCACTGGGTGATGAGGATAGCCCTTCTCACTTCGCTGGTCAGGAATCGTGAGTACTGCCTGGTTCTTCGTTCATCCGAGTGTCCCGGATAAACCCAGCAGGCCTGGCATTTGAGGCAAGGCCTTGGGTCAGGAAGCAAGGTTGCCCTGTTTCTCCTCTCCATTAGCAGAGGAGAACGAAGCTCTTACCACAGTGGCCAGTGTCCTTCATGTTCCTGCTGGCCTAGTGACCCCTGAACTTCTGGGTTGCTGTTGCCCTGGGCCCCTGGATCTCCCTCCCTCCTGCTTACAGATCTGCCCAGACTCACTTCTGAACCTGCCTTCACCCCTTGTGCATCGCAGAGGCAGAAGAGACATCTTGGCCTCACAGGCCCCCTACCTCCCAGCTTGCCTGGCCTCACCCCTGCTTCCTGTTTTCCCTTCACTCACTTTCTTCCTCTCCCCCCTCAGACCTCCACTCAACTCCAGGACCCAGTGGAGGAGGCCCAGGGGGCCATGGTCCCCCTCCCACCCTCAGATCCAAACACCAATAAGAGAACAAATGAATCAACGAAGGGAATAAGGCCTGATGGTGGAGCCAGAAGCTGGCTAGCCTTTGACCAACACCCATGGTGTCCTTCACCCTAGTATGTTCATTGGCAATTGAAGCTTCTGGTGTGGCACTGGCCCTCCCCTTCCTCTTGAAGTGGTTCTAGAGAATGGCCACTTCCTGTGGACTCTCAGACCCTTGGGCCCCCCTAGGAGGGCAGGCAGGGGTCCAGGAGTTCTTACCCCCTTCGCAGGGAGTAAGAGGAAGCAGGGTCCAGCACATAGACACTGCCTGCTTTGCATCCTTGTAGCCCCCGTGGTTAATTTTTAAAAAGCAGCTCAAAGTCCAGGGGGCCCTAGCAACTTTTGTCTCTGTTTGCTTGGGTTAATAATCTCAGGAGCACAAACATCCCCAGGACGGGAGAAGACATGACTCCCTTACCTACCTCTGTCCTCAGGGCCTCTCCCCTACCTCTTTTCACCCTGGCAGGCCACGCACTGGTTGAACAGTCCTGACCCAGAGATGGGGATTAAGCTGCCCCCTGCCCCTCAAGCCCCCTACCCCAGTTTGTCTCCAGCTTCCTCTCTGGACAGTGTGCTTGCTAACCCAAGCACATCGCTGCTGAGAAAGTCAGATGAGCCATCTCTAGTGAGCTGTGTATAGCCAAAGTCAAGGGCAGCACTGGCCAATTCAACCAGTACTTCCACAGTGTTTACTTTCATCTCCTGACAGGCAGAACAGTTTACAGATTAGGAAAGAGGGCTTCAGAGAAGATAATCCACTCCCCCCCCCCAAGCTCACCCACAAGTCAGGGGGTGCCTGGCTTTTGATTCTCTATACTTCCTTTTAGACCATCTCTTGGAGACCACCATTAACCAAATCATAAATGACTGGGAAAGCTGGTGACCACAGGGAATGGTAACTGCCTCAGAAAGTTGAGCCAACACACTGGCTGTGTTTAAATGCATTTCAGACCAAGCAAAAAGGAAAGACAATCAGTGTCCAAACTGTTACAAACCAAAGGAAACACTTAAAAACAGACACATACTTGATCTGGATACCAGCAAAGGAGAAACATAAACTGGATCTTGTAGAAGGGACAAAACTTACCATTTGTTCATACACTGGCTAAATAGAGGAATCCCCCTCCCCCACGGTTCTCCTATGATCAAGGGGGGAGGGCTGTACTCAGAAATGCATGTCTGGAGGGCACCAGCTCCCACAGGAGGCTGCAGGGTGAAGGAAATGTTCCATGCCAGCAAGCAAGGAGGAAGGGAGAAGAGCTTCTCCTGGAAGAGATAACTTTTTCATCAAAAAAGATTGTGGTATGATGGGCAAGAATTTGAGCTCTGGGTTTTTTTTAATTCCCATTTAAAAGATTTAAACCTATACTAGGTACAGGGATGCATGCCTGTAATCCCAGTAGCTAGTTGGTAAGTGGAGATTGGGAGGATTGTGGTTGGAGGCTAGCCAGGGCAAAAAGTGCATGAGATCTTATTTCAACCACGAAGCTGGGTGCAGCAGTATGCACTTGGAATCCCAACTACTCCAGAGGAATAAATAGGACTGTGGTCCAAGCTGCTGTAGCAAAGAACTTGAAACTGGTAGTAACAGTAAGATAAACACATAGATGTATCCTCTCATAGTACTGGAGGCTGGGCATTGGAGACCAGGTTGTTGGAACCAGTTCATGGCTGAAGGTCCTGGGGGGGGGATTGGCCCCTTGTCTCCTGCAGCCTGTAGTGGCGGCCATCCATCAGTCTTGATGACTGACCCACAGTGGCATCTACTTGGTGTCTTCCTAATCTTCCCATAGTCATCATCCCTCTGCATCCCTCAGTGTCTCTCTCAGTTCTCTTATAATAACACAGGTGGTTTGATTTAGCAACAGCCCCCATCTTAAACAATGTCATCTATAAATGAGGTCACATCTCCCAAAGTTCTGGGTAGTCATGAAGTTTAGGGGAGGGCACAGTTTCCCCCTCTACGGGCACACACAGCTTTCAATATATATCAGCGAGGGACCACGTTACTGCTCACACCCTCCTCCCAATGCATGGACCCCAAATCTATTGTCACCCCATTTACAGATGAAGAAACTGAGGCACTGAGTAGGCCCCCCTGGTTCCAGAGTCCCTGCACTCCACCCCTGTGAAATGCTGCCTCTCCCAGGTGAGTGGCCCAGGGCTTCCTGGAGACCCAAGTCCTTGCTAAGGTGGGAAATGATGCCACTTCCTGGGAGGGGAGGGGGTAGGGGGTGGGGTGTGCCAAGTGCAGATTCATTATTAGCTTTGCAGTTATTTGCCAAGGGCTACAGGACACCAGGGCCAAAGGAAGAACTCTGGGGCAGGGTTTGTGTGTGGCTTTCAGTCTGGGCCCTGCCTCAGATCCTTCCTGGTAGTGTTAGGTCACTTCCCCTCTCTGGGTCTTGATTTTTGTTCCCATGAGAAATGGGTCCAATCTGGTGGTCCATTGGAATGATCCAGAAGCAAAGTCTAGTGCTGCCTGTCCCCCGTCCTCAGCCTTACATGTCCTTGTGGCAGGTAGAGGTCCACAGGGAAGCATTTCTCTTGTGTGTGGCCAATGCCCCCTTGAGCCAGTGACCAGAGCCTCCTGGCTGCAGGGATCAGCCCAGCCGGGCTTCAGCAATCGATCGGACCTGGCCCCGGGGCCCTGATTGGCTCTGGCTGAGCACAGCAAACACCAGGCCTCCCTACAGGCCACAGGCACCTTCCCCAGCCCCAATCCACTGCAGCCTCCAGCAGGCAGGTGACCCCTCTGTCCTCAGACCAGGCTGTGAGTGAGACACGCAAGACACACGAACCCGGAGCCATGCAGGGCATTGGGAACCTGCTGCTGGTACTGACCGCCTGCTCGGTGGCACAGGCCGGCCCCGTGCCCACCACACCAGACGACATTCAGGTGCAGGAGAACTTCGACATCCTCCGGGTAAGGCTGGCCAGGGTCCCTGTGGCCAGGTGCAGAGTCTAAGCTGTCGGACCTAGCTAAACATGTTCATCTGTCCTGGGGTCTCAGTCCTCCTGTGTGGAGCTTCAGGGGTCTGTCCCAGGGCCCTGGCTGTTCTGATTGGTGGGGGTCTTTGGGGGGGGGATCCCTGGAACTGCAGCTTTTGTCCATGTGTCACTCATTCAGTGCGACGCTCACTTGATATTCTGTGAGTTTCCTGCCCCCTCCTAATGGCTCCAAAATCAATTCACACACGGTGACCCGTGACCTCTGGGACCCATAATGTGGGATTATGGGAGGAAAAAGCAAACAAACATAGGGTGAATGGGGGCTGGTGGAATTAATAGTCATGGGCCCAGGGAGCACTAAGGTCTGGGGTGGACATGCATGTGCTCTGTACGTGTCTGTGAAGTACGTGTACACACATGTGTGTGGGCATTTCATGTCTTGGTGGACATATGTGTGACACAGGGGTGTGTCTGTGTGCCTGTACACTTATTGTGCGCATGTGTGTGAGTATGCAGGTATTGCAGGTCATGTACATGTACATGCACGCACGTGTGTCTGTGTGAACATAGCCCTAGAGCCGCCTGCAGCCCAGCTCTCCCTCAGATTGTGCAGGGACCATGAGCGGGACCTTGTGCACCCCGTGGAGACTCTTCTCCAGGCCAGTCTGTGAGGGTCTCTCTTTCAGGTGTGGAGAGGGGCTCCCTGAGCAGGGCCTTCCCCCTGGTAAGCTGGGATGGCCCATTGCCTGGGAATGGGGCTCCTCCAACTCTCTGAGGTGCCACCAGGAGGAAGTGCTAGCTGCCCGGCCCCATCCCGCACAGCTTGATGGGGGCATAGACCCAATACCTGCCACGGTGGGGCAGGAGCCTGTCTTGGGAGGGGTAGGGCATTCTGCCTTGGGGGAACAAAAGACAGGGCTCCCTCCAGCTTTGGACCTCTGTTCCCATGAGCAGCTGCAGTCTCGTCTTCACGGAATGTGGCCTGGGAGGGGGACTCGGTCAGCATGCCTCCCTCCAAAGGGCTGGTCAGTGAGAAGACGGAGGGGTACTGACATCCTGTCCTTGGCTTGTGGCGCCTTCTAGATCTACGGGAAGTGGTTCAACCTGGCCATTGGCTCCACCTGCCCATGGCTGAAGACTGTGGCAGACAAGATGAGTGTGAGCACACTGGTGTTGGGACGGGGACCCACGGACGCTGAGATCAGCATGAGCAGCACTCGCTGGCGGTGAGTGGGGCACAGGAAGGACTGGGGGCTCCTCCCCGAGGATCCCTCTCCAGCACCCTACCCTGAACCGGAAACAGATCAGAGCTCTGCTCCCAGCCAGGACCAAGCCTCTGCAGCCCCAGCCCCTCCCCTCCCCATGCCCAGGGGGAGTGGTCCCAGGAACATCTTAAACACCACACCCCCAACACTCCAGGTACCAAAGAACTGGATAGTGGTAGTGACAGTAGCTCCTCCCCCTCCTCTGCCTCCCCCGCCCCCACACACCGGTTTTGTTAGCTGAGAAGGGGCCCTGCCCCAGGGACTCTGGCTTCCCTGCCCATTCAATCCATCTTGAAGCCAGGTCCAGTTCTCGCCTTCCAACTGCAGCCGCACTTCTTCAAGCCATCTTCCTTCCTTCCTTCCTAATCGTCCATTGCAACTTTTCTCTCCACATCCAAGTCAAAAGTCTGTTGAAAGACCTTTAAAAAAAAAGAAAACAAAAACAACTGTCTGTGTTTAGTAGCCTTCCATAGCTCCTCAGTGCCCTCAGTAGTAAGACCCCTTTGATGCCATTTTCTGGTCTCTCCTGGCTCTTGCCACTTTCTCCATCATCTCTGATGTACTATGACCTCCTCGCATTCCTCCCCCCACCCCACCCCCCACTTGTGAGTCTTCCACCTCTTTCCCATTGAGCCTCTGCACCTCTTCACCCACTCATCTGCCTGACTGACCTACCTGGCTCTCAGTGAACACTGAGATGGGGAGATGGGTCTCCATGCTGGCCTGGGGAGCCCAGCCCACTGTGCAGCACATGCAAATCCCAAGGCATGTTCAGTGGCTGAATAGAAAGCCTGTGGCAATAATAGCCAAAACACACAGCATACCTACATCTCTGTGCACATTGCTCATTTGAACCTCACAACAACCAGGTAAGGTAGAAGCTGTATCATTCTCATTTTATGGATGAGGAAATGGGTCAAGGAAGACCCAGAGAAGACCCAGACCCATGAATCCATGTGCAAAGTCATCCTATGACTCCAAAAAAAGTGAAAAAGGACATTGAGAGGCCCTGCAGGAGAGTGGAGATTTGAACTCTCTCCAGCTGAGCTTTCCTTCCTTGTGGTTTGTTCATTTCCAGGAGAGGTGTGTGCAAGGAGACCTCCACGACTTATGAGAAGACAAACACAGTGGGGAAATTCATCTACCACAAACCCAGTAAGTGTGTGGGTGCCCTCCCCCTCCCTCCTGGGCTCCCAAGTCCCTTCAGGTCTTCAGCTCTCTGCCCTAGTGCCTGCTGCTGAGAGACAGGGGACATGAAGTTATTCATTTATTCAGCAAATGCTCATTGACTATGCTGTGTGCCAGGCAATTATATTAGAGGTAAAAATGTGAATGTCTGGATGAATGGATGGATGGACATATAAGTGAACAAATGATTGGCAAGTAAACAGTTACAAATGGCATATAGCTGAGCTTATTGGTTACCTAGTGGATAAACAATGGCATGGGGAAGGAAGGAAGGAAGGAAGGGAGGAAGGGAGGGAGGGAGGGAGGGAGAGAGGGATGAAGGAAGAAAGGGAGGGAGGAGGGAGGGAGGGAGGGAGGGAGGGAGGGAGGACAGACAGGCAAGAAGGAGGGAGGAAAGAAGAAAGGATAGGGAGGAAGGAGAGAGACAATAGAGGGGAAAAGGAGGAAGGCAAGGAGGAAAAGAGGAAAGTAACAAGAGAGGAGAGGAGAGGAAGGAGAAGAGAGAAGGAAGGATTTACAGAAGACTGCTGGTGAAGAGATGGTGGGTGAATTAATGACACTGGATGAGGAATAGATGGATGGGTGGGGAGAAACTGCAGGTGTATGGATTGGTGAATCCACAGGAGGCATGAATGGCAGGAAAGCTACATGAAGGCAAGATGGGAGGGGATGGGTGATGAATCTCTAACAACTTCTAACCCCTAACCCCTGACCTCGGTCTACGGCCACTCCTACACAGAATGGAACGTAACCATGGAATCCTATGTGGTTCACACCAACTACGATGAGTATGCCATTTTTCTGACCAAGAAGTTCAACCACCACCATGGAACTACCATAACTGCCAAGCTGTATGGTAAAGGCCTGTGGGACCTGGGGTCGGGGGAGGCTGTTGATGTAGGAGCCGTGGGGTGGGAAAGAGTAGGGAGTTTTGCTTTTTCCAGTTAGGCGAAGGAGGTAGGGTCAGTCCCACCCAGGGCCTGGTCCTCTTCACTGTGTCTCTGTTGCCAACCCCAGTGCCTCCAGCCAGTGGGGCCCCAGGAGACCTCTGTGGGAGCCCATCCACCCACACACACGTCACAGGAATGCAGGGGTCAATGATTCTTGGCCCCTACATGAAAATCTCTGGGGAAGTTATGCGGGCCCCGGTAGTCCTGGAACTTGGGTCTCTGAGGGTCTCCTGTGTTTTCCACCTGCAGGGCGGGAGCCACAGGTGAGGGAAAGCCTCCTGCAGGAGTTCAGGGAGATGGCCCTGGGGATGGGCATCCCCCAGGACTCCATCTTCACCTTGGCTGACAGAGGTAAGTGCTCCTCCCCTAGGGCCATATTGAATTTTGGTTCCCTGTTCATCCCATCATGGCCCTGGGTCTTTCCTATCATCCTCGGTGACGAACAGGGATCACAGAGAATCAGCTCGGTAGTACGCCTGTTCCAGTCTGATAGAATGCACCACAGAGCCAGGATTAGACCAGCTTGTAGGCTCATTCTACTGCCGTGCATCCCAGTGAGGCTGTGTTTCACGTCCATAGGCCTTTCTTTAGGAGACAAGAGGTTGTTGGGGGTTATGAGCATGTGTTTGAATTGAATTGCAAGACTTCTGTTGGAGGTTCAGTGTTCCCCATCTGAACAATGGGCCAGCAGTGTCTCCCTTATAAGCTGCCATGAGAGCCAGTGAGACAGAGCCACCAAAGGCCACAGCACTGTGCCTAGGACACAGTGCTATCTCTGTCCCTGGAGATGATGGTGCTGCTGATGCCGTCGGGGAGGAGTGGGTTGGATGGCCGGTAGCAATAGTAGAACCACCCGTCTGTCCATTTTCCAACCAAGACTGAGAACAAGGGAAGTGGGCGGGGCTGTTCATGACATAAGGGGATGCACAGGACCATCCCCAGCAAGATGTCCGCCGGGTACCATGAAAGAAATCTGGGTCTCAGATTCCCCCAGAGCCTGGTCTCCCATTCACCTCTTCCCTGCCCTCTGTCTAGGGGAATGTGTCCCCGGGGAGCAGGCGCCAGAGCCCACCTCACCCTCGGTGAGTACCTCCCCCCTCTCCGATCCGCTCTGCACACTTGCTCAGGCCCTGCAGGGGTGGGGGCAGGTTGGGATGGGCAAGTGTTTGGAAGGTGACCCACCTGGACTTGATCTTGGTTCTTCCACCTATCTGGAGCTCATTCTTCTCATCTGTGAAATGGGTAATTACTCTGGGGGTTGTGCCAGAGATTAGGACTAGGTTGGAAAAGCTCTTCACATAACACCTAAAGGAAGGAAAACACTTGATTTTATATTGAAATGCCAACATTCAGTACTTGATAATGATACTCGGTGTGTGAAGATGAAGCCAACTGATTTCTCCTAAAAAGCAGTAAACTTGTTGGGTGGTGGTGACGCAAGTCTATAATCCTAGCTACTTAAAGACTGAGATCTAAAGGACTGAAATTCAAGGCCAGGCTGGGCAGAAAAGGCCAAGAGACTCCATCTTCAATTAACCTGCATAAAGGAGTCTCAAGTGCTAGAAGGCTCAAGGCCTTAAGTTCAAATCCTGGTACTGGTAAGGGGGGGGGGGAAGGCAGTAAACGTGAAAACAAGGGCTTTCTCATGAAGCTGTGCTCTCTGCTACCTTCTCCAGTTCCTTACTCTTCCCTTCCATTGCAAATCAATGCCTTCCTCACTCTTGCTTTCTCTGAGAGCATGCAAGTTATGTAGCTTGGATTATTTCACCGATGTGTATATAGACATACAATGTGCATATATTTACATGTACACCAATATGAATCCATAGCTGAAATGCCATAACGAGGGATCAAATCGCCCATTAATCTTGCAGGCTTGAGAACAATGGCCTGTCTCCTGCCTCCCTTTTACTTGGGTGAACTATTACCAGGTCAAGTTTCCTGTCCCTCACAAGGTGGCCCACGTCAGTCTACTGATGGCCCAGACATTGGTCATCACTGTGCAGAAGCCAGAGCTTGCTTGTGACAGCTTCCCTGTGCGCAGTTTCTTTTGCTCTGGAGTTGTTTTCTTCAGGATTCCCGGGCTGGGTCCTGTGAATGGGAGGAGAGATGAAGGCAGGAGATGTGACCTGTGAGGCTGCCCTAACATCTCAGCTAGCCCTAAGGAATCTCTGCAGCTGGGATGACCTTCAGGGTCATCACACAATGACACGAAGGTGCAGGTCCCTAATTCCCCAGGTGGACCCATCCAGGAAGAAGCACAGTAGTGGAGGAGATGACTCCCCTTGGTGAACGCAGACTCCAAACAGACCCACAGCTGAGAGCTGACAGCTGCCTGTATAGCCACCAAGGAAACCAGTGGCTCACGACTGTGTCATTCCCGTTCTGGCTCCTTGTCTTGCTCTGTTTATTCACTTCTAGGGTGGGGATGAATAATCACTGAATGAGTTTGCTCTATCCTGCCCCCCGCTGGGTCAGCTTTAGCCACATGTCCTGGTTTTTGATTTTTGTTTTCCTAGTAGGTGGAATAGGGCGTCCTTTACTTCCTGGTCCTCTTCCTATTAAATGTGAATTGAATTCCCCGCTCTACTTTAGTATCAGCTCCAGGTGTTTTGTGTCCATCCACAAAGCATCAGTGAAGCCATGGAGGGGAGACGGTAGGGTGAAAGAACTTTCCCAAGATGCTCTGTGAAATGGTACCTTGGAATTACCCTAACAATACGCCATGGAGGTTTGAACAACAGAAGTTCATTAACTCACAGCTTCAGAGGTGACAAATCCAGGATGAAGGCGTCAGAGAGCAGGTGGGGTCCTTCCTTCTAGACACTGCCTCTCATCCAGCTTCTGGCTGTTTGGCAGGCAAGATGTCACATCATTGTTCCTTGGCGTGCAGATGTGTCTCCCTGCTCCCTGCCTTTCCTTCATGCCATGTTCTCATTGGGTGTGGATCTTTGTGCTGATACCAAGGCTTGAACTCAGGGCCTTGAATTCTCATTTGACTTTCTTGCTCATGGCTGGAGCTCTTCTACTTGAGACACACCTCCAGTCTGGCTTTTTTTGGGTGGGTTTTGAGGCTTAAACTCAGGGCCTGGATGCTGTCCTTGAGCTTTTGTGCTCAAAGCTAGCACTCAACTACTGAGCCACAGCTCCACTTCAGTGTTTTTTGTTGTTGTTGTTATTGTTTTGTGGTTGATTGGAGATAAGAGAGTCTCACAGAATTCACTGGCTTTGAACTTGGATCCTCAGATCTCAACATCTTGAGTAGCTAGGATTACAGGCATGAGCCACCAGTTCCCAGCTAATCTGAGTTTTTGTTGCTTAATTGAAGATGGAGTCTCAGACTTTTTTACCCTGGCTGGCTTTAACCTTGATCCTCAGATCTTAGTATCCTAAGTAAGTAGGATCACTGGTATACACGACATGTATGCAGCATAAATTCCTGCTTTTGATTAGAACACTACACCTACTGGCCCAGCGCCCATGCTATCAACCCCTACGTAATGAATTACATTTGCTGTTAGCCTTATTTCCAAATAAGATTGTGTTCTGAGGTACTGACTGGGGTTGACACCAGTAAGTGATTTTTCAAGTTCCAGGTATCACCTGTGAGCAAATGGCTACTGGGGGACCAGCAGTTTCCTTGTGCATCCTTTCAGTTGGCCTGGGATAGCCCTCCAGGCGACCCTGTGCCCAGAGATTCTGCTGGCAACTGGCCCATGTAATGCTCACCTGGAATTCAGGTTGACGCCCTCAGATAGCAGTTCATTCCCCAGGCAAGTAGACATGTGTGCTTCTGTCTACATGTCGATTCCCAAAGCACATGGTTGTTTGCCTGGTGCAGGGATCCAGGTGGGCAGTGGTGGCAGAATCTCTGCCACATCGACTTCTCTTTTTTCTCCCAGAGAGCTAGACGGGCTGTGCTTCCCCAAGAAAATGAAGGATCAGGGGCCGGGCCATTGGTATCTGACTTCACCAAGAAAGAAGGTAATGTAGTACACGCCTCCTTGCTGGCTTCTGCAGAGCTCAAAAGGAGCGCCATGGATGATTCGGCCTGGCTGCCTCCTTGCCGTGAAGTCTCTCTCTCTCTGCTAGACAGTCAAGGATGAGAGAAGGATGGAAGGTACCATCCTGAGCTTAGAAATGCTCAGCTCCACAGGAAAGGACTTATGCCTGTGCTAGAGGGTGGCCTCCAAACCTTGGTTTCCAGATCTATACAAGGGCATCACCGCATGCTGGGCTGACTCGTGTGCTGGGATGGGAGGCTGTGCATGTAGGTGTGTAGATGGTAGCATTCATGAATGCCTCTTTGACTCAGCCAACACTCAGCTTGCTTAGCCTCAGACCTTGTGGTAGCTGGGGGTCCCAGAGACACCAGTCTCATCTTTTCCGATTATCTGGTTCTTGTAGGAAGTGATCCAAGGGAGGGAGTCATGGATCCAAAAGTGGAGGAGTTGGCCAAGGGCTGGGGGATCTCAGGGGATGTGGGTGTGAGGTGATTAAAAGACTACCAGGGCCAAAAGGGGTTCACCCTGAGTCCATGGATCCAAGGAGGGGCTTATGAAAGGGCCAGTCCAGGGACATGGGACAAGGAGGGCAAAGGCTCAGCAGTGGCACCGCAGTGAAGGTCAGGCTGGCTGGCTTTGGACTGGAGCTTGCATCATCAACAATTACTATTATGGGTTCTCTGGACAGAAAAGGCCAATCCAGGGAACAATGGGACTGCAGGTGACTGGTAATGTTTCATGTACAGGAGTGACATGACCATTTGAGTCCAGTGGACATGATTTGGGGTTTTCACTCTTTGTGTCCCTGGACAAGTTTTGCCTCTCAGAGAGTTAAAGAGAGTCAGAAGCAGCTGCTCTGCCTCCAGGGAATAGTTTGATGATTCTTCTTTTAGGGGGTGACAATAGATAAGCTCACCCTAGGCAACCAGATAACAGGTATACCATAAGCATTCCATAAGTGTGTCTCTTCTGCTTCTTACCAGATTCCTGCCAGCTGGGCCACTCAGCAGGTCCCTGCTTGGGGATGATCCAGAGGTACTTCTACAACGGCACATCCATGGCCTGTGAGACCTTCTCATATGGCGGCTGCTTGGGCAACGGCAATAACTTCATTTCTGAGAAGGAGTGTCTGCAGACCTGCCGAACTGTGGGTGCGTGCAGCCCCTGCCAATATGCATGCCTCTCAGGCCCATCCTCTGCCAATGAACAGGGAGCTGAGAAGTTTTCCAGTGGCAGAATTGCAGGACAAGTTGCCTGAAGTCATAGGAATTCCACATCTGGCCACAGGTGGCCTTCGGACAGTTATTCTGTTATTGTGGATCTGTAAAAGAGTGACCACAGAGTTGGCACCTGTGGCTCATGCCTATGATCCTAGCTACTCAGGAGGCTGATGGTTCAAAGCCAGCCTGGGGAGGAGTTCGTGAGGCTCTTATCTCCAAAAGTTGGAAGTGGAGGTCTAGCTCAAGTGGTAGAGTGCCAACTCTGAGCAAAAAACGCTAAGGGAGGGCTGGGAAGGTGGCTCAGTGGTAGAGTGCTTGCCTTGCATGCACGAGGCCCTGGATTCAATTTCTCAGTACCACATAAGCAGGAAAAGCCAAAAGTGGTGCCATGGCTCAAGTGGTAGAGCTAGCCTTGAGCTGAAGGACAGCACCCAGGCCCAGAGTCCAGGTCCCACAACTAACAACAACAAAAAAGCTAAGGGATAGCACCTAGGCCCTGAGTTCGAGCCCTAGTATCGGCACACACGTGCACATGCATGCACACAACACACACACACACACCAGCTAGATATGCAAACTCTCCTGGTTCTGTATTCTTGTGGAGTGCAGTTGGCAGCTGCACAGATTACTAATGCTCTGTACTTCTCTGCACTCCACAGCGGCCTGCAATCTCCCCATAGTCCAAGGCCCCTGCCGAGGCTTCATCAAGCTCTGGGCCTTTGATGCTGTCCAGGGGAAGTGCGTCCGCTTCACCTATGGGGGTTGCCAAGGCAATGGCAACAAGTTCTACTCTGAGAAGGAGTGCAAGGAGTACTGTGGCGTCCCTGGGGATGGTAAGAGGTCCTGGGTGCAGTTGGAGAGCTCAGGTAGGGGTTGGGAAACTCTGTACGATGTGAGCAGCCTGCTCACTGTCTGGGGCTCCACCTCTCATCTGTGCAAATAGGCCAAGCTCAGGTCCTTCCTTATGCTGGGCTTGGCTTGGTAAGGACATTTGAGCCAGGAACCACAGCCGATGTGCAGGGTAGCTAGCAGCCGATAATGCTGGCCAATTCTGATGGCACACCAGGGCACTGTGAGCCTCACTTTTCTATCTTATAAAATAGCACAGTCTTCAGGAGACCTGGCACAGAGTTAGCACTCAACTAAAGGCAACTGCTGCCAGTTATAACAAGTGAAAACAATGGCCACTTTAAGATTTCAGTGCCTTGATAGTTCTGCTAGAAAATGGCACCCAAGGCAAATCAGAAGAGATGAGAAGACAGAGCAGTCTGTGGCATGCTGTTAGAGGAGAAGTCATTCAGCAAGTGCACATTTCTGGCCTTCCTTTTCCCCAGGAGGACCCTAGTCCCTGACTATCCCAGCCCATGGGCCTACCCCCTGAGCCTCTCTTATGTTTACAGGGGATGAGGAGCTGCTGCGATTGTCCAACTGATGGCTGGCTGGCTGGCCTGTGAGCAAAAAGGGTGGTCAATGTCTGTCCCAATGCAAGCTGGGTCCAAATAAAACCAAACTGTCAACACCTGTTTGCATAGCCAGCCTGTTCCTTGACATTGTAAGTGTAACATGGTACAGGCAGGGCAGGGCAGGGAGGAGGGGATGAAGCTGGGGTGGGACAAATCCAAGGCTCCAGAAGTGAAAACTGTATGCGTTGGAACAAAGATTGCACTACATTTTAGTACAAGACACAGCCAGGCAAAGAAGGAAGCATCAATCACAGCTTGTTATTCCGTAATAGTTAGCAAGGGTTGGGATTTTGTTTCATTTTATTATTTTGTTGCTAGAAAAGAAGACCCTCTAGGCATTTGTTTCTAGAGGTTAGACAGGGGCCATCAGAGACACAGAAGTAGAAGAAATACTGGTACCCTGGTGTACCTAGGGGTTCAGGGCCACTGGCACAAAGGCCTGAAGTCATCCCCCCTTCCCATCCTAGCTCTGCCTACCTCCTTTGACTGTCACTTCATCCCTGGAGATGAAGTGCCTTCAGTGTTCCATAGGCAAGGAGTGCCCATGGGAACATCTGGAGGGCAGGGCTGCTGCCCCTGGGAGGGGCCTCACCTCCCAGTTCAGTTGCCCACAGCTAAGTCAAGCAAGGTATGTGTGTGGTGGGGGGGGGCGGGGAGGGAGAGGGGCATGGGGAAGAGGGAGGCTCTGACATTCACTTACCTAGAGAGCAAGGTGGTTGCTTTACCTGACAGGCTCTGGCGCAGCAGCTGCCTTAGAAGTTGCCTTTTCTACTTCCTGGGCAGGCCACAGCTGGTCTTTCGGTAGGACCTTTTCTCCCTCCACCTGCCTTCCGTTTCTTTAAAAGAAAAGAAAATCATGCATGGTCCTTGAGACTGTGATGTGTTGGGATATGGGTAAGTGGTCAGGGCTCACGCTGGAGGGTTCTGAGACGTGGAGGCCACTGGGAACTGAGCAAGAGCTATGGATTCTCTTCCAAGGAAACGAATGATCCCCCCCTTCCCCAACAATGTTATAAGCATACACACCTTTTAGGCAGCCAAGACGCTGGATAAAGAGGCACAAGAGCCCACAGGATAGCAGGACCAGGCAGGCCAGAGTGTGCACTTCAGGTACTGGATTTGCAGAACTTGGAGGTTAAACCCATCCATTCTTCCCTGGGGGATGAGGCTGGACAAGCAAGCTCACAACAGGCCATGGCTTCCTCGTTCCTCCTCCATCTATCAAAGTGGTTGAGCTGGGATGCCTCGCTGAGGAGCCCACAAGCCGACTTCAGTGTCCCCCTTGGCACCGGATTCAAGCTGTCCCCCTAGTGATCCATCTCTGATCCTTTGCCTGCTAAGAGGATGGCATGGCCCAAACCCAATTCCAAGAAAAACCAGCGCACACTGGAACTTCCTAAAGGTTGTTTTATTATAAAACCATAAATACAACACTGACATGAACTCCTTGAAGCGACTGATCCTCAAAATCGTTAAAAGGATGTGTTTTCACCTCGGGAACAACTAACAGGGCATCACGGGAGAATTCAGGGGTTGGGGAGGGGGCTTACTGAATCCTGGGCTCGGGGCTTCTCCTTCTGAATGAAGGAGCTAGTGGAGCCTTCCTTTTCTCCCTGGGAGTGCTCCACTTTTTTGGGCAGGGAGGAAAGGGAAGACAAAAACTGACAGGTAAAAACCAGCAACATTTAAACAGCTCAGTTTTTAAAATTTTATTACTTGGTAAAATTTTTTTTCTTCCTGTTCTTTTTCTCCATTTGACATCAGTAAAAGTTTTGAAAACATCATGAGACTGATTTGGTTGTAAATGGAGAAAATGGTACCAAAACAAAGTAAAACAACAACAACAACAACAACAACAACAACAAAAATCCCAAAGGACACACAGAAAACCCTAAATGAGCCCTCACGTTTGGGCTCGGGGGCTTATGTATTACAACAAGAACCGTTAACCCCCATGCAATGTGACTCCTTAGGAAACTGTTGGACCCATGCCAACAAGACAGGAGACCACCAAAGACATCTTTTGTTAATCGACACAGCAAGAGTGACATTAGGTAACTTTTTGTTTTTGTTTCTTTTTTTATTTTTTAAATACAGTACATGGTACACAGGGTCTCCAAGATAACCCTGCCTAAACCCCCGTGAAGACTTAAGCCAAGCACTGGCTATTTATAAAAATATTGTGTTGCTACAAAAGTATAAATTAATGCTACCGGTATTAAGAAATATTAAACACATAAAACTTATAAGGATTAAGAAAAATATTCATTAATACCTGTAGAAAACTCTGGCCTAAAAAAGATATTTTTTTTGTGTGTGTATGTGTGTGTTTGGGTGTTTTTTTTTGTAATTTTTTTTGTAATTTTTTTAAAATTTTTTTTAAAGATGACTTGAGTTTCTTGTATGCGAAGAGAGACACAGTCAGAATGTGTCCATGGTATTGCCTAGCAAGTCTTTAACTACAGAAACAGGATAGAAGTGCACGCACATGTCACAGAGTGGGGGAGGGGCCGTGGGGGATGGGGCACCAAGGCGTTCTTGAGATTTACCTGATGTGAACGGAATCACCCAATGTGAGGTTGTGGGAGGTGGGGTGGTGAAGGGAGGAGAAAAAGGTAGGATCCAGAAAAACAACTAAAAAATAACTTACACTTCTTAAAAAATATCTCTGCTTCGGGTGGTTGTACAAAATGAGTTCCTGATGCTTGGGGTCTGGGAGCCCCTGCTGCGTGGCTCCTGCTCTTTCTCGGCTAGAGAGGCCTGGCTCACGTCAGGCCACACGCGTGTTTCCCTACTTGGGAAGTCACCTACCCTGGCTGGGTGGGCAAGGGCCCTTGACCAGGAGCCCGGCTGGCACCTGGGTTGTATGTGGGAGAGCCTTCCTTCCAGCTGGTTTCAAGATACCATGGTCTGTGCCAACCAGGGTTTTCAGGCTGTATCACAAGAATCCCAGGCCCCTGAGGTTGCGGACAAGGCTGGCCTAGGCCCCTTTAAGGAACTTTGGTTCGAAGAGTCAAGATGCCCGGTGGATGTGGGGGTAGGTGGGGCCTTGATGGGTCAGGGTTGTATGGGACAGTGACCACCCCACCTGCCCGGCACTGAAGCGGGAGCAGGGGCCTTTTAGTACAGAATCAGACTCTTTTTGGCGAGAGTGGCTCCTCTAACTACCATCTTCAGACCCAAGTGAGACAAGAAGGAAAAGAACAGCAACAAAAATCCCCGAGAAGACCCCAAATGGGGAAAGATGGGAGGTCAACGTAAGAGGAAAAACACTGTCATCATTGGTTCACCAAAACTGGCCTAGCAAACATTAGCCACAGTGAAGGGGGGGCGTGTCCTCCCAGCTCTCCCACTGCCCAGGGGAACAGAGGCTGGGCTGGGACAGGGGCTCCATCTACGGTCTCCAGGTCCCAGCCTGAACCTCATTTAGCCTCCTGGTTGTCTGCACCATGGGCCTCCCCAGCAGCCTCCTTCCAATACATCCCAAAGACAGTGATGTCGCCTTGGTCCCAAGGCCAGGGCACAGCTAGGAGGCTGCTCATCAAGCCATGCCTTCCTCTTCACCCACGACATCAAGATGACAAAGTCCAGGTAGCATCTCATGGGCCTCTCTTCTCCATCCGCATACTGCCATCTCTGCAGACTTCTGGTGACCGCACAGACCCAGAGTCTGAGCTGCATCACTGACATCTTTCCAGGTGCCCACACTCTGGGCACCCTAATAAATCCAGGGGAGGTAGGACTGGCCCAAGAACAGGGACAAGGCTCAGCTTCACAGTAGGAAATAGGACTTACAGATGTCTTCTCTTGCTGTTTCTTGAGGGTACAGGAGAAAACCAATGAAACTCAAAAGCAGACCTGGCCAGCCTCCACTGCTGGTGTCTCAATTCTGTCCTGTAATCCTGGGATCTGTGACTTCTCATCCAGTGTCCCTGTGGTCCCTTCTCACCAGGGAGCCTGAGTGTCATTTCCCCCAGCCAAGACCTCAGTGCTACTCAGCTGGATGGTGGCAGCATGGTCCCACTTGTGATGCAACAGAAGGCTTTCTGTACTGGGAGCCCCCAAGAAATGAATGGCAGGCAGTTTTGCTCAGGTTGTATCTGCTCTGCTTCTTGGTTTTTAAATGCCACTGGTGGGAGGCCTGGCAGGTAGACCTAGGTACTGGGAACAGGAGAGCTCTGTTGGCTGATACATCAGGTTGGCATCATCACTCCACACAGACCTGAGAACATCTGGCCACTCTGAATCTGAGGCCACCCATGACACTGTGGTCCTTGTTTGGGCTTTGTTGGCAAAACAAACTGACATGGGGGGGGGGAGGAGAGGGGAATGCCGCTAGCTAAGTGGAGATGTAATCTGGGTCTGTGGATGTCCAAACGGAGGTCATTTGTCCTGGGAAGCGCGTGGCTCAAGGAAGCTGTATCTGTCACTGGACTGCAGAGAACAGGAAACGCCCCACCTCCCTGGTCTCGTGTCCCTCAAAGGTCTGTGGGGGAATGACTAAGGTGGCAGTACAGCTGGGAAGGAGATGACGAGCGTCCTTCTGAAGGTCAAGGCCAGGTCAGGCACCAGGATGAGCTGGAAGAGCCTGGCTTAGTCCTTTGGCAGAACTAGAGTTTGGTAAGTTGGATATTGCTGGAGATAAGGAGCCAGTGGTTGGACTTGTGAGATCTTTGGATTTGTATCCAGCTGTCTACGGCAGCAAGATTTGCCCTTAAGGATGGCCTGCCCGAGAGGTATTATGACCTTGTCCAGGGAACCAGAGTGAGGAATGACTGCCCATCAACTTATTATCTATGCAGGTGAGGCTGCCCAATAGAACCCAGTGGCATTCACACCAAACTTGCATTGGCACACTTAAGTCCTAAGTACTGAAGTGCAAAAGAACTGGAGCTGGAGGCTGGTGGCTCAAACCTGAATCCTAGCTACACAGGAGGCTGAAATCTGAGGATTACTATTCAAAGCCAGCTGGGGCAGGAAAGTCCAATGAGACTCTTCAATTAACCACCAAATAGCCAGAAGTGGAGGTATGGCTCCAGTGGTAGAGTGCCAACACACACACACACACACACACACACACACATACACACAAAAGAATCCATTGAGTTGGTGATAACCATGACCCCAAACCTTGAGTTGAACATGACTCACTAGTTTTCCTTCTGGAGAGCCAGCATCTCATGCCCCAAACAGAATGCTGAGTGTTCTAACCGCATCTGGGCTTGGCTGGTGGCTTTACAAGAGAGCAGAATGCCTGTTCTTAATTCCCAGCTGCCCTGTACGCCCAGCAGCCCAGCTCTGCTCCTAGCAGTCAAGGTGGGCTCCAAGAACCTGCAACCCTGACCACAACCAGTGGGTAACTCCTGTCTTCCTTGTGTGGCTCCAAGTGACCGGTGAAGGCCCTGTCTCTGGCAGCCCAGCCAGACTGGAGGCATCTGTTCATCAACAGCCCGTAACTCATCTTCCAGGAGGTGGTCCAACAGAAAAATCTGTCCCTGTTTCCATATTCTCTAGGGAGTGACATTTGGTTTGTCTCACCCCACCCCCACCCCCATTCCTGATTCTTTGTGGACAGAAGATCTTCTGGTGGACAGACCTGAGCTTGATGCCTAGCTGTTTTCCAAGAGAGGAGTATGAATAGTGTTCCTGAGACCACGGTTGCTGGAGTGAATGTGGAAATGGCCCATTTGGTTCATTTCAGAGTCCAAGGCTCTATAGGAGAGATCTGGGTTCATTCTCTCATGAGGTGAAATGTGCAGGCCTGGTTCCCGAGGACAGTATTGTGGACCCACAATCAAAATCCTAAGCCTTCTTGAGTTTCTAAACCACCTTCGCCCCATCCTGTTGGGGGTCTCAGCGGGAGAGGGATGTACAGTGCTTTTTGTAGTCGAGGTATCTCACAGTTGAGTAATGCTTTATTCCTGGGAAAAGGGTGCCCTCCTAGCCTGTCCGAGGATGGCAGAAGTTGCCTTGGCCAATGCTCCCTCCTCCCCTCAGTGGTGGCTCTTTGTAGCTGAAGCACAAGCATCTCAGAGCCCTGGTCACCAGAGGGCTGTGGGACCAGCAGCCAGGAGATTCGGAGAGGCGTGTGGGCGGGAATGGGGGTCACAGCCAATTTTTCCCTTGTCACTTCTCAACATCAGGCTGAAGCTCAGTTGTTCCTGGCCAGGGGTAACGAGGGAGGTCAGGAGAGAGCCCTTTCACAGCATGGAGTTGAATGTGTCCACCTCTGGATATCAACTGTTCAGACCACAAGGTACCCTGCTCAGCTGCTGTCCTGAGTGGAGGACTAGGGGCCTGGTGGGACCCCTGGGGGCTGTGGACACTCTCCCTCGCCCCACTACAAAGGCCCCAGGACCCCCAGGTATGGGGGCAGGGGGAGGAGAGACTGTGGGTCTGGGGTATGACAGGTGTGAATATGGATCCGATTAGGAGTTCCTGCTGCGATGAAGGCCTGGGATGAGGTGAGGAGTGCAGCAGTCTGGGTACAGGAGTCAGATGTCCTGGTACAGACAGCCAATCAGTAGGTGGGTCTTTGTTTACATTCAGAGGACCCCGAGGCCCCATGCTGCTCCCTGCAGCTTCCACCAAACCCCATATCGGAACCACCCAGCCTGGTCTCCAGCCAGCGCCATCCTGAGCTTGGTCTTGGTTGTCTTAACATGAGATCAGAGCTGTTCTCCCAGCGAAGGATGAGAAAAACCTTACAACAGCCAATATACCACTGAGATGAGCTAGTTTACAGTGTGACTTGAGGCCAAGTCAAAAACAAAACAGAAAAACTCTGAAACATAAGTTACCGACATTCAGTGCCTCCTAGCAGAGTTGAAATCAAATCTGAAAAAAAAAATCCCCCCCCAAAGGAAGATAAACATTGCTCAAATGTTGGGGAAAAAAAAGTATTGGGTGGAGACAAGTAACTATACTTCTTTGAAAAAAAAAGTCACTTTCTCTCTCTTTCTCTTATATTAAAAAGCAAAACATCAGCTTTTATATTCTTGAAAGTCTCCTTTCCTGATTTTGGGGAGATAGATAGGTGTGTTTCTAAAGCGACTGCCCCCCTGGGAACACCCTGGAGTGGGAGTTACCAAGAGACAGCAGCTCAATGCCCTGAAGGTGAACGAGAAACAAAGTCCAGTGCAGAAACTCTCCATCAAATGCAGTTTGGAGAATCCATGGCAGAGCAGCTAGGGCAGGAGGGTGGGCCTGTGGGGAATCAGGGGATGGGGAGGGAGATGAAGAAGAGACTAGCGGTGAAGGACAGGGAGCATCGGGTCACTCACTTCAGATCTCAGCCGCCTGACCAGCTGCACACCTTGTATGGGCTTCTTCCAATCTGCGCACCTGAAAATGGAGTCCTTCTACAGAGCCCCTGCTGGAGAAAAGGTGAACCATCTCCCTCTTTCCGGCTTTCCTGACACACCCAACTAGATGCACACACCTGTGAGTGGGCGTGCACATGCGCACCAGGGTTGTATGTGTGTGCACACATGTGGGTGGAGCTTCTCCAGCCAACAGCTGAGCATGAAGCCCACCCCATACCGCACACCTGCATGTTTGGACACATGCCTGGGTGCAGACATACGTGCACACACACATACATGGGGAAAAAAAGCACTTAAGTTTCCTGGGGGGAGGGGGCATTTATAATGAGGTCCACAGTGTTTAGAACTTAAATTCCTTTCCTTTGTTTGTGACAGTGTTGTGTTTTTTTTTAAAAAAATTTTTCCTTCCCTAACGTTCTCTTGTCTTTTTTTTTAAGTTGTTTTTGTTTAATTTTCTGAAGCTGCGTCTTAAAGCATGTTGGATTTCAGAAACATGAGCTTGTTCATATCTTCTGGGCTGAGCAGCCGTCTCCTTTTGATCAGAAGTGCCTGCTCACACATATTTACACACCCACTTCGAGCCCCCACAGCCGGAACGGCCAGCAGCCAGAAGGCAAGCTTGGCCAGTTTTGTGTGCTTTTGGGTCACGCATGACCAGTACTGGAAGAGGTCAGGGGTGGCCTGGAAAAGGGGTTCCTGCAAGTAATCGTACACTTCGTTCTTCCCTAGCCGGTCGTCCTCCTGAGCTGTGGGGTGTTCACCCGGCGTGGAGCGGGGCTTCTTAGCAGTGGGTTCGAAGTCAGCCTCCTCTGTCCAGGATTCCTTCACCTCGTTGATGAGTTCGCAGACCTTGCCGATGATCTCTTCATGCTGGTAGGGTGGCACGGGCCGCAGCTTCTGTTGTGGGTCCAGGATCATGGCCACTTTGTGGGCTGGGTGCACCTTGAAGTTCTCTTTGAGCGCCTCTAGGAAGAGGTGGCAGAGCTTGCTGACGGTCCCGGCGTCGTTGGCCTTGGCCGTGAACAGCTTCTCCAGCCGGACGTAGGTGGGCAGCACCAGCTGTAGGGTGGGCTGGCTCTCGTTGCTCAGCTCGATGACCGCCTGCTTCACAGGTGTCAGGATGGCGGCCAGGTTGCTCAGCAGGTGTTTGTTGAGGCTCTGGATGAGGTTCATCTTCTTAGCCCGGCTGTAGAATTCACAGATCTGCTCGTAGCGCTCATGCACCAGCAGCAGGGAGTCCGTCACTGAGTTCCAGCAGGGCGGTGGCGACGTCTCCTCCAGGGACCCAAAGGTCTCCTTGGCCAGGCCCGTGGAGCCTGCCAGGTCCTCACACACGTTGAGCAGCTCAATGACCTCGTGCATGCTGCGGGCCTGCAGCGTCCGCTTGCTCAGCACGCTCTGCACCACCGAGTTCAAGGCACAGGCCGAGCAGCGAAGGCACATGCCGGCCTTCGAGAAGGCCGACGTGCTCACCCGGCAGTCTGTCACGTACACTGTCCGGATCTCCGACATGACGAACTCCGACAGCACGTTCTGCACCCAGTGGTGCACCAGGTCGCCGCTGTCACGGATGTCCGCGCCCTTCACGCCCAGCACATAGCTCTTGATGTGGTTGCCCTCAGCCTGGTAGGCCGTGAGGATGTAGCAGGAGTCGGGACCGACGCTCTGCGAGTGGCAGGTGACGCCGATGCCCAGGCAGGCATTGCTGCCCAGGGCACAGGTTACCTTCACCTTCACTTGGTTGTACATGCGAGGCAAGTGCTTCAGTGCTAGCGTGTTGAAGTTGCCCAGGATCTCGGTGACTGAGAAGGCCCCGTAGCGGGCACCGCTGTCCACCAAGGTCTGCGCTAACTTGAGGAACTCCTTCCCACTGACCACGCTCAGCGCCCCCAGGTCGGCACACATGACCCGCAGCAGCCGCTCTGCAATGTTCTGCCGCTCCTTCTCCGGGATCATGCTGTTGGGTGGTAGACCGCTGCTTGTGGCTGCCAGGGACACAGAGAGAAAGCGGATTCATTCTGGCATTTCCAAGGTGCTTGATCTGGTAGTAGCTTAGTAGTCTAAGCATAGAGTATTAGGAATAACAAATACATTTTATCTCGTGCACACGTGGGCATGGCAGACTGGTTCTCACATATGTCAGTCTCACAGGGATAAAGTTTTGCAATTGATTAGTAATGCCTGCCACAGGTATAGGAATGGTACTTAGGGGTGAGTGAAACACGCTTGCCATAGGTGTCATTACCTAGGCCTGTGATCACAACTAGTCTTACTTCTTCCTCAATACAGGAGTTGCCATTAAAATAGGAATCTTTAGTGAGAAAGGTAGGCTGGGTCAGAGTCAGGAAAGTACAGCCCACAGAAATCATAAAAATGTGGGCTCTGATTGCAATCCTGGCACTAACTGGTGCTCTCTAACCATATATATTTTTAAAAGCCTTCCTCTGCTCACCCTGTGTGTTAAGAACTCCTGCTGTGAGGTGTTGAGCATGAGTATTCCCTGGAAGCTGCTGTGTGTCTGTCACCTTTGGCCCCACAGGAGACATAAGTGGAGGAGATAGGGGTGAGTGGAATACCACAGCAGAGCCTCAGGACCTCCCAGGGCCCCTGGCTCAAGCCCTTGCCCAGGAGACCTACTGTTGTTGGCACTATTCCTCTGGGCCTGAGGTTTCCACTTCTCTTCCACGATGGCAGGTGGAGATCGGGACTGGTTGGAGGTGATGTTGTTTTCATTGTCGGCTGTAGGCACAATGGGGACAGCATTACCATGAAGGGTAAGACCAGTGAGATGAGAACGAGAGTTAGGGGGCAAGAGCAAGACGCGGCCTGGGCTAAGTCCTGGCTCCTCCTTAGGCAATGATCTATGTTAGCAAAGCCTCATCTCCAGCCATGACAGAGGCTGGAAGGACCATATAGGCAGTGCACGGATTGCTGACACCATGCCTGGACTAAGGAAAACTCTTAGTCAGTGGGAACCCGAGGCTAGCCAGGCACCTACAATTCCCACAACCCCAGACCTAAGGGCTCGGCAGTATCTCACATTCTCTTACTTTTGTGTGTTGTCATTTCAGTGTATTTACTGGAGATTATATTAAATGAAGAAAATAAAACCAGGTTCTACCTACATGATTTGAAGCACTCAATTACCAATTCTTTTCCCTTCACTGGAAAACATGGGAACTATGGTCCAGATCTAAAAAAGGTTTGCTCAGGATCACTCAGAAAATGTGCCGGGCTGAGGCAAAAGATTTCAGTGCATGAGAGATTTGATAAAGTTCAGTTTGTTTTGATGAAACTAAATTCACCACAGATTAAAAACAGCTCCACATCTGTTCTCTCTCTCTCTCTCATGGAGGGGATTGAATTCAGGGCCTCGTACTTGCTAGGGAGGTGGTTTTTACTGAGGAGCCATGCATCGGCCCTGTTTTCTGCTGCTATTTTGTGACTGGTTCTCACTTCCTGCCTAGGTATGCACACCTGGGTGTGATCCACTTGTGAGGCTTTATTGTCATAGCTAGGATAACAGGTGCAAGCCACTACACCCAGCTGTCTTTGAACTTTCCTGCTCAGGCTGGCTGTGTACCAAGATCATCTCATTCTAAGCTTCCCGAGTAGCTAGGATTATAGGCATGAGCCACTAGAGTCTGGCTGTCTGCCTTGTATCTTTAAGAGCAAGCCTCAAACGCATAATCATGCTCTTAAGAAAGAAACTAAATTGCAGATCAAGTCTAACATTCCTTTAAGAAATACAAGGGAGCTGGGTGCTGGTAGTTCACACCTGTAATCCTAGCTACTCAAGGGGCTAAGATCTGAGGCTTAAGGTACAAAGCCACCCTTGACAGATAAATCCTCAAGACACTTATCTTCAATTAACCAACAAAAAGCTGGATGTCGAGCTGTGGTTCAATTGGTAGAGTGCCAGCCTTGTGCAATAAAACTAAATAAGAGCACAAGTCCGCCAAAATGTAGCACAAAAAAGAAAAAGAAATACAATGGATTCCAGCACCCAGTAAAATGTACAATTCACACTATCAAGTACTCAATAAATATTAGTAAAATATGACCTATTACCAGGAGAAAAACCAATAACAGAAATAGACCTGTGTATTATAGAGAGGATGGAATTAGCCAATAAGCTTTAAAGAGAGCTGTTGTGAATATTATACATATACTCAGAGATATGAAGCAAAACACAATCATCATGAGATTTTTTTTGCATATGAAGATAAAATATATTTTAAGACAAAAAGCTGAGCTTCTATTAGGAAAACTGGATCTACAGAAACGAAGAAGGTTACTGTGAGCTGTACAAACACCTGTGAGGAGAGAAAGTGGCTCCCGCATTTTAAATCTTAAAAAGTTAACTGATCTCTCACTCCAAACAGGGATCATGAATTTTGGTAATTTTGTATAAAAGTAAACTGCACAGCAACAATGTTCCAGAGATCAGAATAGGGAAACAAGAAACTGTTGAGAAGTTCTCACATGACATGAAAATAAGGCTAATGTGTTTTGTTGTTGTTTGTTTGCTTTGTGCTGGTACTGCATTTTGAATTTGGGGCCTGGTTACTGTCACTTAGCTATTTTTCTCTCAAAGCCAGAACTCTATCACTTGAGCCACACTTCCACTTCTGTTTTTCTGTTAATTTCAGGTAAGAATTTCACAGACCTTCCTGTCCAGGTTGGCTTTGAACCATGATTCTTAGATCTCGGCCTCCTCATTACCTAGGATTACAGGTGTGACCTGCCAGAATCTGGCACCGCTAATGTTATTTGATAGAAGAATTATCAATTCAAAATATATAGACAGCTTAAGGCTATAAAGCTGTAAATGAATGGTAAAAAGCAAAAAATGTATACCTAATAAGTCAAGATAAGTGAAGATAAAAATTCTCAATCCAAAATAAATTAGAAAAATTAGAGGATAAAAAGGAACAAGGAATAAAAGAGATGAACTAGCAGGCAAGTACAAAGAAGGCAGATTTATAGCTGACTGCACTGAAATTACATTAAATGCACATGTCTCAAAAATCCAAAGAAATTCCATGAGATTAATATTTAAAAACAAGAAATGATATATCACCTATAAGAAACCTACTTAAACAAAGATAGAGACAGATCAAGAGTCAAAAGCTAAATAAAGATACAGTATGCAGATGGATGTGACAGCTTATACTGTTATTGTAACTTCTTGGGAGACAGATGGAAAGATCATAGTTCAAGACTAGTCTAGGGAAAAAGTTCACAAGATTCCATTTTAACCAATGGTGATGTGGTGCATACCCCAGCTACATAGAAAGTATAAATAGGAAGATCTTGATCCAGGCCAGTCGGGGCATACACATAAGACCTGATTTGAAAAACAAACTAAGGCAAAAAGGGTTGGGAACAGAGCTTAGATGGTAGGGGCCAGCTGTGAATAAGAACACCCACTGATTCCGGTGCCCTGCATCTTGTATATACATTTTTCTAATTTGGGGAGGGGAAGGGAAATAATAAGATGCTGAAACAAGGATACAGGTTGACCATTGTAACAATGAGATGTACAAGACACTATGTTGAAATACAACTTCGGGGTTGGGAGGATGGAAGAGTTGGGGAGGTGGGGAGGGAAGGGATGGTAGGGGAAAAACAAAGGAGGAGGTAACAATGAATTGTAACCCCTCTGTACAGTATTTTTACAATAAAAAATATAAAAAAGAAGGCCCACTGAGACCTGTAACTTACTCCAGTTATTAATCAATCAATGATAATACTCAACTATAAAATTAACATCCACCCAACCAACACTAAACATAAAACCTCTGGACTGTAACACGACTTGGCTTCAGCTTTCCTTCTTTTCCCTCCCATGCAGGTGCTCTCTGCTCTCCTCTCAATAAAACTATCCAGTTGGTCTACTAAAAACAAAAAAAAAAGCACCCAGTGAGAATGTAAGGCCCTAGTTTCAAACACACACACACACACACACACACACACACACACACACACACACATCTAAAGAAAAGTGGATTAAGCTTAAAGTAAGGAGAAGAAAAGAAACAATTCAGATAAAAAGCAGAAATGAAAGACAATGGACAAACGCAGTGAAAAATGAAAGCTAAGTCTTTGTTAAAAAAAGGAATTCAATAAAATTATAAGCTTCTAGATAGAGGACGACACCAGTCATTAACGCTGATAATCATGTAGAGTTGATAATCATTTTTAGTCCCATTTAGTCCTTATGAAACCACAGATAAAAAGGGAAGATGATGCAAGCCAGGTGAGAGACAAAGAGCCTGAAAGAGTCAAAGAAACCAAGTTCACTCCAGAAGAAACCAACAACTGCCATAGTCCTGTCTGTTAAATAACTCCACTTTCTTTCAAAAAGAAACTTCCAGGCCCATAAGACTTCTCTGGTGAATTGGATGAGATAGTTAAGGGGAAAACAAACAATACAAATTCTACACAAATTCTGCCAGAAAACGTAAGTAATAAGAACATCTTCCAACTCATTTTACAAGTCTGGCACTTCCTCAATCCAAGACCGGAGAAAAAGCATTAAAAAAGAAAAAAGTCCTCATTAACATACATACAAAATTCAAACAAAGCAACAGGTAAAAAGAATAATACATTACCACAAGTAAAACTTACCTCAGTAATGTAAATTGGAGTTAAGAACTAAAAACTAATGAATGCAATTACTAGCTTGAGAAAAAAAAATCACCTTAACTCCAAAAAAAAAATCAAATCAAGCTTCCAAAACAATAAAATACTTAGGATTTGTATCCTAGAAATTAAAAACATTGTTGAAAAATAAAGACAAACAGAAAGACATCCCATGATCATGGATTGGAAGACTTGATGTTAAAGCAGCAACACTACAAAAGCTGGTCTAAATTCAGCACAATCCTTCTCGAATCCCTGATTTAAAAAAAAAATAATGGAAAATTGACAAGATGATCCGAAAATTGATATGGAAATATAAGAGATGCAGAGCAGTCAAAACAATCATGAAAAGGGGCAAAGTTGGCTTGGCATCTTGATTTCAAAACTCCTATAGCACTGAAGATAACATGGTTTTGGCACAAGTACTGGTATCCAGGCCAATGGAATACACCTAACAACAAAGGAATAAACACTCACATTTATGGTCAACTGATATTTGACAAGGTACCTGCACAATTCAAGGGGTGTGGTGTAAGAATAGAAAGGAAAGAAAAGAAAAGAGTGTGGGACTAATAGATACCCAATGTAAAAGAAACAAGTTGGACTCCTACTTCAGACCAAAAGGGAATCTGCAACTAAGAGCTCGAACCATAAAATTTGTCGAAGAAAACAGAAAACAAAGCAAAACAAAACCCCAATGGAATCAGCAATTTGTGACAAGTTAGGCAATTTTTTTTTTCAGATGTGATATCAAAGGCATAAACAACAAAAATATTATAAAAGGGGAGTTTTCATCAAAATAAAAATGTTCTATGCTTCAAAGGACAGCATTTAAACAATGAAAAGACAACCCACAGAATGGAAAAGATGTATGTATAAATCCATTACCTATAAGGGTCTTAAATATGGAATATACAGAGACCTCTTCCAACTTAGTAAAAAGATGAAAAAAAATTTTTTTAAATGGGCCAAGGATCAGAATAGGTTTTTTGTTTTTGTTTTGTCAGTAGTGGGGCCTGAACTCTGGGCCTGGGCACTGTCCCTCAGCTCTTCAGCTTAAGGCTAGTCCTCTACCACTTGAGCCACAGCACCACTTCCGGCTTTTTTCTGCTTTTGTAGTGCTAAGGAATCGAACCCAGGGCCTCATGCATGCAAGGCAGGCACTCTACCACTGAGCTACTTTCCCAGCCCAGAATAGGTAGAATAGATAGGAATGGTAAGAAGCCCACAAGAAAAAGCAGCTCGACACCATTATGTGTCAGAGAAAAACCAAACCTCATGAAGATGCTATTAGGTTGGTGATACCCAAGTAAGTTAGTAGGTTGTGTGGACCTTAACAAGGTCACCTCCATTCACAGCCACAGGGCCCACACCCTGCAGCCCAGAGCTCTGCTCTTCACCTCCAGAACTGATCTCATAATCCAGGGCAATTTAACTACATGGGGCCTCCACAGAACTCTGAAGGGAAGTGGCCACAAGTTTTTATGACATGTGGTACTGGCATAAGGCCAGTGTTGTCCTCTAGGCCTTGGTCCTTCATGTGCGCAAAGGTGTGACAGTGTCAGCAGCCCCTAGCGATGAGCTGATCTAGCCTCCCACGGGGAGTGCCAGGTACCATGCCTCACGTGCGCAAGCAGTCACTAATGATGGCTATCATTCGTTACTGTCAACAAGGCTGCTGAACTGTCACCAGGGCAGACGGTTCCCCGCAGTATGGAGGGGAAGTTTATTAGGGAGAATTAGCTTGTGCCATTCACAGCCTCTTAATGAGATTGGCTTTATTGGAGGCTGATCCTCCTTTATCAGCCGCGCTGTGAACTGCGCTGCTCAGGACGCTTAATTTCCCTCCACAAGGCCAATCCTTTAATCCTGCTTCAGCCAGGCTGGGATTCAGCCTGGCTTTGTGCTGGATTGCGGGGAGGCATTTCTCTGGACCAGAACTGACATCCATGGTTCCTGGGGAGACCAGGCTAGATACTTGGCAAGGTGGGACTACTTCCAGGCTCAGCCTTCATTTGCATTTTAATAGCCTCAGCTCCCTCCTCCCACTCCCAACTACCAGAAGGCTGGGAAAGCACAGGAAGTCAGACAGGAAACCAGGATGGCAGAGAGCAGTGGAGGTCTAGGTTTCAGAGCGGGAGGATTGTGGGCATCAGGGATGTAGTGCTTACACTCAGTACTGTCATGAGCCCCAGAGCTGCTACTTCCCACAGAGGGTGGGGGCAAGTCTGATCCCCTTAAGACTTTGGTGGAGGATGAGACTGACAGCGAAGTCAGGGGAGGATGAGGGAGTCAGGAAGCCAGGAGTGAGCTCAGAAGCAAAGGACCTGGACTTTGCGTGCCCTTGTTTGAGGGACACGATCATGAGAGATGTCGTGGAGAGGAACAGGAGCTCAGGTGTCTGCCTGTCACTCAGGGCTCAGTCTTGGTTTTAAAGAGTTCATTAGAAATAAATAATAAGCTGCCTGAAGGCCCTGGGAATGAATGGCTAGGACACTGTAGGTACTGTGCACAGTACCCAGCATGGATAATAAATAGCATACAGTAGTACATGAGTCAGATCCACTGCATTCCCATATACACCAGGAAGAAACAAGGAGCATGAATCGAGGCTATGCTAATAGCCCAGTACATGCATACGGAAGATTCTGTCCTGAAATAGTATGCTCATCAGGCCAGATCTAGAGGTACATGAAAGATTTACAAACCGTAGAAAGACACACACAAATAAAGACAGCGATAACAACAGTGGAAATAACAGCAACTAGCAATTACTGCGCCAACAGGTGTCCTGGGCACTTTGTTCCCCAGATTTCTCTTTCTTCCTTCCTTCTCTCTCTTTTTTTTTGGGGGGGTCCGGTTGTGGGGCCTGAACTCTGGGCCTGGGCGCTGTCCTTCAGCTCTTCAGCTCAAGGCTAACACTCTACCACTTGAGCCATAGCGCCACTTCCAGCTTTTTTCTTTTTGCTTATGTGGTGCTGGGGAATCAAACCCAGGGCCTCATGCATGCAAGGCAAGCGCTCTACCACTGAGCCACCTTCCCAGCCCTTTTTTCTTTTTCTTTTTTGAGATGAGGTCTTGCTATGCCATTCATGCTGGCCTCCAAACCATGAACCTTTTGTTTTAGCCTCCCAAATGCTGAGATTACAGGCATACATCACCAGACCTGGCTTCACATCTTATTTCTAGTGCCTCTCAAGGTTATCCTGAGGAATAAGTGGGGAGTGGCTAGTGGGCTCCAACAGCAGGTTTGTGTTTCCTTTCTTAGTGTCCCTGGGAAGTAGCTCTGGGTACATTCCTCATGGATTCAGGCTGTGTGATCATTTCTCTGGAATTTGCACACTCATTTATGACGTGTCACTTGTGTCTGACGTGGCACTTAGGTGCCTTCCTCACAGGTCCGTTCCCCATCAGCCAGTCAGAGAAAAACGAGCCTCTAAAGGACCTAGGTGAAGGTGGTAGCACCAGAGGGTGGAGGTCTGAGTCACCAGGCTGGAATGTGAGAAGCCACTGGGGTTGTGGGCTCTTTACCTGACCAAGTCGGAACTAGATAGATGTCACTATGGATGTCACCTTGGGGAAAGGCTGCAGCTACAGGCCAGGAAGATGCACATCTGGGCCAGGTGAATCAATGGAGGGCCACAGTCTGTGTGCTGCACACAGTGCTGTGTCCCCAAAGGCAACCCTGGGCTCCTACACCTGCAGGATCGGAAGTCACGGTGGGGCCTATCAATCTGCACCAGAATGGCCCTCCAGGTCACTGCCATCTTGCTTCAGCGTGAACGCAGTGCTTGTGGCTTGGAGAGTGTGCAGTGCAGGGCCAGACCTAGGCAGCTGACTGGCCTCTCCACTCCCCTGCCTCAGTTCAACCTGACCTCTAACCACAGCCAATTCCTGTCTCTGTGTCTTTCTCTGGCTTCAGGCCCAGCCTAGGAGTTTCAACTTCCAGAAAGTATCCTTCAACTCCACCCCCCTGCCGGCATTCTCAGAGCCTGCGCTGAGCCTGAGTGTGCTTCCTGAGGGCAGGTTCTGCACAGGGTGACCATTTCCCCAGAGGCTGCAGTGTCCCTGGTGGGGCCGAGGGTGGGCTCTGGCTGTGTCTGCTCTGCAGGAAGCTATGAGGGCTGCTTACCTGCGTGGGACTGCATGTGCTCCAGCAGGTTGTTGTAGAACTGGAATTGGATGCCGCAGGCGCCGCACGTGTAGGGCTCTGGGGAGACGAGGCAGCGCGTGAGAGCAGCACAAACCCAGACACCCTTTTGCGGGGCTGCAGGTGGCTTTGGAAGTGGGGGGAAGGGCCCAACTGTGCAAACGGGGGCTCTTGGCCCAGCCTGTCCACTCTTGTCACTAAACCAGGGCTGGAGAAAGGCAGGGGCGATGGAGAGAGGAAGACATGCAGACAGAGATGGTTTAATCCATCAGAGTGGTTATTTATTGAGTGCTTACTGTGTGCCCCGCACTGTGCTGGGCATGTGGAGGTGAGGGAGAGCACAACAGCAGGAACCAAGAGTTCGCTGAGGGCAGAGGTTTTGTCCAGGGGGTTTCACAGCCCGGCTCTCTGCTCGTGGAACCCACAAAGGTAGCTGTTTGCCAGGTAAACAAATGAATGAACAACAACCAAAAAGAAACAAAAAAACAAGAAAACAGACAACAGCACAGGGAGGGAAAAATAGCTGGAGAAGAATATAGGAGATGGAGAAGGCTGGGAAAGGCAGGAAGAAGGAAGGAGCCATAGGATGGGAGAAGGAGGGTGTGGCATGGAAGAGAAGGAAGTAGTGGGTCTGGCAGAGATGAGGATGGAGAAAGGAAAGGAAGCAGAAAAATTAAAAAAAAATAAATAAAGAAGAAAGAGAAAAAGATGTGTGAGGCAGGGGGTGAGGAAAGAAGAAAAGGAGGATTGCAGATGGGCTCGGAAGAGGCGTCCTGAGGCTTTCTGGATGGCCAGGATTGGGAGGAAGGGCTGTGTCCTGTGGGCCACCACAGGCAGCCAGAAGCTCAGGGCTGTAACCTGCCTCTCACATTCCTCTACCCACTTGGCACTGGCCCTTGGTAGCCTCCCTCAGTTGCTATGTCTGCCCTGGAGGCTGGCCAAAGGCCTATCCCCACAGTAGCCCAGGTCAGCGCCCTGGGGAAGCCAGCTGAGTTCATTCCCTGCCCTGCCTTGCCCTCGCCAGCCACCCCCCCGAGGTGGGATTGCCACTTACTCTGCAGGAGAGGGAAAGGGTTGGAAATCAGGGGACTTGTAGTTTCTGCAAAAAAGAAACAGTTTAGCTAAGTCTCTTCCAGTCCTGTTCTCTGATTGCTCTCTCCCTCTCTTACTCTTCTCTCTCTTTCTGGATTCAGGGTTGTATAGCCCAGGCTGGCCTTAGACTTACAGTACTCCTGTCTTAGCCTCCCAAGGGCTGGAATTACATGCATGCACCATCAGGACTGGCTCATGATTTTTCTTCTTACCCAACATGCAAGTGGAGCAGGGAGTAACTGGCAGCCAAGTGCACATACTGGGTGAGGTGTTGGCATGAAGCTACCTCGTTTAGAGAAAGTAAGTTTCTCTTAGGCCCTGGGGCCACCAGGCAGGACAAGATCAGGCAGGGCCACTCCTCTAGGATACCCTCAATTCTGACAGTGAGTGCACAGGTCTCCTAAGGGAGGAGAGCATCCATGAACGGCCGCCCAGTTTGGAACAGGGCCCTGGCAGCTGCGTCTGGGTTCTGGCGTGGGCATGGGGATGTTTGGTGTCAATCACTGGAGCAACAAGAGATGCTGCTACTTTCTGCCTGTCTTTCCCCTCCTCTGCTTTCTGGCGTTGTTGGAGGCCTGGGCTGTCAAGCCTCTAATCCAGTATGCAGCAATGCAGGCCTCCATTATTTATAGTCTGGGTGCACCCTGGGGTTACAACTGGCCCTTGCTGAGCCTCAGTTTCCTAATCCGAATAGCAGGGATAACAATCACACTGACACTGAGTGTGTCCCCCCCCCAGAGTTGTGGCAAGGATGAAAACGAATAAGACACATAAACTCTGAACACATGCCAGGCACATAGTAAGCGCTCAATAAACAGTGACTGCCGGCGGGCAGCAGCGTTAGCTGGCACTGCTCCCGACTCTGAAAGGCAGCTCTGTGACAGGAGAGGCACCGGGGATGCTGCATGGTTTGGCCAGGGACCCAAGGAAGGACAGGAAACTCGCTCCCATGTTGCCACTGACTTGTGTGTGGCCTGAGACTGCCCCTGGGAGAGGGGGTGGGGATGACATTATCTAAAATCTCAGCTCCTTCCTTCCCCAGGGAGCACAGACCCACCATCTTGGGATTACTAAGAAATGTAAACCAAGTCCCCCAGTGGCAGCCACCCAAAGTGGCTATGTGTGTCCTGTGTGAGACCCTCAGAACCATAGGGATTGTTCCGTGGGGAACACTGGTGTGTTCTCCAAGCCACTCACGGTGGAGGAGGCATTCAAGGGCCACCAGCAGGGAGGCTGGGTTCAAACCTGGGCTTGGGCGAAGCTGAGACTGTTTTGACTACGCAGAAGCCTCCACCAAGTCCCTGATGGACAAGCTGCGTTCACTCCATCTCTACCAGCCAGTGCCCAGCCCAGACCCACACCAGGCATTTGGTGAATTCAACCATGTGAGACAGCAAATGAGTGTCACTGATGCTACCCTGGCTATCACCGTGTAGCCTGGCATGCTGTCCTTTGCTTGGACAGAGTCTGCTTGTGTGACCATGCTTAGCCCTGGCAGGTGGAAGGGAGTGTGGGGAAGGTGGAAGTGAAGGGTGGTTCCCAAAGCTGCCATTAGACAGGCTCCAGGGCTCTGCCAGGGTCGGGCACCAGGCAGCCAACAGGGGGCACCAGATACCAGTGGGATGCCTCAGGCCAACCCACTGGAGCTGCAGGGGCTGGAAGGGAATCTTGATTCGGATGGTCCCAGGTCCAAAGTGGGGGTCTCGGGCTCCCAATTAAGAGCTTTCTCTCTCTCTCTCTGTTTCTGTCTGTCTCTGTTTCTCTCTCTGTTTCTGTTTCTCTGTCTCTGTTTCTCTCTCTTTCTCTCTGTGATACCAGTTCTGGAGCTTGAACTCAGGGCCTGGGAGCTGTCCCTGAGCAACTTTTTGCTCAAGGTTAGCACTCTACCACTTGAGCCACAGTGACACTTGCAGCTTTTTCTGAGTAGTTTATTGTAGGTAAGAGTCTCATGGACTTTACTGCCTGGGCTGGTTTCGAACTGCAATCCTCAGATCTCAGCCTCTTGAATAGCTAGGAATCCAGCCATCAGTGCCGGCTTAGAGCTCTCTTTTAGAACTCCTCTTGCCTCTCCTGAAAGAAACTGGCTGTGTATTTTCTCTTCAAAACACAGCAATGGCTCTCTTAGGTTGATCCAGCTGGACTGGCTGGGTTTGGGGAAGGGGGAAAAAATCCTCTCTCCATGGGGAAGAAGAGACAAAGAAGGTTAGAAGAGGCCCCCTGTGCTCTGTCTGGCCCTGCTCTCCCTCGGTTTCCCTGCCCAGCCTCCTCCCAGCAGGACCCTCCTCATGCACAGAAGACCCTGGCCCATGGGCACTTGCCACAGAGGATGGTGGTGGCAGCTGTGGCCAGGCCACTGTCCCCAGCACACTCACCGCTGGAGTTCTGAGAACTGCTGTTGGTCTCTTCAAAGTGGTTTTGTGCTTTGCCTTCTACTCTTCTACTGAAAGCGCTTTCTGCTGGGTGGGGAGGCAGGAGAGAGAAAGAGAAGCCATGGGAGTAGTCAGCATGGGGTCTCAGGGGAGGGGCTGCAGGAGGAGGCCTCTGGGGCTGGATGAATGCTGGGGACTCTTTGCTGGGGGGAAGGAGAACCAGCACAGTGGGGGAGGGGGACTTGAGGCTTCAGATCCAGTCCTCCCAGCTCCCCTGAGTCATCTGGTCCCCTGTCCAGAGATCCTTCTGTCTTCTGGCAGTACCAAAGATGTCCAGGCATGGATGGGGGTGGGGGAGGGGCAGGACCTGCTCACAGACACACAGATGAAATCTAATCAGTGAACAGACAGCAAACAGGACTGGGTGAGCCCCCCCCCCCAACTTTGGCTCCTGGGGAGCTACTCATTTGATACCAGGTCATCTGAATCTGCCCCCTTGTGGCTTTTTCTGCCAGATTCTGTCACCCTGGTTCTACCAAGGGTGCTCCCTGGTGGCAGGCAGTTTAGACCTAGCTGGAGGCTTAGGCAGTGGATCCCGGCCCCATTAGCTGAGTGCTCCTAGCGGCAGGGAGGGTATCCAGGGACAGAAGCCAAGACAAGGAGATGGAGGACAGCCCCAGATCTTGGGAAGGCCGATAATCAGGTGAGATGGGTCAGAGTCACCCAGGGGAGGGAAAGGCCCACCTTCTCCGAGGTTCTCTCTGGAAATCTCCTAATGCTGCAGCAGGATCCAACCAAGCAGAAAGCCACAGATTAGCCACCCCCAAGTGCAGAGGTCATGAAACAAAGTCTGAATGGGAAGGCAACCTAGCCTTTCCAAGGCCCTCTGGGTGCCATGGGGCTGCAATGTGGGCTAGGAGGGGAAACCTCGTAAACCACTCAATTTGGGATGTGCAGCTCACCGGGTCCCTTTAAGAGGAAGCAGCTGACACAGGTTAGGAAAAGCTCAGAGGGGTTTGACTGGAAGGAGAATCCACCTAGCTCTCCTTAGTCTGGATGATCATGGAGGTGATAGAGGGAAAGCAAACCAGAGGTGACCCCCTACAGGCCCGCTCAGCTCCCCGCTACCCCCTCCCCACCCCTACAAGTTCCCTACTGGGAGGCTGTTGCCTATGACACAGGGTCCTCCAGGCTCCCCTCAGCTGCCCGGGCTGAGCTGCAGAGGACGCCGTGGTTCTGTGGTGGGTGAGCGAGTGAGGGGATGTTGCTCCTGAGCACCTATGGTTTAGACCTCGATAGCATGGTCTTCATAATCCCCCTACAGCCTGATGGGACTATAGTGTCATGCCCATTTCAGATGGGAAATTCCTTTTTAAGGGGGAACAACTCCAAGGATGCTCCTATTGCTCAATTAATTTTGAGCAATTTGAGTAGCTTTCCTTGCCAGTTGTGCAGAGATGCATGTGTATACATGCACACACACAGCCACATACTCTAGGGTAGGGAGGGTGGTACAACCTCTACCTTTCCCAGCCCCCAATGGCTCCTGTTCTCAATGAGGGCCCTCTGACCTTGCTAGCTGTAAATCGAAAGGCATGTGGCTTCCAAGTCCCAGAGGACAGCCCAAGGTGCACCCCATGGCCCACTAGAGGCTAGCTTGGAGACACTGACACATGACAGCTGTCACATGAGACACACCAGCCCCTGAGCTCATTCTTTGCAGAACTGGCAGGCATCCAAGCTCAAGAGGAAGAGAGAACCACACTGGACAGTCACAATTCCATTATTTACATGAACTGATGTCTACCAACAAGGAGACCAGTAGACCACGTTGTGGTCGGCTTCTAATTTATGGTTACTGTTCTACAATCACAAGGTTCACCGACACTCCTACTGAGATATCTAAGGCTAAGAAGCACAAACCAACCAGAGCCAGGCCCCAAATCATAGGCCTCCTGAATCATAGGAAGATGACCACAATGAATTACCTGGCTAGATCATCCTTCACCAAACACACCCAGTGGCTCATTAACCCACTCTCTCCATGTGATCACTTGCATATTCATTCACTGATCAGCTTTGACCTTCCAAGGGTATGAAAAAGACCCCAGCTTCAGGCACACAGGTGTCATCAGCCCACCATGCAACTCCCACATCCAGGCAAGGAGACTGGGACTTGTTCCATACAACAAGAATTAATCCAAGTGTTCCTGGCAGCTGGTGCCAACAAATAGTAGGGAAATGCCCATTGGGAACTCGACTTCCTGTTTGTCCTTCTGGAGGTAGAACATTTTTTCTGCATGGACTGGGAAAACACTAGGACTAGCAGCCTCCAGCTTCCCAATGAGCCTCTTCCTTCTGGAGACAGTATTCTGGTCAACCATTCACTTTGTACGGCTGAAATGAACTTTAGCCTGAGTTTTCTAAAAGGTAGACGATGCAAATGCATGCCAGGTGATATAAATGGATGACCTGGGTGGATGGACCCAGACAACAGTGTGAGCACAATGAGAAATTGAATAGGTTATGTCCTTAAACCTGAAGCCTGACAGCAGTAATGCCATTTACCTAACCCCAAGGAGAGGACCCCCAACCCCAGGGTGCAGTCAGCTTAGAGGTTTCTATGAAAAACCACAAATTATTTTAGGTGGGTGCTGCGAGAAACCCCAAAATGTTCCATCCACCCAGAATTCTGGGAAGTTAAGTCTAGACCTGCTAACAATGCTCATTTTCACTTCTGTACATGCTATGCAAGAAAAAAAACCTTTCACACACTGCTTGCCAAAAAGGATGTGGCTTTTATCATTAAAAGACTAGCTCTGAGCTGTTTCAGTGCTGTGTGATTTGGGAAGCCTAGGCCCCATGCAGTCACTGGCCTTTGCAATAAAGACTCCTATAATCTGGCTTATTAATTGTGCTGTCCTTTGTTTTCTCGCTGATGGGGTTATATTTTTGGAGAGTCCAGTGAGACAGTGCCAGCACTTAGGAGACCCTTCTTGGGTCAGATACCCAAGGACAGCTGGCTTCTCCTTCTCAGTTGTCAGCCTCTACAGAACCTCTAGGGGAGGTGCCCCCTGAGACATTTCAGGGCCCTGGAGGACTCTAAGGAAGGTTTTGACACCTCACCAGGAGACACCAGCACACCCTCTCCATATCTGCCCTCAGGGCCATGGTGGTAGGCTGTGGCAGTGGTAAGGACTATGGAGACTGGGGGAGTGGTGAGGACTGGGGGCCATGTGTCCTGTGAAAGGAGACACCCACTGCTGCCCTGCATGAACATGGGCCCAGGAACCAAATCCAACCATGTCTCTGTGTTAGCTGAAAATTCACCATTTCACATGAAATCTAATATTCAAATGGTGGCAATTAATTTAAAAAGTTTTCAAATCCAATTGCTTTTGGCAATGTTTAGGGGCAACGCCCCCCCATATTTTATTACTTAAAAAAAAGGTTATGGACTTTGTAAAACTGTGATTTAGAGTGCTAGAACCTGTAACTGGGAGGTGAAGTGGCTTGCCTTGGTCATGGCCAATGGTAGCGAGGCCTCAGATCTGCCCCAGAGCATGACAGAACCTCCATTCTCGTTCTTGCAAGGAAACAATGACTCCAGGCAGGTGGAGAGGGGAACAGGGTGGAGGAAGTACGGGTAAGGTAGGCCATTGACTGGTACCTGCGGTTGCCTTGCTGGCTGGAGATCCCGAGTTTGGAGTGCGGAACGGCTGAGTTTGGGTGGCTGGAGGGGTTCGGTGTAAGAGGGTGGCACATCGAACCACGGAGGCCGGAGCTTTTTTCCCTGACTGGTTCGTCTGGGTCTTCGCTGCCACGAAGCGTGGAGATGGGGTGACCTCTGGATGCGAACACTCAGAACCCGTGTCTGGATCATCTGGCGGCTCCCACCCGGGGGCGGTACCTGTGAAGGTCATGTTCTCAGTCCCCAGGACCCATGAGGCCAGCCCAGTGAGTGGCCTCTCAGGCTGCAGGTCCCCATGTGTCAGTCAGGACATCTTTTCCCACGCAGTTCTGACTTCCTAGATAAACAGTGAGGGCTTCAGAGCCCAACCAGAGTTAAGGAAGAGTCTGAGCATCTAGAACCTTCCCCAGCTTCTCCTGGAGGGAAGTCTGATCACCAGCTCTAGCTCAGAGGTTGTTCCCAGTCTACTTTGTAGGCCGCTCATCACCCTTGGCCAGCCCAGTCATCTAGAGTCCAAGACCTCAGGCTGTGACCCACTCTTGGGGGTACCAGTTTTGTCAGCCCAGGTCAGGCACGTTGTTCTAGAATGTTGGTGTCTCAGTGTTTTGCCTCCAGAGAAAGCCAGTTTAGAAGGATGGAAAGTGGACAGGGAGGGGCAAACTGAGGTGAAGAGATGGCAAGGCAGGGGAGGGAGGGACTGGATAGAGCCCACATGGCTTTGGGGAGGGGACTCTGCAGTGCCTGGGAGCCCTGGCCACAGCACTGAGCTACCCAAGAGATCCGGCTGCTGGCTCCCTAGCTCTGGGGTGGCACGGGGTCTCATTATCCACCTTCCCAGGGCAGCATCCATCCCTGAATGCCAGAGTATCCACTCACAGCTCAGCATGAATGACCCCTGACCTTCTACCTCTGTCCACTCCTGGTACTGTTGGGTATGCTGAGGTCAGGAATCAGGGACATTCAACTGTCCTGCCCAAGTCACACAGGCAGTGAGCCACCATGGACCTTGTTCACCATCCTGGGGCGGTGAGGGGAGGTGGGAGCACATCGCTCCCTACAGGATGGCAGGTGCCAGGAGGGGAGAGATCTTTAGGAAGCCCCATCCCAGACTAAGCAGGAGTTTCCCGGGCCTCAGTCTATGGGAGAATGGGGTCCATCCCCATCTGAACTCCAGCTCTCTGGACTCACTTTCTGACTCAGGAATAGAGGCTGAGGTGGAAACAGCTATTTCCATATGCTCCTTCCTGTCTCCCTTCCCTCCCCTTCTTTCTAAGCCAAGGACCGTAGTGACTCCTGGCTTTGTCAAATGGTTTCTCATTTATTGTCGCTGGCACCTGGGGTCCATCTCTGATTTCTCCACTAATCTCTCTAGGTGAGAACATTAGGGACCAGAACTGGAGGCTCACTCTAATGGAACCCACACTGAGATTAGACAGGCAGCCCACCCTGGAGCTCCCTGACTCCATGTTTCTGGACACCTTATCCACCCTCTGTTTCCCCTGCTTTATCTCCTCAGTGTCTTGGTCCTATTCCTATAGGAACAGGACCAGCCTTCTTCCCATTTCCATCTGTAAAGCTGGACCAAGGAACTACAGTTCTCAAACCTTGATCAATAGGCAGCGCAGAACTGTAATGCACGAGAGAAGACAGAATGTGAGCCCCATGGCCACTCCAGCTCTCTGCTTGGAGACCTTGTGGGTCAGGGCATAGAGTAGCAGGACCCAGATGGAAGCATGCCAAGCCACTGAACCGAGGAGACAAGTGATCAGAGGTCAGGGCTGCTGAGGTGGCTGGAATTTGTAGGGCAGAATAACAAAAGGAAGAGAAATGAGCATAGAAAGAATTCCAGAAATGTTACAGAGGGCCCTCCTGGAAGTCATTAGAGCTGAATGTTAAATTTGATTTGTGCCGTGAATCTGTGTCACTGAGGGAGAAACAGAGGGGATCTGTGACTTCAGTGAAGTCTCAGAGGTTGCATAAGACTAGAAGATGCTGAGAGACTGTGTAAGTCACATATTCATTCACTGGAGAACTAGCAAGGCCCAGAAAGAGCTACTGGAACTCTAGCATTAAGACTCACTCCAGACCCACCCTAACACCTCAAAATAAGACTTTGTAGTACCTTGATCTCAAAGCAAACTACCTGCCTGTTAAAACAAAAGATGAAAATTACAATCTGGTCAACAATGTACCATCAACAATGTGGACACAGCGTAAGCAATTTTGTTTTTGGATGAAGCAGGAAGATACGATTAGTAATCATAGGGGGAAAAAACCGCAGTCAACAGAAATAACAGAAATGATAGGAATGACAGAATTAGGAGACAAGGGCCTTCCAACAGCTATTACAAATATGCACAAAGATTTAAAAGAGGACATAAACATAACAAAGAGAAAGCTGTAAAAAAAAAAAAAAGGGAACCAAAGAGGACTTACAGAGATTAGATGCTGTAGAAGAAAAGATCGGTGAACTTGAAGGTAGGACAAGAGAATATATCACAATTGAAGCAAAGAGGGAAAGAGAGTGAAAAAGGAAACAAAGTTTCAGTTCACTTATACAGGTTTCCAAAAGCTTAAAGTATATGTAATTAACATCTTTATAAGATAGAGAAATTAAGGAAGAAAAACATTTGAAAAAAGACTGGCTGAATTTTCTCCAAATCTAATAAAAAATACAATCTTACTGGTCAACAAGCGGAATAAACTTCAGATTACATGCATAATCAAATGGCTAACCACCAGTATTAGAGAAATACTTAAAAGGATCAGAGAATAAGAATACATTACATATAGAAGAAAAAGAAAAACAATCAGAATAATCCCTAACTTTTCATCAGAAACAATGTAAGCCAGAGGTAATGGAGTGGTTTTATTTTTATTTTTTGGTGCCTATACTGGGGTTTGAATTCAAAGTCTGGATGTTGTCCCTAAGCTTTTTTGTATACAATATGCAGTATACAATTGAACATGGACTGTGCAGCAAGAAAATACATTTTTACATAGATAGCAGGTAACTCATAAAATATCTCTATAAATTTCAAAGACTAGAGATTGCTCAGGATAAGCCTAGCATTGATGATAAATACCTATAATCCTAGCTACTCAGGAGGCTGGGACCTGAAGGAGGTGCTTTAAAGCTAGCCCAGACAGAAATATTTATGAACTCCATCTCTAATTAACTACTTGAAATGTGGCTCAAATAGTAGACAGCCAGTGTGAGCAAAAATGTTAGGAGACAGGGTAAAGCCCTGAGTTCAGCTTCAGTAGAAACACAAAAAGTGGGGGAAATCATCCGGGACATATATTCTGACTAAATGAAATTAAATTAGAAATCAATACCAAAAAATCAGAATAAGAGAATAAAATTTCTACATAACCATTCTCATAAAGAAAATAAAGCTGGGCACTTGTAACTCATGCCTGTAATCCTAGTGACTCAGAATGTTGAGATCTGAGGACTGTGGTTCAAAGCTAATTTGAGCAAGAAAGTTCATGAGCCTGATCTTTAATTAGCTACCAAAAAGCCAGAAGTGAAGCTAAGCTCAAGTGGTAGAGAACTAGCCTTGAGCACAAAGCTCAGGGACAGTGCCCAGGCCCTGAGTTTTGTTTTGTTACGTTTTCTTTTGTGTGCATGTGCTAGGATTGGCACACAAAATGAAAAAGAAAGAAAGGAAACAAGAAAGAATGAATGGAAGTAAGAGAGGAGAAGGGAGGGAGGGAGGGAGGGAGAATTCTAGGCTTGAAGGCTTCACTACTTAATTTTCCATGACATTTATGGAATATCAATCCCACACCAACTCTTCAAAAAATTAAAAAGCAAACTCATTCTACAAAACAACATTATTTTGACATCCAGTGAAAACAAGGACAATACAAGAAAAGGGTACTACTGGTTGGAATTTAACATGGCAAAACCACTTTGGAAAACAGTTAACTCCTCTTAAAAGATAAACCGTTGACTTGTCATATGATCCCACGCCTCCACTTGACACAAAGACTCCTATACAAATATTCCTAGCAGCTCTACTGTATTAGTTCCAAACAATTCAAACATCCATCCGTAAGTGACATAAAAGGATTGTGGTATATAGTTCTTAACAATGGAATGCTACCAGGGTCTGTATAAAGATGTCTGGTCAATGACAGATGGTAGGAACAATGGTGGTCCCATAAGATTATTTGCCTAATGATGCTGTAGCTGTCTTAGTTTGTGTAAGTAAACTCTGATGTTTGCACAACAAAATAGCCTAATGATGCATTTCTCAGAATGTAGACCCATCATTAAGTGATGCATGACTGTTTCATTAATTAAAAGGAATGAACTCTTTATTTATACATACAGTCATAAATGATTATCAACACAATTATGTGAGAAAGCCAGACCAAGATCCCCAACAAAAACACCCATAAGATCCCATATATGTAAAATTATAGGAAATGCAAACTAATCAACAGTAATAGAAAGCAGATCAGTGTCTGTCAGGGGATGGGAACAGAGCGAGCAAGAGATTAAGAGAGTGCAGGAGGGGACTGGGAAGGTAGCTCAGTGGTAGAGTGCTTGCCTCACAAGCATGAAACCCTGGGTTCGATTCCTCAGTACCACATAAGCAGAAAAAAGCTGGAAATGGCACTGTGGCTCAAGTGGTAGGGCGCTAGCCTTGAGCTGAAGAGCTGAGGGACAGTGCCCAGGCCCAGAGTTCAGCCCTCACAACTGACCAAAAAAAAAAAAGAGAGAGGGCAGGAGGAACTGCTGGGGTGATTGTATCACGCTTAGTATCACAATGTCAGTGACAATTTCATGAATGAAATACGTGAAAATGTACCAACTATGTACTTTAAATAACATCCCTAGCCATCAGAACAATACTGAGATTCCACCGCACTCCAGTCAGAATGGCCATCATCAGGAATATGAACAACAACAAATGCTGGCAGGGATGTGGGAGAAAGGAACCCTATTACACTGTTGGTGGGAATGTGAACTAGTATAACCACTATGGAAGGAAGTACAGAGGGTCCTCAAAAAACAGAACATAAAATATCCTATGATACAACATTACCACTCAATTATGTCTAACAAAAAGAAATAATGAGCATTTTATTGCGGTATGATATACCTCAGTAAAAGTGGTTTAGCAACAACAAAAAATCCTTCACTAGGAATAAGCATTAAAAAAATTTAGGACCCTCATTAACACACCAGTGATTGAACATGGGGTTCACTCTGCCAGTGTAGGACTAAAGTCCCCTGCTTCTGGGAGAGTTTGGGGGAGTGATATTAAGAATTAGGGAAAATCTTCAGAAATTTGAGATCAAAGTGTGCAAAACCCTATTAATTATACACACTATCTTGGCTCTTCAAATAGTTTAGATGCCTATGGAAGAACACGGTGATGAATATATTATTTCCCAATGTACACACAATGTCAGCAGGTAGTAGATGCTTAATATATACTAATAAAATTTTAAAGGGGGATGGGTCCTCTCTCAAAGAAATGCCCTACTGTTGCAACTTTCTTCAGTTCATGTCATTTGATTTTCTAATATCCTAATGTATTTTAATAAAGTATAGGCATACTTTGTGACGTATTTAATAATAAAATATATTGATTTCTTTAAAAAAATCCACACCATTCAATACACTGAAAGACAGAAAAATAAGAATCCACACACAATCACCTCAACAGAATGAGGAGAAAGTCAGAAACACTAATGTTCAACGAAAACTTCAAGGACAGTAGAAGTAGGAAGAAACCTTAGCTGACAAGAAGCATCTCTGAGATCTACTTCAACTAACACAATAAATACTTTCTGAGGGAAACAATCATATTTCACGGTAGGAGACAGAGCTCCTATAATTGGGGACAAGGCAGAATAATCTGCTCACTTCTCCTATTTAGCATTGTGCTTACAGGTCCCAAGCAGGACAGTGAGGAAGAAAAACAATCATGAAAAGAAGACAGATCTCAAGGGAAGAAGTAAAGTTGTCTTTATTGGCAGATGACATCATCATACACAAGGACTATCCTATGAAGTCTATAAAAAACCTATTAGCGCTAAGAAGCAAATTCAGCAAATTTGCAGGATACAAATTTAATAGCCCCAAATCAATTATTTTATGTAATAGCAATAAATGGAAAATTAAGTTCAAAAAATCACAGCAGCATAAAAGAGCATACAGATAGTCTAATGATATAAATAAACACCATCAGGTGCTGGTGGCTCACGTCTGTAATCCTAGGTACTCAAGATGTTGAAATCTAAGGTTCAAAACCAGATCAAGCAGTAAAGTCTAGAATCTGATCTCCAACTAACTGCAAAAAGTCAGAAGTGGAGGTGTGACTAATGTGGTAGAGCACCAGCCTTGAACAAAAGAGCTAAGGAACAGCACCTAGGCCCTGAGTTAAATCCCCAGTATGGTACAAAAAGAAAAAAAAAAAAGAAAGAGAGAGGTGGGGGGAGAAAGGAAAGGGGGAAGGAGGGAGGGAGAGAGAGAGAGGGAGGGAAAGAAAGAGAAAGGGAGAGAAAGAGAAAGAGAGAAAGAAGAGAAAGAGAAAGAGAGAGAAAAAGAAAAAGAAAGAGAAAGAGAAAGAAAAAGAGAAGGAAGGAACAAAGGAAAGAGGGAAGAAGAAGAAAGAAAGAAGGGACGAAGGGAGGAAGGAGAAGAAAAGAAAGAGAGAAGAAACATAGATAAGATCTCTACTCTGAAAAGCAAGCACTGTTGCTGAGAGAAAGTAGTCCAACCTTTAAGACTTGAGTGATATATATCAGATTCATGGGTTGGAAGATCCTAAACCATCACAATGCTCTACAGATTCGGTGTAGTCCCCGACAAAATTTCACTTTCTTTTTTGAAATTAGAAAGAAATGTTGGGCGCTGGTAGTTCACATCTATAATACCAGCTATTCAGGATGCTGAGATCTGAGGATTGTAGTTTGAAGACAGCCCAGGAAGAAAAGTCCTTGAGAGACTCTTATTTCCAATTAACCACTCAAACACCAGAAGTGGAGCTATGGCTCCAAGTGGTAGAGTGCTAGCCTTGAGCAAAGGAGCTCTGGGACAGTGCCCAGACCCTGAGTTCAAGCCCCACAACTGACACATGCAAAAAAAGACGAACAAAAGTTGAGAAATTAAGAATGGCTGTTTTAACACTAATTATAAAACTTCATGTAGAAAAGGCATACAGATAGTCAAATAGATCAATAGAAAAGAAATAAACTCATTGTACATTGGGCTGATTTTCAACAAAGTGCCAATGTAGTGCAAGAGGAAAGATGATCTTTTCAACCAATGGTGTTGACCCCACCAGGTTTCTATATGGCATAAAAGCAATTTCAACTCATACCTCCTGTCATTCACAAAAGGTAACTCAAACTGTACCACAGATCCAAAGGCAAAAAAGCCAAAATGATCTCCAAAGCTCCTAACAGGTAAAGAGAAGGGCATCTTTACTAGTATGAGGTTAGAGCTAGAATGCATAAGCTGTAGAAAAAAAATATTATAATCTACATTTTCTTCGAATGAAAGCCATCTGCCTCTTGGGGAGACTGAAGAAGGATCACCAAGCACTAGAGACTGAGAGACAAGAGCCACAGAACACATACCTGACAAAGGACCAGGACCTATTGGCATATACAAAGAGTTCCTACAACCTAATCAAAAGCAGAGCAATCCAAAGCTCGAGGTGAATGCCTTAGGCAGACAATTTCTAAATGAAAATGCATAGACAATTAGCCAAGATGTTCAACTTCGGGTTGTCAAGGAAATGTGAATCAAAACCACAGTGGAATGCCTTTATCCAGTCAAGAGAACAACAAATATGGTCAAAGTGAAGCTCTACCTGTGGCTAGGGTCAGGGTAAACTAAAAGCTACAACCATTTTGGAAAATGGTGTGTCAGTCCTTAAAAAGTTAAACATGTGGGCCAGTCACTCTGTTCCCTGAGAGTTATCCAAGAGAAATGAACACCCATAAAAGTCTCATGCAAGCATACTCATGGTGGCTTTATTGTATAATAGCCTATACCCAGAAAGAACCAAGAAAATGACAGAACAATCAATTTGTGGTGTTTTCATACCAGGGAATATTGGTCAGCAGTGAAAAAGAATGAACTGACACACATATCACAATGAGTTCTAAAAATATTTGCTGAGCGATATAAAGCACACACAAAACAATCCATTGGTAAGAGCTTCCATAGTCAGCCTGTCCCTCTGGACACTCTCCAGACCCAGGGAGGTGAACCCAGCCATGGCCGCCACCTAATGACAACTTCAAGTTGAGCTCCTGCTCCAGACAAAAGCCACTAACACTCAACAACATCCACAGGTCATCAGAAAGCTGTCTCTCAGTAAGCCTTGGAGAACCAGTCCTCTGCTAAATCATTCATGTTGCATATTAAACCCATGATCCTCGTGTCCCCAGACTTCAGTGAGCAACAGAAAGAGACATTTCAACAGACAACTTCAGAAACGAGGGAGAAACCAAAAATGAGCAAGAAATAGGAGGACCTTAAGGAGAGAAGCACCTGGATGTCAGCCATTGCCTGCACCTCTTCCTGCTGTCTTGTGGGGTACGAGGCTTAGGGCCTACTGCCAGGTTCAGAGCCCTGCACCCTCCTTGCCAACTCCCGGACCACACGCAACGTGCTCCAGGAAGACCAGAAGCAGCATTGAGGTTGCTCTCCAGAGGCCACAACCCAGGCTGCAAGCTGGCCTTGGGACTGACCCACAGTTGAAGTACATTCTAGTAGCATCCTCTCCAACAACAGACAGCACAGGTGTGCTGCTGCCCCCAGCAGCCCTCCACCTGGGCATCAGCACCATGAGTGGACATCAATCAGATGATGAGCTGTTGACCACCCCAGAGACCTCCTCACCTCTCTCCACACAATCTGGCTACGCAGTAGACAGGTGGGTCACAATAACGCTGCCCAAAGGCTGTCTCATGCTGGAGATGTCAGAAATCCAGACCCGGAGCAGGAGCACCCTCAAGAGCTCTCACATGATGGGAAGTGTGGGCTCAGAGAAAGTCACAGAGCTAAGGCCACGAGGCAATAGAGGTAAGGCCACATGGAAATCAGGGGAAAGGCCACATGGCAGTCCACAAGGCCAATCCCCAGTCCTGCACTGCTCAGCAGGGAGAAATCCCAAGAAAGCTGCCCATACTACCCTCCTGCCCTTCAATCTCTGGCCTCTCCCTATCTGACCCCACTCCCCACTTGCATGTCAGGACCCCTACCTGCCACAAGACTACAAGTACCTCTCTCCCTCAGCGACCCAGCGTGAGCCTTCCCTCTGCTTCTGGACCAATTCTTCCATCCACAGAAGGAGTGGGGGGTCCCTCAGAGCTCTGCTGTGAAAAACCACGCAGGTAACTAGTGGACAGGCTCACAGACACAGGCCCCATGAGCTTGCCTGACAGACCCTGTACAGGAAGGCACAGAGGGCTGAGGGCTCTCCTGATATCGACACTTGAGGGAATCTCGGGGTACAGCCTGTACACTGACCTGTACAAGGGGCATCAGGAGAATGGATGGCAACTGGGGGAAGTGGCCTTGGGAGTCTTTCCTGCCTTGGCCAGGGGAGGAAGAAGGATATGGGCAAAGGTGTGTGTGTGTGTGTGTCTGTGTGTGTGTGTGTGTATGGTGTGTGTAGGGGACCTGTGACCCCACTGGGCTTAATTCTCGGGGTTCAGTGCTCTTTCTGCCTCCTCAGCTCTCCATGGTCAGGGCAGGGCAAGAAGGGGAGGAGGTGTCTGGTCCTGTCTGGGCCATGCCTCCCTGGGGCAGTTGGTGCAGTGGTCCAGACAGGCTATGTCCCAGGCTGTTGCTTGGATCTGAAGGTAGAACATTCAGGAAGCCCTTGGTTTGGAGGTGTTTAGAGGAGGTGGGGACAGGGCCATTTCAGGATTTGGACAAGTGGTGTCCACTGTAGGGATGTCCCATCTATGAAAGCCTCAGACCTCTCTGACTGGGCTGGCTTTGAGTGGCCTTCTCAACTGTTCTAGATTGCTGTAGTGTGGTGGTCAACATTAGATCCAGACACCTGGACAGACCTGGTTCTCACCCTTGCCTGGCAGGTTCCAGGCCCTTAGCTGGTGGCGGTCCCCACCTCCCTCACCCCTGTCCTCCATGGTCTCCAAACAGAGAAGGTACTCACTGATGGGGGCGTGTAAGGCCACGTGCTCCTGGTACGGTGTATAGTACTTGTACTGCTTTCCACAGAACTCGCAGGTGTAATTGCCAGTTTCTGTCGAAGGAGAGGAAGGTGTGAAATGGACACCTAGCTCCCATCCAGCGCATCAGTGTTTCCCATCCCCAAACAAATTCCTCCTCATTTGGGACTACCAGTGAGTGAGAATCAGCTGACTCTGAAGTCACACTGTCTTGGTTCAAATCCCAAGTTTGGCCATCTCGAGCAATGTAACCTCAGGGAAGTGTCTTAACCTGTCTGTGCCTCAGTTTTCCTAGTTGTAAAATGGAGCTAGTAGGAGGACCGTCTTGTAGGATTGCTGTGGGGATTAAATTTGTACACCAAGTCTTAGAACAGTACCTGGCACATGCTGTTCCCTTCCACCACCACCGCTCCCCCTCCCTGCCCCTCCCCGTTTCCTGGCCCAGGTATTCAGGAAGTATGCTGCGACCCCTGCTGACTGCCAAGGTTAACCTCTGCATCAGCACTGGTGCAAGCCACACCCTTGGGGGCTCTGTCCTCAAGCACCTCCCCCTGGACTGGCAGCAGCCAGGGTCATTTCTTCCTTGCAGACCCCCTAGACTTTACCTTTACCTCTCTTCTGGCTCTGCCTAACTTCTTTCTTCTTAAAAATGTCTGATGTAATATTGTTCACTGGGGGAAAATTATAAAATACTGATAAATACAAGTACCAAATCTTAAGGAGAAATAAATTTCAATGGTCTGTAATTCCCCACACAAAGAGAAGCCCATTTCCCTCTGGGAACAGAGCCTCCAGCCTCCTGGCCACAATCCCGCCTCCAGCTCCCACACCATCTGGGGTCACTTCTCTGGCTGCTGTCATTTGTCTGGCTCCTGTGGCCTTGAATTAGCCAGCCCTGATCAATATCCTCTTTGTAACCTGGTATATTCAATCGACAATACTTTGTGGACATCTTGCCCAATCAATAAGTATCGATCTTCACTGCCTTTATTGGTTGATGGTTCCCATGGGACTCTGGAATTTGCTGAGCCAGTTGGCCTCCACCAAGGGACATTAAGGTTTGTTTCCATTTTGTTTTCTCATTTTTTTTTAAATGCTGTGATCCACATCCTCATAGAAATGTTTGCACATTTACTCATTAGTTTTGCACATGATGGTAAAAAAAAATAGATGATAGCCCAGAATCTTTGCACAGAATCTTTCCCCCAAGTAGGGGGAAGAGGGAGGGTAAGCTGTTGAAAGGTTTTTGATAGCCATACCCCCCACTGTCCCCACCAGAAAGGTTTAAAAACCACAGGACAATATTTAACAGTATCTGTTTTGCATATCTGAGTGAGCAGCTACATTGTGAATCTGGGGCTGCTTTCCCTTTCTTTGATTTGTAAAGAAATTGATTATTTTTCTTGTTTAATTAATTATAGGGTATTTTTTTTCTTTCATGACTTTCCTTTCAAAAGCACAAAATTCTTTGCAGATTAAAGATATCAACATTGTGTTACTACCGTTATAAGCACTTTTTTTTTCTCCTTAAGTGCCTTCTTGGTCTGTCTGTGGTGTTTCTTTCCCAATGTAGAAGCTATAGAACTTTAATTTTTGCAGTGACTTGGAAACACTGTTGAAGGTAGGTCTGTGAGCTCCTACTTAGAAGCTTCAACGCTATTTGATCAACTGTATTAATTAGATATATTCAAATCCCATTTAACCTCATTTTGTTGACTTACTCTGGCAAAAGAAAAGATCTTATAACTGAAATCAAATATTTCATCTTGTTCTATTTTCTAAACTTACAGGGTATATTTAGATACAGTGTGGTTGGACATCCGAAGACTCTAGTATTAAAATCTGTACTGTGAACTGTATCTTTTTTTTTTTTTTTTGGGCCAGTCGTGGGGCCTGAACTCTGGGCCTGGGCGCTGTCCCTCAGCTCTTCAGCTCAAAGCTAGCGCTCTACCACTTGAGCCACAGCACCACTTCCGGCTTTTTTCTTTTTGCTTATGTGGTGCTGAGGAATCAAACTCAGGGCCTCAGGCATGCAAGGCAAGCGCTCTACCACTGAGCCACCTTCCCAGCCCAACTGTATCTTTTGTTAACAAGAAATTATCTTCTACCCCAGTGCCTCTCAAGGCGTGGCTCCTGTACCAGCAAAAACAGTAAGACAGGAGCTGGAAAAAAATATGGTCGTCACTGGATTGGCCCAAGACCCATTAAAACAAACTTTAAACAACACACTTCTAGGGAGGGGCGGGGCCTCAGCCATTTAGAGAATGAATGGAAAGTTTCAGAACCAGTACTCTCTACTAGTTAAACTGTTGCATTAGTTCATCTGTCATTCATTTGTCAGATCATGCTTCCTCCCTCTTTCCATGGGTCTGAAGATATCCCCTACATTTCCTCGTCCCTCCGTTTGAAGACTGTGCCAAATACCAGCACAAAATGCTGAGCCAGAGCTGTCATGGTTCCTGCCCTTAAGTTTATTTCCAGAAAAATCAATCACACAAACAAGTGTAAAGCTGCAATGTGGTAGGTGTTCTCAGGGAAACAGAGACAATGCTGGGAAAACCCACCACAGTGACTCTAAGGAGGGAAGTGGGAAGGGAGGGAAGGAGGGAGGAAGGGAGAGAGGGAAAGGCTAAAGCTCAAAAAGGATAAGGAATGAACTAGGTATGCCCATAATTAGACATACCTATTAAGGATCTATCTAATGGGTGATGGGAAAATAAGGATGACAGCCCAGAATCTTTGCACACTATTTCCTCAGGATAAATTCCAAGAGGTAGGGGAGGGGATGTGATGAGATGACTTTAAATTAACCTGGCACTTTTTGTTTTCTAACAATGGAGATTTATACTGTATGCTTTGGTTTTGCAAACTGAGCACCCCTAATCCAAAAAATCCAAAATGCTCCAGAATCTGAGACCTTCTGTGTACTGACACATCAAAGTGGCAAAGTCTATATCACGAACTTTGTTTGTCCATAAAGTTACTAAACAAATATCTTGTATGCCAGGTGATGGTAGCTTACACCTGTAACACTAGCTACCCAGAAGGCTGAGATTTGAGAATCCAGTTTAAAGTCAGCCAAGGCAGACAAATCCAAGAGTCTTATCTCCAAAAGGCCAGAAGTGGAGGTATGGCTCCAGTGGTAGATCCACCAGCCTAGACTGAAAAAGCCAAGCAAGAGCCAAGACCCTGAGTTCAAGTTACAGAACTGGTGTGTGCATGCTCTCTTTCCCAAGCTCCATCTCCCCTTCTCTCTTTCTCTTTCTTACACACACACACACACACACACACACACACACACACACACACACACACACACGTCCTACTCTATGATATCTCATTATGGATATGTAAATGTTCCAATATCTGAAAAATTCCAAACTCTTCTCATTTCAAGCATTTGAGTTTAGAAATCTCCAGCCTCTACTTGCTCTATTAGCCTCTCTGTATGCTTCCTGCTTCCTGGCTGTTTCCTCAGCTTTCTATCAATCATTTGTATATGAACCTCTTGCGTTGCCTTTCCATGATTACCAATGTACCATTATTTCCTAATAGTCTCTTGTTATTTTAGACTGTATATATCTCTGTAATTGTTAGTAGCTGAGTGGAAAATGGCATTTTAAGACTGTTATCACTGGGTAATGTAGTTTAACCCAGTGTTTCTCATGTAAGAATGACCTAAGAAAGATGCTCACAGCATAGTCCTTCAGTGGGCCTGCCCCAGGGTTGCAGATAATTCTGCAGGTTGGGATAAGGTCTCAGAGTTTGAATTTCTACAGCTTCTCAGAGAGGCTGATCTTGTTGGTTAGGGACTTAACAAAGAGCAGGACTGCTTTAGTCTATTGTATTCTTCACCAATTCATGCCTTTTTCTTTTTTTTTAAAGCAATTCATTTCTTTCATAGTTTAAAATTTGAGTTCAACTGGTTTAGAGCTCCAAGTTCTTTTATACTATGGCCTCTAAAGAGCAACACTGAGTCATTAATCCCAGTTTTTTTCCAGATAGATAATTTTTAGATTAAAGATCCTCTTTAATTACTTTCTTTTGGCATTCAGTACCACAGCAAAGTGTGAAATAAGTCCTCCTTAAATTCATGTGTAGGTGATTTTGCTTTTCTCTTTCTGGTTATAGTTTTTCTTTTCTTTTTTGTCGGTCTTTGGGGCTGAACTCTGTGTCTGCCACATGAGCCACAGTACCACTGCTGGCTTTTTTCTGCTTATGTGGTGCTGAGGAATTAAACCCAGGACCTCATGCATGTGAGGCAAGCATTCTACCACGATGGTTATAGTTTTAAATAGTCATAGTGGATCTGTTTAGATAAAAGTCTTCTCATGTTGATTCCACCTAACACTATGGTGAGCCATTCAAATTTACACATACATTTCTTCTTTTAGCTGAGCAACTTTTTCTTCTATTAGATCTTTTGAGTATTTCATCGGCCCCACTGGTATTCTATCACCAATTATTCAGGGCTGGCTCCCTGTATCTATCTGTATTTCTTATTGTCTTCATCTGGTCCAGTTCATTCTCCACATCACTATTTTCATGTGGAGGGAAGGGAACGGAGGGAATGGGACAGGAGGGAAGGGAGGGTGAGGAGGGAAGGAAGGGAGGGGAGGGAAGGGGAGAGAAAGAGAGGGGAGGGGAAAGGAAAGAAGCAATAGAGGAAGGGAAGGGAAGGGAAGGGAAAGGAAAGGAAGGGAAGGAGCGGAAAGGGGAGGTGAGGGGAGGGGAGGGAAGAGAAAGAGAGGGGAGGGGAAAGGAGAGAAGCAATAGAGGAAAGGAAGGGAAGGAGAGGGAAGGGGAGGGGAGGGAAGGGAAGGAAGGAAAATTGACTCTGTTGTTTAATATGTATAATATACGTTTTAATTCCCTTCTTATATTTGTTTCCCCCACATCTTTTCTCATCTTATACCTTCTCTGCCTTTTTATCTTATCCTACATTTTTTGTAGTACTCGGGTTTGAACTCAGGGTCAGGCAGATGTTCTACTATCACTTGGACCTTTTATGCTTTTGTTGTTTTTCAAATAGTCTTGCTTTTTGCCTGGGCCAACCTGTACAGCGAGCCTCCTATTTATATTTCCTGAGTAGCTGAGATAATATGTGTGCCCCACCAGGCTTAAAGCTTGTTATTGGCTGAGACAGAGTATAAAATCAAACTGTGATCACTCCAAGCTCAGCCTCCTGAGTTGCTGGGATTGCAGGTGGGAGCTGCATGCCTGTTTCATTAGGATCTTGTGTCAAGCCATGGGCTAATCGCATCCATCTCAGACTCACATGGTGAGGCTCTAGCCGCCTGTGTAATGATGCTATTTGGAGGGAGGGCCTTTAGGAGATAATTAAGATTAAGGTTAGAGGAAGTAACAAGGATAGGAACCACATGATGGGATAGAATAAGATATACCAGACCCCCTCCTCCCCCCGCTCTCTGTCATGGGAGGGTGGGAAGGACAGGATCTTGGACCTAAACTTTCACCTTCAGAACTGTGAAAAGGTAAATTTCTGTTAAGCCACTAAGTCTGTGGTATTTTTTCAAGGCAGCCCAAAAACTAAGGTTTTTCTTCCTTCCTTTCTTCTTCCATTTTCTTTCCTTCCTGTCCTCTCCCCTCCCCTTCCACCTTCCTTCCCTTCCTTTCTTTTTGAGACAAGATCTCACTAGCCCAGCCTGGCCTTGAACTCTTGACGGATCCTCTTGTCTCAGTCTCCCACATGCTAGTATATAGGTGCGAATCGCCATGTCAAGCCACTGACAGTCCACTGAAGCTGTCCAGTTGTTGGTTTTATTTTTATTTTGGATGTATATAGATTTTGAGATCATTTGCCCTTTGAGATATGCCCTTCTTTGGAGTCTCCTAAATTCTCCTTTTCTTCTTCTATGGACTTTTCAAAGCTCTCACACTTTGGTTTCTCTGCTTTCTAAGTTTCTCTTCCTTAGGCAGGCATAAAAATCAAGCAAGCCAGAAATGAATCTGCTGCTTTACTCTGTCCCAGCAGACCCCAAAGACAGCAAGGTGTACTCAATCCTCCCTCTGCCCATTGCTATCATAGAAATGCTCACACCTGCAGGTGAAGAGCAAGCGCCAGCCAGCCCACACAGTCCTTCTAGCAGGTGCCCTCCATCACAGCTCCCTTTCCCCCTACCCAAGTCCTACATCTCTTATTTGCTCCATGGAAGGCATTCTTGCTGCCTAAGTTGTACCTCTTCTCCTGACCCTTGAAGATTTTTTTATGGTGATTGGTCCCTTCAGAAATCCTGGTGCCTCAACTAGCTCCCCTAATCCTATGCCTCATTACTTTTAGGGTTCTGGGAGGCAGCATGCTCCCAAGGATCCATGGAAGTGCCAGAGTCAGCAGAAATCCCCCAAGGGGGCTCCTCGGTGGAACAAGACACATCTCAGATGGCTCCTGCAATCTCAGCTCGACCACAGTAAGCGGGGACAAGAACCCACCTGCTCTCCTCAATACACAATTCCACACTGTGTCAGCTGTGGTGCGTCCTCTCAAGCCCTAGTGTGGGCTGTCAGTGAGATGTAGCTACAGACACAGGGTGAGGGTTCATCTTGTTCTTCATCTTCCGGGGGGTTTAACAAGTCCCCACTTATTGGAAGCTTTTCGCACACCCGTCAAGGACTAGACTAATTCCCTTACCAATATAATCTCACCTAATCCCCAAGATCATCCAGAAAGGGGAGTCTTATTGTCATCAGCTTCACTTAGACTTAGGAAACTGGATTACACAGATTACAGGAGAGCTGGGAGGGGCATGTGGGTGGCTTAGAACTCTTCTTCTGATTTTTCCACAAGATGTCATTATTATACCCAGAGTCAGGCAATGGGCTAGACACTGAATGCATTCTCCAATAGGTAAATGTTTGCATCCCCAATTTACAAATGAGACAAGGGAGACTCAGAAAGGGTAGATAGCCTGACAGCTGGTACATTCATGCCCAAACTTGTCTGATTCTGTCTATAAGGACTATGCCACAGCTGAGAGGGCAGGGATTTGCTGGGGCCACTAGGAGATGGAAGACAGGGACAGAAGTGGGAAACGTTAGATTTCTGCCATCACGTTTGTGTAGCTGAACATGTGTATCCTTTGATCCTCCCAGAATGCATTCCGGGACACTGGGTGCCTGTCTGATTCACAGCGGTGTTTCCCTGTACCATCTGACTCACAGCGGGTTAAGTGCTGAAGATTCATCTTCATCACCTGCAGCACTGTTTTCGCTGTGAATCTATTGAGTGCTGACCGTGCATGGGATGGGCTCAGTGCCATCCACGTCATAGACATGATCTCTGAAGTTTGTTTCTCGAATGACTCAACAGAGTTAAGAAGAAAGTCTGCAACCATGCTTTAATCAGAACATGGTGGCCGGCAGGAAAAGCTTTCAAGGAAAAGCTTTCCAAGGGTCTGACTCCAGCTCCTTCTCTGCAGAGCACACCAGTATCTTAGTTCCCCTAATTTTCTTCTCCAATGTCTCTCGCCCCTTTACTGTGATCTGCTGTGAATTTTTGCCACTGGGTCTTAAATCCCTATTGCAGCGAAGGGACAGCAAAGGTCTCTTCTTGCAGGGGAGTGTGGAAGGCACGGGAGAGCACAGAACTTGCTGAAGGGCAGGGCTGGATGGAGCAGTTGCCTCACCTGCCCCAGGTTGGCCACCCAGCCCCTTCCAACCCTTCTGCTCCCAGCCGCCACCCCAGCTTTCCTCTAAAGTGTAATGAACCCACCATGTCATCTCTGGCTGCCACCTCTGGCCTTCGGAGTCTGGCTCTCCTTTCCTTAGTAAAACTAGCACCCTTCCTGCCTTTGGCTGGGGTGAACGGCTCCTTCCCCATCCTCATCCCGACCTTGGAAGCCTTCGCATTCCCGGCCCCCGAGCTCCCTGCACATTGCTGGGCTGTAATTACCATATCCACTGCCCCCTAGCCCCCTGCCCACCCCAACTCCTGTGCTGGTTTCCTATGGGCAGGGCTATGCCTGCCCTGCGCACAGTGATGCTCTCACATCTCTCGGGGCAAGTGGTGGGAAACAAGCAAGGAACACGTGGCATCTGCCCTCATGTGGGTTTACCAGGACCAGAACAGCGTCTGTGTGTGGCTGCACTGTGCAGCTTGGTGGGTTGAGCCCCTCCCAGGCCTCTTCCAGTTAGTTACTTTCTACACACCTATCATGTACCAGGCACTGTACTAACAAGTGGCTTATATCCATGATCTCATTTAATCCCCCAACAAGCCTGTGGGGAGCATGGTCCTCATTTCACATACCTTGGCTGCCATCAGTGTCCTGCCTTCACCCCCATTGCCTGCGACTTCTTCAGGGCTAATGTCCTGACTATACCTGGTGGCACTGTTGCTAGGGGACAGAATGTCAGCTCCTCCTGGTATCCAGACTCAGACCCACCTCCCTCACCCCGCCCTCCACCCCGCCCTCCGCCCCAGGGTCCCGCATACTTGGCCCGATTTTCTGAAATGGCTCTGGGGGTTCCTCCTTCACCTCATCTGTGGCCACGACACCTTGGTCAAATGGGTCTGTGGGAGAGAACACATGGCTGTCAGCACCCTGGTCACCCAGGTCTAGGGAGCCCAGTGGGGAACAGGGAAGATGGGCAGCCACAAGGACTTACCTGCCCGATTCTCGGGGGCCCCTTCCACACTAAACACTGCACCCCGGGTGGGAAGCGATGGCCACAGAAGGAAAGAAGCAAAGAGGAGCCCTTGTTAATCCCTGGCCCTGGCTGCCTCTGCCCACCTCTCCCAGCCTCTGTTCCAGTCAGTTTGCTTTTGGTTCCAGCAAGGATGCTCTGGCTAGTGGGATGTACCTGTAGAGGGCACACACCCACCAGGACACAGCCCACCCAAACTTTTGCTTTCCTTCACCACTGGCAGATGCCCACCCATCTGGGGTCAGACAGATGCTTTGTGCCCACAAACTGTGTCTGTGTCCGCAGGGTCCCCAGCATGCACTGTGGGTAGAGGAGGAGTGATGAGGCAGAGAACAAGAGGGAAAACAGAGGTAAGAGCAGGACAAGCTAGGGACACAGATTTTGGCCTATGTCACTGGTCCAGCTGGCTGGAGGGGCGGGGGCTGGACAGGAAACACCCAAATCCTTCTCATATCCAAACCTTCTTTCTAGGATTCTTAACAGTCTATCAATGAATCACCTAAATTTACTGTTCTAATTTCTAACTCTCTAAGATGTAAAAACGTCATCACTCATGTTTAAAAATTGGTTTAATTTTACTAGCGCATGCAAATACTCAAAATAAAACTGAAATGACAAGCTGGGAAATTTCAAAATCCGACTGATATTGTCTTGGAGAAGAGAGAAGTTTCACATGTGAACCTAAACAGAAAGGACCGTGGCTCATGCCAGGGGCCCTTCCTCCCCCAGGATGCTGCCCCATGTGGCTTGGTGCTGCACGATCTTTCTCTGAATTAAGGAGTTGGGGCAGGTACCCCCAAGGAAGGTACCTGCTAAAGACTATGGAGGGCTGACTCACCATCTACCGCGTGCAGGTCCCGGTGCTCCTGGAAACAGCTGTAGTACTTGTACTTCTTCCCACAGATGTCACAGGTGTACCTGAAATTGTCTGCGAGAGAGGCAAAGGCACAGGTACTTTACCCAGGCACCGGCCATCTGGACTGGGGTTTCTGCTCTCCAGAGCATCTGTCTGATGGCCTGGGCATCAAAGATGGGACCAGCCCAGTCTGGCTCCATCTAGGCAGCCCCATGGAGAACCTGTTCCTGAGCTACCTGTCCTTGAGCACTGACCATCTCTTTGTAACTAGGCAGGCCACAGCCAGGCCTGCTCTCTAGATGGGTATTGGCCCTCCCCAGCCCTTCACTCTGTAGAGGTTAGTCGTGGGTTGCTTTCTTGGCCCATAGGGCTTGGGCTAGGGTCTTAAGGGGTCTTCTGTGGAGATGCAGAATAAGGTGATTAGGGAGTCTCAGAGTGAATCCCAAACCAACCCCTAACCATCCGATGTGAGCTGAGTTCTCAAGGGCTTGGCTCCTCATGAGTCTCATTCATCACTGTAGCTACTACATGTGAGGTGGACCTGTGCAAGGTGCCTGGCTCTTGTCCTTGCTTTTTCTCTCAGAGAGAGGAAGCAGCCTCCTAATTACATACACAGAAACTGAGCAGGAGGGGACCCGCCCCAAATCTCACAGCTGCAGGGACAATGCCCAGTGGCCCTCACCAGTTGGCATTCACACCCTTTCTGACCTGTTCCCTGCAAGTCGGGGCTAGACCTCAAGTCCTGTTCACACTGGACAGAAAGCAGTCAAAGTGAGAAGATGTCACTTCTCACACTTGGCGACCTCCATCTGGCATGCATGATCTTTCCCTGGCTGGCCACCATGTCAGCTAAGCCACAGTGACAAGGAACTGAGGGAAGCCTTTCGTAAGTAGCCAGTGAGGGAAGGAAGCCTCACGATGTGGGAGGGACCAAATTCTGTGGCCACTCTGTGAGCGAGGCACGAAGGAGCACTTCCAGGTGAGACCTCAAGCCTGGCCAAGCCATATATGTAGCACAGTGGGAGCCCCGTGAGGGCCAGAGGACCCAGTGAGGCCATGGTCAAGTTCCTGGCCAGGGAAACTAGAAATAGGGACCTAAGCAGTTTTTGTTGCTTCCAACAACAAACACTTGTGCTACTTAGCAATAGGTGACTACCTCAGGCCTGAACTTGGAATGTTCACCTGGCTAGAATCACATATTCTCCCTCCCTGGCTACACTCTAACGTTTGTACCAGCACAGACAGGGGCTGATCTGGGAAGAACCGGGAATCAAACATGCATTAACTCTAAGCCAAGTCTGAGTCAGGGCACATGGCCCTTCTCTGCCCAGCCACGCTGTGCCTCATTCCTGGCCTATGGAACTTCTCTCTAGGCCCCTCTCCTGCTCCTCGACTCCTTGTACAGCATCTAATGAGATCCTCTATTCCAAGAACGCACTGCCTAGCAGTGCTGCAGGAAGGTTTTCTGGGCCTTCGCAGCTGACCAAAAGGACTTGGATGACACTGGGCATCTCCACTTGGTAGGTAACAGGGCCCACAGATGACTGGTCCCTAAGCAAAAAGACCAGGCTTGCCACCTACAGATATTCTAAGGAGGATGGGTACAGCATCTCCCGAGGGACAACTAGTTGGGACCAGATGCTTGATTCTGCTCTTCTCCACTTCTTCCAATCTGAGGAGTGAAGGAGATGAGCGGATGCCTGCAGTCTCCCAGGCAGCTGATTATCAGCCTTTTCAGAGGCTGATAATCCAGCTTAGAAAACACCCTCCCCTTCTTGTCCATCCAAGCCAAAATCCCCAACTTCTCCTGCTCCTACTTCTCTGCTAGGCACTGGGACACAAGAGGTGGAGGTCAACTGTGTCAGGCTCCTGTGGGGGATCTTTCCAACAGTCCTGTCTTACACTGACCAGTGTGGACTGCCCCCCAAAGCTTTCTTCCCTGCTTGCTTTACCTGTGCCCATGCAGCCTCTCTCCCACGGGCCCACCCTTCTCACTATGGGTCACATCTGCCACCCCCAATAAAACTGTGGACCACCAGCCTGCTACTGCTGAGGACAGCAAACCTGCCCTGTGGAATTCATGTGGTTTCCAGCATGTGGCAGGGCCACATTTCTAACTCCTAATAGAGGAGTCTGATAGAGCAGGAGAGTGTTCCCCCTAACAGGAGGCAGAAGGATATAAAAAACAAACCCAGGTTGTCACAGCCCTGATTGCTCAGTGCATCAGCCACACCACTGCAAACCAGTTCTAGGAGGCAGCCTGGAGGGAGGCCACATGAACCCGAAATCCCACTCTGCCACGCGGAAGTGTGACCAACGTGGGCTATGCTCCCGAACCTGAACCTGAACCTTGGTTTTTCCATCTGTGAAATCAGAATTCAGTTCCTTCATCTCCCAGTTGTAATAAGGAATATAAACGCACCATGTGGTCATATGAAATAATAATTGAAATAAATTGTAATAAATAAATAAATTGTAATAAATTATTTATTACAATTATTAAAGAACTGAGCATCATGCCAAACACCAGTTCATAGTGGGGAAGCAGTGCTTGGCATGGTTTTTGGAACAGAAGCTGTCAGTGAGGCATCAGTGGGATAACCTCTTATCCTCCACCGAGCGCCAGGTAAGTGCAAGTCCTCGTGTTTCTATGTGCGACTGGTGAGTTTCCTAATAGATAAACGTAACAGAAGGTCCCTGGAAGAGGATGTGTGAGCACTGGTGCCCAGGCCACGCTTCACTGCTAACAAAGGCATGACTTCCATTTCCCGGGACTCAGTGTCCTCTTCTGTAACGTGGGTAGGGTGGATGTCATGTGTTCTGAAGGACCCTTTAGATCTGAAGTCCTCATGGCCATTCAACTCCCTGTGAGAAGGCTGGATAGAGCATGAGCTGGCCAGGTGCTCTGAGCAGCCCCACTGACTAGGCCAGCCTGGGACGCAGGACTGAGAAGACAACAGAGCACACAGGCTGTGGAGACAATGTTCCATCAGGAGGAAGAGAAAACTGAGGGAAGGACCAAAAACTGTTCCTGGCCACAGAGCCCCCAACACCAGTGAGCCCATACATAGCAGAAGCCAGGCAGATCACCGAGGGGCTGCCGGAGATGTCAGGGGCCCAGAATAGCCAAGGAAGGAAAGATAAATAAGGAAGTTCTTTAAACGTGTGGCTGACCACAGGCATACCGCAGGAGCTGGAAAAGAAGGGAGCTATTGAGAGAACCGGAAGTCAGGGCCAGGGGGGCAGGGTGGATAGGCTGAGGGTCACACCTCTAAACTGCTCGACTCCTGACCCCCCAACATAGGGGCAGGGCAGAAGCAAGCAGCTCAGCTGGTCACTTTCTACCAACAGAAATCTGTGTAATAGGCCCAGAGAGGACAAGGTAGGGGGACAGAAACCCCTCTAATGGGCAGCCACTCTGGACCTTCCCCAGTGCCCCCTTCCCCTATGCTTGTGCTTTCTGAGTATACAATCTGGGAGGATGACACCCTAAGGACTGGCTTCTCCTGCTCCATTTTATGTCTGTGTCGTGTGTGTGTGTGTGTGTGTGTGTGTGTGTGTGTGTGTGTCTCTCCTCAGCTCCTCCTGGTCTCTGTCACTACTTCATGGCAGTCTCAGTGTGGGTGGGCTCATTTCTCTACTTGGTGAGCAAGGGGCAGCTGTGTGGCTTCAGGTCTGGAGCCATTAGAACAGTGCATGAAGTGTCCTAGCTTATGTCTTTTGGGGGTTTGAGGGGGAAGTAATACTGGCGTTTGACTTCATGGCTTTGAACTTGCTAGGCAGACACTCTACCACCTGAGCCAGGCCTCCAGCTCATAGTTTGCATCTTTTCACAGGCGTACGCATATGCACCTCTGTGGGATATGCACTTCTGTGGGATATATACCTGGGGTGGAATTCCTGATGCCCCCCTCCTCCTCCTGCCTAGCCTTTAACAAACCCCACCTGTGAGTTGGAGGGTATGTGGCATCTGTAAGCAGCTACCTTAGATGTCAAGTTCTCACATAACCCCAGGCACTGGCAACGAAGTTCCAATAAGCAACCATGCCCTCGCTCATGGGTGCTCACAAGACAACCCCCTGCAGCAGCTTCTGTCCCGGGCCAACTACAGAACTCTGCTCTCTAGCCACTTGGAAGGTAAGAAGATCATGGTCTGAGGTTGGCCCTGGGCCACAACTCAAGACTATCTCTGAGAAACAGACTAAAAACAAAAGGGACTAAGGAATGGCTCAAGTGGTAGAGCATCTGCCTATCAAGTGCAAAGCTCTGAGTTCAAACCCTAGTCCTGCAAACCCAAACCTCCAGACTCATGCATCAGTATGCAAAGAACACAGGAGGCTGTGCACAATTCAGGCTCTTCTGGGCGTGCCCATCCCCAGTGTCAATGAACAGCTGCTCATAATGGGTCTAACTCAATGTTTCCCAAAGTTATCAGGCCAGAGAATCTTTTATTGATTCGCTGCCTGTTCATCTCCCCTAGAATGAGCATGCCACAGAACCCACTTTGGGAAGAGCCGCTTTGAAGGCATGGGAAGAGCTGCTTTGAAGGCATGGGCTCTGATTTTCATGAAGCCCCCCCCCACATCCCTGGCCACAAAGCCGGCTCCCGCCCCAGTAATGTGTCTCTCAGAGGCCACTTGGGGGTATTCAGGGGAAGGAATGAATAAATGGCTCCCCTTCTCCCACATCCAACAGCCCAGGGGAGAGAAAAGTACTCACTGCTTTGGGAGGCTCCCTCCCCCGACGTGGCTTCAGTGTCTGTGAGAAAGAGATGGGGCGGGCAGGCAGTGAGCCGGCTGACAATGGCAGGAGCAGAGGAGGCTCATAGGACCGATGCCAAATGAGCAAGCTCCAATGAAGCAGCAGTGGTGGTGAGGGGAACCCCAGGGGATGCAGCCTCAGTCCTTCCCTGGCCCCCGACACCAGCAGGGTCCTGATCCAGGCATCACCTTGTCTTCGCTGCCCAGAGGGCTCAGGGATGGGCAGGCAACCCTCCTGTCCCCTGGGCTTCAAGATGGAAGTGGCCTCATTCCTGAACTCCCAAGAGGAACTCGGGAGTGATGAGACCTCATGGCCCAGGACAGTGGGACACGCTTGCCCTCCGTCCTATGGCAGAATGACCAAAAGGACAGGAGAGGGTGAGAGTTCTTGGAGCTGCTAGGGACAGCTTTGAGGGGCCCAAGGGGACAAGGGAGATGGGAGGCAAGGCGCTGGGTCATGCACTCACCACGGTGTGCCCGGACATGAGTCTGGAAGCAGTTGTAATACTTGTACTTCTTGCCACAGATGCCACACTCATAAGACCCTGGAAAACAGTAGAGGAAAAGGCCCGTCAGCCAGAGCCACATCTGAGATGACGTGGGTCCCTGAGAGACAGAGACAGCTGAAGGTCTCAAGTCTACATCTAACTTTGTGCGTGACCTTGGGCAAGGTGGCCCCCACTTTTAGGCCTTTTAGGTGAAGAATGGAGGAGGCGAGTTCCTTGATTGACCCTCACATTCACACCCAGAGGACAATGGAGGCCCAAACAGGAAATGTTCTGCGAGGAACAGCCGCACAAGATTGTCACTCCTTATATGAGCTACCGATTGCCAAGCATGAGCATGAGATGGGGTAAGAAGACAGCTGCCAATCAGTGAACCTGAGCCTCTCTGGCTGTTGAGTCATTTGCCAGTAGCATGGCATACTAAGCCTGCACTGGCTCACCACTACAATGGGGCCCAAAGTTTCTCCTTTGACAGCAGTCCTCACTCCCCTTAGGAGTGTCCAGCCCAGTACAGATACACTCAATGACAGCATCCCTATCCCCACCCCTGCCAAGGCTCTGTAATGTTCCTCAGACACACAGAGAACTAACTATAGGGTGCAACCAGCACTCCAGGCCAGACCACATGGCCCTTCTTCCAGGAGGTGCTTGAGGCTGACCAAACAAGAGCGTGGGGCAAAACAAAGAACGTACAGTGCCCAAGAGTCCCAGGCTGGGAGAGACCCCAGGAGCATAGACTCTGCCCATCCCCACCCAGCAGGACTTTCCTGCAGGCTTTAGCCACCTGGGTCTAGATGCCACTCTTCCTAATAGAGCCACCAAAGAATATATGCAAATGCAGAGGCCTGGGCCCCATCCACCCTTGATACTCTACCATGGCTGGAATGAGGAAGCACTAGGAATCAGCCTTTTCCAAAAAGGTGTTGAGGGGACTTTACCAGCCAGCACTGTGGTACTAGAACTGCTGGATTAGGGTAAAGTCAGGGACAGAGATGCACCTCCATTTCCCTACCGGAGTTCTGTAGGTAGGCAAGATGGCTGGTCTGAACACTGAGCAAGTAAGCCAGGCTCCTTGCACGGCCACATCCAGAGAGAAGCAGAGACTCCATGTTGCCTGGAAGCAGAGGTGCTCATGGTGGCTGTCTCAGGAGTATGAGCAAGCCGGAAGAACCCTCGAGTGGAGAATGAGCATCAGCCCAAAGCTGCCACGTAGGCACGGTTTGATCTTAGCCATGTCTCTCTACCTACTTGAGCTTTGGTTTCCTCACCTATCAATAGAATTTTTAATTCCTGCTGGGTGCTGGTGGCTCATGCCTATAATCCTAGCTACTAGGAGGCTGAGAACTGAGGATCACGGTTCAAAGCCGGCCTAGGCAGGAAACTCTAATAAACCACTCAGAAAACAGGAAATGGCACTGTGGCTCAAGTGGTAGAGTACTAGCCTTGCGCTGAGGAGCTGAGGGACAGGGCCTGGGCCTAGGCCCAGAGTTCAAGCCCCACAACCGACAAAAAAAAAAAAAAATTTTTAAATTCCCTCACCAGTGAGGTTAGGGTCACCAAGAGTCAACATGTAAGCCATTGGCATGAGGAGGGGGAGTGTTGGGGGAAGGGTTTGTGCCAGGGCCATTATGACCCTAACGTGGCATTCAGTAGTCTGTCATTAGGGTTTACACACATGCACTGCTCCTGCTACACAGAGAAAAAGAAAACATGAGCAGCAGCAAGATCAGGCTGAAGTTTCTCCGCATTTGGCTGCAACTGGCGCACAGCGAGGCTTCCATAAATCCAGTGGCTTGTTGCTGTACTCATCTGTCACCAAGTGATAATGTCCCCGATGCTCCTCCAGCCGCCTCCACCCACTCTCCAACACTTTCTGCCAACTCCCTTCAACCAACCAAGGATTTATTGAACATCTGCAATAAGCTGGTCTCTGAGGTCCCAACAGTGAGCCAGATGCCATCCGTGTCATCTGCCAAATGGGCCCCAGGCCCAGGGACAACTGGGTGACTGTGTTGACAGCCAGAGCAAGGCCCAGAGGCATGAGGCAAGACCTTGGCCCTGCCACCGCGAAGGGGCCGAAGTCTATGACAGTGATGCCGTTCATAACCGAGCCAGCCATCCTGGCTCTGTGGGAGTCTCCATGCCCACTCAGACTCTATGCTCAGCCGGAATCATGAGGCCCTGCTGGCAGGCCATAACCCACTCAGGGAATGACTTGGGGCACACTGGCTCCTCAGCCTCAGGCCATCTCCTGTTCCAGGCCCAGACTGAAGAGGAGCAATGTGCCGGCAGGAGAGATGTTCAAGGCTGTCTCTCACTCACTTGAAGTCTCTGGGCTTCAGGTGCTTGGAGTGTGAGCACAGAGATGAAAGGTGGGATGGTGGGGTACAGTTAGCAGAGTGGCAGCAAGCTCAGCCAATCTGGTTTCCAATCCTGGCTCACCAGGTACCACTCAGGGGAGCCCCTGAGAAGCCATGGGGTGACCTACACCTCAGGATTTTCCTTGTTATGCGACAGTGCCACAGCAGTGGGGAGCAATAAAACTGTGGGTCCTACTACAGTGCCTGGCACAGAGCCACGCACTCAGCCCGACAGCTGCCGTAACCATTAGCATTTCCTAAGTTTCCCCAACTTCCTATAGGCATCCCAAGTAAGAGGACCATGGCTTAGCAAGCATGGGGAAGATCTAGTATGAACTCCCCCTTTCTGAAGAGGTACAGGTAGGACTCTGCAGGCCAAGAAGTCCTGAAGAGAGTGGGGGCCAGAGTTCTCCCAAATACAGGTAGTCATGGCACCCTCCTGCCTCAGTGGCACCCACAGGAGGTGCTACCAAACCATCCAGGCAGTCTGGACTTCCGGATTTCCAAATGTTCCATCCCACCAGACAACCACAGGCATCCAGGCTCACGTTTGCCGATAGGAGTTGAAGAGGGAGTTCCCTCATTTAGGGTGTGCAGCTGATGGCCCAGTCTGGCTATGCCCTTCCTCCCACATGGGCCCCCATCAGGCTCTGTCCCTAGGCCATCACGTACCAGATGCATATTTCATTGCTTGGTCAAAAATCCAGCTCCCTGAATACCGGCTTCGCAAAGATCCACCATGGAGGCTGCCTTCGGGTGCTTTTCCATCTGAATTACGTAAGAAATCAGAAAGAGCCCTTAATGTTGGAGATTGCCTGGGGGTGAGGGAAGGGGCAAGGTGAGCCAGGGGATTGGCCAACCCACCTGTAATTGCAAAGCCTCTGTCTCCCCAGCTGTACATGAAGAAGGTTTGGGCAAGGCCTCACAGTCCACCGACTCTCCCTCAAGACCTCTGCTGGCTACAGATGATATGCACACGTGTACCCCAGTGGCTGGGGGTGGCTGACAGCAACCGCAGCAGGCTGAAATCCCCCTGAAGTTTTGTGCTTTCTTGGGATTCTGATTTATGTGGTTATAACACAAAAATTCTCCCCAAGTCCTCCAAAATGACAGCCCACCCCCAATCCATGGAGCCGTATGTCTTGTGTGTTGTGTACCAGGGTCATTACCGACCCTAGGCTTGTGCAAGGATTTTTCTAGGACACTCGTCTTGGCCAGTCCCTTGTCCAGTCTGTATTGCTCTAGCTTGTGGCCACTTCTGTCCCCAGTTCTGTGTAAGGTAACACTGAGGAACTTGTCTGGTACACTCCACTGCAATAATTGCCTTGCCAACTTTAAGACACAGGAGTGGTCCCAGAGCTTGTTGAAGACAGGAGACTAGAAGAGAGAAGTTGTGACAAGTGGGGTCCCTGAGGCTTTGGGGGACCGTGGCCTCAGAGAAAATGGCCTCTGGAAGAGATCTTCCAATCAGTACAGAGTCACTAGACAAGGGCGTCTGAGCTGTGGGTACAGCTCTAAGGGAAGTAAGTTCTCAGCTGTCAATTTCTTTTTCTTTTTTGGTGCTAGTCCTGGTTTGAACTGAGAGCCTGGGCACTGTCCCTGAAGTTTTCTTGCTTAGGGCTATTGCTCTACCACATGAACCACAGTTCCACTTCTGGCTTTTCAGTAGATAATTTGAAGATAAGTCTCAGGACTTTGCAGCCCTTGCTGGCTTTGAACTGTGATCCTCAGATCTTAACCTCCTAAGTGTGAACCAACAGCACTTGGCTGTCAACTTTAAACATGCGCTTTCTTAAACCAATGCACCAGAGCAGGTGGGCGGCCGGCAGAGGTTTCACTAGCTGGCTCTCCTTTCCACTCTCTCCTCCTGTATCTTCCAGCAATGAACCATTCTCCCATCTACCCTTCATCCTCCCACCTATGTCTTACCCAGAACATAAAAAGTTTGGGCTTTAAGCAAAGAGATAACATAGAATAACCAAGTCTGATTTAGATCTGATGACAGGGGACAATCCCTTTTTCAAATCTAGGAACTTCTAATTCTCTGTCTAAATGGAGTTGTTCATGAAGAGACCATCACAAACACTGATGACAGACTCCAGTGTGATTTTTGGCACACATCTAGGAAGGAGTTCAAAGAATCAGGTAACACTGGAAGCCAAGTCCAGCCACTGCCAGCTCCTTATTTATATGCACTGTAGATGCTGACCCTCAGAACACCAAAAAACAGCCAAGAAACCAAGACTACATCTTGCCTCACTCCAGCAATAAGAAATATTAATCCACAGATACATGAGCCAATTGAGAGAGAAATAAAACTCTATCCATTTCATTAATAAGTGCATTTATGATCATTTTTTACTTTTACACTTACTATTCATCTAATTTTTTTAGACAAATTGCCCACTAACAACAACTCAATCTGAGGGGGGAAAATGATTTTAAAATGTAGAGCTTTATGATGCCAGAAGTTTTTTTCTTTTTTTTCTTCCTGAAATTTCGATTTTAATTTATACACCGCTTGTTGTGGCGGATGAGTGTGAAAGTGATCAATAAAAGACTTTCAGGCATAAAAAAAAATATATGACATTAGGATAGAACTCTGTGGGGGAAGTGGACCAGAAATATGAGTTCAAGGAGAACAAGGAAAGATATAAAATTTTCTGTCTGTTGGAGATGAGCCTCTTCATATGTTTTTAAATGACAAGAGTAGATGGCAGTGGTGTTCTGACTCCCTTGTCTGCATTTAAAAGTCATTCACAGCTCTATTTCCAAAATGCCACATTTCTCTTAAAAAAAAAACACATGATTCCAGAAACTGTCTGCTTTGTAATTACTTAAAACACTGGGTAAAAATGTAAAGATGTCAACTCAAAAAATATGAAGCCGAGTACACTGCTTGGCAAAATTCTTGCAGGGGGTACTGAACAGAAAGGGCATGACACCTGGGCCTTTTACGTGCCTGTCACATGCAAAGTCCCTTGAGGCCTGTCGTGCATTTGGGAGCCACTGACAAACATATCCATACCTATTACTTCACTTTGCCCCTCAGAGTTGTCCTGGAAAAATGGACAGATTTTCTCACATCCACTAACTCACATCCACTGCTTCAGATGCTGTGACTCAGAGAAATGTAACAGCGTAATCAAGGAATCACCAGCAGAAGGACAGACCCTGGACCTCGTGACTTAACAGGCCCAGAGTCCTTTCCCATAGGGACCTTCCAACTAGGATCCCTTTTCCTCCAGATGGAGTTAGAAATAGACAAGACAGGCCTGGGAGGGCGGCCAGGACCTCTCCTTTCCTTGGGGCTGGGCACAAAGTTCAGTGTTGGTTCTGGCAGGCTGGGGCACAAAGCCCTGCCAACAACCCACTGAAACAGCAAACTCGCTATCAGTTAGCTCTGTGAGCAGGGCTTGGCTCTTCACTGCTTGGGTTTGGCACAGGCCAAAACCCATGTGGCAGGGGCTGAGTGACTGTTGAGTTCTTCTGTTACCCAGTTCGGAGCCTGGCCTGACCTGCCTGCCATGTCCTGGCTGGTACCTCTCTTTCTCCTTCTCCTCTTCTTCTTCTTCCTCCCCATCCCCCGGGAAGCCCTGCCTGTGAGTAAACAACCCCCTTCCCTTTGAGCCTTCTTGCAAAATCTGGCCTCTCCTATGATCCCTGTTCACCCATCCCCAGGATGGAGAACTCACTCCTGCACAGACTACCAGGCTACATTCAGTTCTCAACATCTCTACAGTCCCTAAGGCTTCCCCCAACTGATCCAAAATCACTTCCTAGCTACCTCTCCTCATTGGCAGGGGCTTCCTGCCATGTGTCTGCTGCATCCAAAATGCCATAGATTGTGGATACTCAGATCCCATCATCCCCACCACTCTGCTATCCTTGCATGCGACCCACCTAAAGACACAGGGCCTCCACAGAGGTCCCCCCCACATGTCTGTTTGGTTTGCATCGTTCACAGGATGAAGAGCCTGGTGGAGACTGGGTACCTGCAGTGCCACCAGGAAGCTGAGTGGCACTTGTCTCCGTGTACCTGTGCCTACCCTGCTTAGTCCCATGCCCACAGCATTGGGAGGGGGATAGCATCCACTGCTGGATGGAACACTTTTTGTTTGTTGTTGTTGTTTCGCCAGTCCTGGGCTTGAACTCAGGGCCTGGACACTGTCTCTGAGCTTCTTTTTTTGCTTAAGGCTAGCACTCTACCACTTGAGTCACAGAGCCACTTCTGGCTTTTTTCTGTTTATGTGGAATGGAGGAATCAAACCTAGGGCTTCAGGCATGCCAGGCAAGCACTCTACCACTAAGCCACTTTCCCAGCCCCTAGATGGTACACTCATTAGTACAATGGGCACTCGGCATCCTTATTTCTTGGAATCAGAAAATGGGATCATCAGACACAATGGTGGTGAGCAGGTTTCTCCTGCCGACTTTCCAGCTTGGTGAACTGCGTGATGAGTTCTTGGTGTGCTTTGTTGAGAAGGATTCTGAGGCACACTGTGGGGATGGGGTGCAGTGTGGTCAGTTTGCGACACCTGCCATCAACATGGAGTTGGGCAGTGGCCATTAGGGTGCCTGGGCTTTTCACTCTACACAGAGGAGCCCCCCCCCCAGTCTCACAGGTGGCTGACCCCTCCTTAAGCTGCTGTGGCATGCTGTGCCTGCAGCTGTCAGGTGACTACTGGATCTGTCAACTCACTTCTGTTCACTTCTGATTTTATCCCATTAAAGTGTCAAGATCATTATTATCTCTGCTTTTGCCAAAAAAAAAAAGCAGCAGCAGCAGCTGAGGGCTTCTAGGCACAAAGGCCTGTTGGGCAGGCAGCAGGGTGGTTGCAGTCAGCTCTTCCTCTGCCAACCGCCCTCCTCCCCTGCAACACTCTCCCAGGCCAGGAAGAGGACTGCCAGTTGGCACTGCCAATGCCATGGTATGGTCATGACTCAAGCTCTTCCACAGGAAGTGCCTTGTATAATGTTTGTGTCAGGGGGAACACTGTTTGTTTGATGGCTGTTACAAGCCAGGGAGGGCCTGGGGAGGCCAGCTCTTCCTGGCGCAGCGCTGCCTGGCTGAACAGGGACACCATTCTATTCCACTACAGAGCCCATCTCTGAGGGTGGAGCACTGTTGGGTGAGCAAAGCATGCACTCCCAGCCAAATGCCTCAGGATGATTATGAGCTCCTCGTGCCCGCACACTGCAGTCCTAGTTCATTAAAGGCCTGGTTCTGACCAGCTTCCTGCTGCTGACTTTATCCTTTCTGGCTTTTATGTTTAGAAGTAGCGGTGAGACAAGTGCTCTGAGGTGAGCAGGTCCTTCTTAACAGGAAGAAATTGTCACCAAGCTGCACAGTGACTTTTAGCGACTCTTTTGTTTCACGAGCCTCCCTCTGCTGCTCTCTAAAATGAGCAGGCCAAGGGTATCAAGTGGTTTGCATGCATAGCCCCTCGGCTCATGTCTGCATCCAGGATAGACATCAACAATCCATCATGCCAACACAGAACTCCCAACAGCCACTAGCAATGGCTTGAATTTAGCCCACAGGATAAAATTTCCTTGCCCCTTGGAGAGGAGTTCGAAGGTTACATTCCCACATTCATTTTTTCGGGGGGGGCACTGGGGAGTTATTCAATGCCTTTCTTCACTGGTGATGAAGCCAGGTTAGCATCCTCTGAGGCCAACCCTCAGCAGAAACCACACCAGCAAGCGGGAAGATCAGACCTAGACACTGGAGAGGAGACAATGTGATCAGCATGGACTGTTCTGGCTCCCTTTGGCACAGTCTACAAAATGGTGGCTCCACTGCAGCTCACCAGTGGGGCCTTGTACAGGCTCTTTCTTGAGGGTGGATGGAGGGCATGTTACTCAGAAGTTTCACAAAATGCCCAAAGCTCTGAATTCTAGGAAGTCACTGAACTTATTCAATGCCAACTTTCCTCCCTATGCCATTTTTTTTCTCAGTGGCCTATTCCTTAGACTATATGGGGAAGACCGGGGACAGAAGAGGTACTTTACTGACACTACTAACAGTAGCATCCTGTACTGATGTACTGAGTGCAGTACGGAGCATGCTGCATCCTCCATGACATTGTGACCATCGGCATTTGGAACTACCAAGATCGTTATTTTAGGACCTTCTGTTACTGCAGCCATCACCTAGCCCCATCCTGACTGTTTTCAACATCACTTCCCAGAAGCCAGGCCCTTGCTATGGTCCTGTGAGGACAGGAAGTGGTATGATGGGATAGGAGACCAAAATCAGACAGATAGTGACGTTCTATTTCTAGGAACTACTAATCTCATGGCTGAGACAGGCATAGTCAGGGTCTCTATCTAGAGATAGTGGAAAGTGCCCAAGGAGGGTGGAAAGAGAGCTTCAGACCAGAACAGATCAGAGAAGAATTCTGGGAGGAGGTAGCACTGGAGTTGGCCTTGAAGGATTGAGTGGATTCTGGAAATGATCAAAGGAATTCTTGGGAGAGGGAAGACCATGAGCAAAGTCCAGGAGAAGCAGGCTATACTGGCATGAGAAGCCTGGCCTCCCAAAGAAAAAACAGGGTATGGAGGATGCTGATGCCCTGTCCTTGGCTCTAGAGATGGAGGAGTTGGTCCCAAGGGTATGTTCTGATTTTTGCCATGGCTTCCTTGCAGTCAGGGGAAGGCCAGGGCATATCAGATGGGGAGACACAAAGCATGGTTGTTAGCATCTTGTGCCAAGTTAATAACATAGACAGATGGGCCAATGGATGGGACACAACACCACACTACACACGAGACAGACAGACAGACAGATAGACACACACACATACACACATACACACACACACACACACACACACACACACACACACAAGCACAAGCATACACACACACAGTTGGGAGGGGAGCGTGCGGATGGTTCCCATCAGCTGGGAAGAAAATGCAATTGTCCTTGAATCTGAACTTGTGGAAAGAGACACACGAAGTCCTGGGAGCCATACACAAGGAAATGCTGAGAAGGAGGTGGCCAGAGCTGGACCAGGAAGGGTAGGCAGTGATGGATGGGGCAAGGGTGTCTCCAGTACTCTTGAGAACATATGGAGCAAGGGAAAGAAATATGGAGGATGGATGGATGGAAGCAGAAGTCTGGGGCAAGCCCAGGCAGGGCCTCAGGACCAGGCTGAGAAGTTTTAGCTTCAGTTCAGAGGGAAGAGGTTGCAAAGTTGTGGCCCCTGGAACCACTCTGACCCACCAATATGTTGTGTTTGGCAGATTTCAAAAGCAGAACTGTATCGCCAGCTTTCAAAGCCAAAGAATTCACATCAAAACGTTCACATCTGGCACAGGATCTGGGCAGAGATCTGGCAGTACCGAGCCGGGATTCCCCACTAAGCAACCACTGACGTGGCAAAGAAGAGCAACCTCTCTCCGCACGTGGGGTCCAGGGTTCCAACTGGACCCGGTCCCCACCACCTGCTCCCATTGGCTCCTCTCTCCTTACACAAATGAAGCATATTTGTGGGAGCTTGTGGCAATCTGAGCCTGGGAAGCAGGCAGGAGTGCAGGGATAACCAATGGGGACGCTCCAGGGGGAAGGGGAGCTAATGGCAAAATTACTGCTAAACAGCGGGGTTTCCCCAAGTTCCTCCAGGCAGGGGAAGGCACCAGCTTGTCAGTTACCTTCTCTTGATACTTGGTCAGCTCACAGAAAGTGCTGCCCGCACCAGCCCCCAGACAAACTGAGGAGGGAGAAAGGTAGGTAGGCAGGCACTGGGGACTAAATGATAAGGGTTGTGCTGCTCACCCCTCAGGGTTGGGAAACCCTTAGGTGTGAGGAGTTCCTCGCATCTACAGAAGGTTCCAAGCATCTGCCTGATACAAGACTTCATGCATGGAGTCTTTCTCTATCAGGCACAAAGAGACCAAGTCTCCAGGCTAAAAGTAGACCATCAAAGGCCTATCTTGGAGCATCCATCTTCCCTTGGAAGCAGAGGGGAGTCCCTGAAGGCTCTCAGCCAGGGAGGGGTGCAGATGCTAGCCCTGCTTCCCCGACTCTGGCCTCTACTCTCACCCTGGCTCCAGCCCCGACTCTCATGAAGCACTCACCAAGGGTCTGCTGGTTGCGGACCCCGCCGATCACCACACAGATCTCTGCAGGTACATCGCCGGTCCCATCCTTGCTGACAGCCTTCTTCTCCTCCTTGGCCTCGCCCTGCCAGATCACCTCCTGGATGTAGTCATCAGGTAGCTCTGTCTTCACCTTCACCTCCGTCATCGTCCCCTGCTCGGCACTCAGCGAAGCCTCGGCCGGCCCCGGCTCCGGGCCCTCCACTTTGGAGCTCTTCTGGCTGCGCTTCAAGCGCTCCCTGGGAAAGGAAAGGAGTCAGCTCACAGTGGACCCCCCATACCTGCACCCAAACCATCAGAGGATCCCGGCTGCCATGGCACCCCTGAGACATGCAAGGCTGTGTGCAGAGTAAGTGGAAGGTCCCTGGCTGCTCAGCCTCTCACACGGCCCCCACGGTGAGCCCAACACTCCTCTAGGAGTCCTAGGGTCCCAAGGAACATAGTTTGAAAATCTCTGGGCTAGCATTTTACAGCTGGGGCAACTGCAGTTTGTACCCTTCTCAAACTTCAATGTGTTCACAGATCAGATAGAGAGAGACCTTGATATATGCAGATTCTGGTGCAGCCCGGTGGGCTGGGCTGGGGTGTGCGTGTGTGCGTGCGTGCGTGTGTGTGTGCGTGCAGGGCTTCAACTAAAGGCCTCATGCTTGTGCTTCGTTTCCATTAAAGTGTGACCCTCTGCCACCTAAGCCATGCCTCCATTTTTTTTGCCAGTCCTGGGGATTGAACTCAGGGCCTGGGTGATGTCTCTGAGCCTCTCTGTGCTCAAGGCAAATGCTCTACCACCTGAGCCACACAGCATTACTTCTGCCTTTTTCTGAGTAGTTTGTTGGAGATTAAGAGTCTCAGACTTTCCTGTCCTTGGCTGGCTTCAAACCGTGATCCTGAGATCTCAGCCCCCTGGGTAGCTAGGATTATAGGCATGAGCCACTGGTGCCCGGCCATGCCTCTATTTTCGACTCTGCAGTTCTAGCAGGCTCCCAGGTCAAGCTGGAGTCAGGCTGGCAGATGGTCTCTGAGTGGTAAGGACACAAATAAGATGCCAAATGCCAGGTGTTTGTGTTCCTCTCCACCTTCATCAGTAGGCAGGGCTTGGAGATCACATCCATGCCCTTCCCTGCTCCTCAGGGAAGGAAGAGATGGGGGGACTCCTGTCCCAAAGTTCACCTTAGTTGAGATGTCATGGAATCAGCTCTGGGACAGAGGATGGCTTTTCATACATTGGAGAACATCCTTACGTTCTAAGGGCAATCCTGGGCTGGAAAGGACTGTCATGAATCTTCCATTATGAAGGGGACATTGAGGCCTAGAGAAGGATTGTGCCTTGCCCAGGCCCCTACCCCCCACCTCCAAGAACAGTAGCAAGAAAAGCATAAAGCCAGGGCCCTAACAGCCTTGCCTGAGCTGCTCTTCTTTCAATGTGACTCCCAACATCCACAGGTCTCACATCCTTCCAGCTGGCAAACTGTCACCATAAGAGGGGAAACAGAGGGAGCACTCCCCTGAAATCGAGTCTCCATTCAGGCCCAGGGAGCATGCTCCAACCACATCTAGTCCTCTCCACTGCTCCAGAGAAGCCCACGGTCAAAGCATGCCGATGATGGCGAGCAGATGACACAGACTAATAAAATCAGAGGATGCAAACAGAAAGGGGAGGATGTAGAGGAAGGAGCTTTGTGGAGCACAGATGTTAGAGCACAGGCCGTGAATCAACCATGATCTCAGCTCCACCACAGGACAGATGCCTATGCGGGAGTGAGGACCATGTCAAGAGTTGCTCATGGGACACAGTGAATGGCCATGCTGGCAATGAAGTCTGTGTATGGACATGAAAACTGCTGCTGTTGAAGAGTGACACTTGGAGGTTTCTGAGTACAGACATGGGGCAGGAGAGGGCAGAAAGCCCAGAACTCTGGCATTCTTCACTCCCAGGACACTTGTGCTGAAAGCTGGGGGAGGTGGTAGAAGCTGAAGTTCGGCCTTTGCCATCCCACAAGAACTAACTTGCTGTCCCTCCCTGCTTACAAGGACCTCATTGGATACCATGACGGACAGGAAGCACTCTGGAGTCAGGCTGGACCTCATCTGTAAATCCTGCAACCCTGGGCTAACACCTCTCTCTGAGCATCGCTGTCCTAGTCTGATCCAGGAATATCACAGCCTGGCTGTGGATGGGAAATGATGCCCATAAGGAGCCCAGGCAGGGAGCTGGCAGGAAGCAGATTTCCATAAATGGCAGCCGCTCCTATGATAATGCCATAGCGTCCTCTTCATTGCCAGGACGCCTTCCCAGCTTGCTAGAGTGAGAGTTAGATGTCCTCGGTAAGTGTCACGTTCACCTCACACAGGTGACTCTTACAGATGTCTTCCCAGGGCGTACTAATGAAGTAATCTCAGCACACTAGGCAGCTTTCAGACCTCTCCATCCAGCTTCTAGTTCATCACCTCGTTCTATTTCCTCTGCATCCCTGGCTGCTAGGTAAAACTATCTCACCGAATTGTATGCTCCACATGTGGACTGTGGTCCAACTTAACTGGCCGAGCACTTGCCTACCAAGTGTGAGGTCCTAAGTTCAAACTCTAATATCACCAAAAAAAGTCTCTGCTTCCTGTTCAGTGTAACTTAAGCTTGTTGTGACGCCAAAGGGGTCACCAGGAAGGCAGAGTGGATCCTCAAGATGGATAGAATGGACAGTCAGACAACAGGGCTGGGCATAATACACTATAAGGGAGGATTCTATAAAGACAGAGCCTGGAGCAAAGTCAGGTCTCCAGCCACATCTCCTGATTCCCCATCTTTTCCACTGACCTACCGACTTCAGGGTCTCCTGGATTTAGGAGTGAGGAATAGAAGGGCCTCCTAAGGGAAGACTCCGTGGTTCTGTCCATATCCTGCATGCCACATAAATGCTTGATCACACTGGGAAATACAGCTGTAGACAAGGGACCGGCCAACCCTTCCTCAGCCCACAGCAGACAGGAGCCACAAGAGCGCCCCAGCTCTGCCCACAGTGGTGGACATGATGACACATACCCATCTACCCCCCCACCGTGACAACCTGGAGCCCTACAGTGCCAAGCGCACAGACAACTTCCTCCTCTTCTCTCGACTTCTACGCTTACGATTTACAAGCCCAAACGTTGCTTTTTTTCTCACATGCTCCGCATTTAATTAGGTGTCCTAATAACAATGGAATCGTAGAAGTACTTATATCACTTTGAATTAGTGGTGCAGCTCCTTCTAACTTCTTTAAAATTTTTTTTCATATATCATTTTTTAAAATAGAGCTCATTATTTTAATTATATCCATTTAAATGTACAGTGGAGCCCTTGGATATTCTCAGCACGAATCATTAGGTATATTAGTGAAAAAGCTCTCCGAATCTATCTACATGCTGACACTCCATAATCTATTCTATTTGTGGCACTGTAAAATAGATTTATATATAGATAACTACAAAATAGTTGCTCAAGATACGTTATGAATTTTATATTTAACCCAAGTCACACTTCAACATAAAATCCAAAGTCAGGCACTAAAAGGATGCTTTTCACTAAGTACCTGCTATCTATGGTCAGCAGTTACTGCCTCAGCCCATGTGTCTGGAGAGAAGCCGGACTAAATGGGAGGTGCTAAGAGCTACGAGGTAATGGTTCTCAGTGTATGTTCCCCGAAGAACCAGGAGTTCCACAGCAATGGCTAGGGGACGTTGAAGATGCTGGGCTAGGTTGGGTAGGGTTGAATAAGGCCCTAAAACCCCATTCCATCCATCTTCAGCAAGTATGGCTTTGCTTTCCCCTGACATATATGCGTTTAAGCTTTATCCTCCCTCTAGGAAAGTGATTAGTCTGGGTACCTAACTACTCAGGGGGCTGAGATCTGAAGATCAAGGTTCAAAGCCAGCCCAAGCAGGAAAGTCTGTGAGACTCTTCTCTCCAACCAGAAAACTGGACATGGCCTGTGGCTCAAAGTGCTAGAGTACTAGCCTTGAGCAAAAAGAACTCAGGGGCAGTGCCAAGGCCCTGAGTTCAAGCCTCATAATCACCACCAATAACAATAAAAAAGCCAAAAGTGGTTCTGTGGCTCAAGTGGTAGAGCAAAAGGCTTGAAGAGGAAAGAAAAATATTTAAAAAATGTAGGGACAGTGCACAGATTGTGAGTTCAAGCCCCAGTACTAACACCAAAAACAACCACAAAAACTACAACAAAAGAAGTAGTGGAGTGATTATTTCTATCACTCCAAGGCAAGTTCATGTCCTAATCTGTGAAGGTGACCTTATTTGGAAAAGAGGTGTTGGCAGAAGTGACTAAGGAGGATGGGAATTGAGTTTAACCTTGGGTTATCTGGGCAGGACCTACATGTAGTCACAAGTATCGTAAAATCAAGGGCCACTGAGAAAGAAAGAAGAGGAAGTGGCACTGGGAAGAGGAGGCTGTGTGAGGTAGAGACTAGAGTGATGGGGCCACAAGTCAAGAAATACTGTCAGCTCCCAGGAGAAAGACAAAAGAAAGAAAAAGCATTTTTCCCTAAAGGTCTCCAGAGGGAGTAAAGTTCTGCTAACACCTTGATTTCAGATTTCTGGCCCAGAATAAACTTCTGTTGGCTCCAGACACCCAAAATCTACAGCATGCCAGTTCCCTCTTCTCTGCAGGGGACATGCCTCCTGCTTGAGACTGTGGGCAGTACCAAGCCCTATACCTGCCCTGAGGCATGGCCACACAGCGCCAGTTACTTCGCCTCCCATGTATCATGCCCTCTTGTGTCTCAGACCTCTATTAAGTAAACTAAATGCCAATCAAACACAAGCACTGACATGAGATCCGAGCCCCCATTACGTAACAAGAGGCAGGCGTCACCTGCTGTGTGGACACGGGACAAAGGGGCGATTCACGTCTTGAGGAAGAAATTCAAAGCTTAGAAAATGTATATTTCTGAATTTCCCTAGTTCTGGACCATAAATATAGAACCATGGAAAGTGACATTAAGAATGGGTAGTCTACCTTGTTATAGCAGCAACAGGAAACTAATGCAGTATAAAAGATGGAATGTGAAGAAATGGCTCCAAAGCAGGGAAGTTTGTAAGCCAGGGCCGCTCACCTCCACATTTGTATGTGACCACTGTAATGTGCCAGGGATTCTGCCTGGCACTCTGGCTGTTTCAGAAATCTCTTCCTCTGATTCTTACCTAACTGTTCTAACATTGGTACTTACCCCATCAAACCTGGTGTTCAAAGAG